ACAGAAGCTCATCATCATCCCATGCAGCAGCAATCAACAGCTACAAGACCCCAAGTACCTACATCAACACCATCTACGACTCTTCCTAGCAGCAAGTCAACCGTCACTGCAACACCTCGTTCTCATACCACACGTTCATCACTTGTTCCAACGTCAAGCCAGCTCATAGCACGAGGATCACTTCAGCGAGTCACCACCAACACCAGCTCCAACAGTCCACTTCTTCACCCAAGACCTTTCTCATCTTCACCCCCACGTCCCGGATTCGGTCGTCATCAGTTACCACCATCTTCAACACCGAGCAACAACACCAACCAGCCCCAACCATCACCACCTCTCGACAAGGCAGCGTCATCATCAATTCCCAAGCTTCTAGTCTCAAGATCCCCACCAAGAGCATCTTCACAACCAACTATGCCGACAAACGTTTCAGCTTCACCGCCACGTGTCACCATACCTAATCCTCAAGTCAACACCGATAATCAAGATATTTCCACGCCAGGAGAAGGACAAGCAGCCGTGCCGCCGTCGCAGCCGATGTTGCAGCCGTTGTCTCAGCCGCAAATGACCGCATCAACGCAATCAAACACTGTGAGACCGAACCCTACCACTAATGTGTCTCAGCCAAGTGAGGAGTTTGGTTAAGGTAAACGAGTCTGCAAGATAAAAAAGCCCTTCACTTTCATGGTTGACATGTCATCAAGGTGCACATGTGAGGAGAGTGAGAATTGCATTCACAAGAAGGTAGAGGCAATATGCATGGCAGCATCACACCTTCCGCGAGAGCCCTTGAGTCGTCGTGAGGCAATGGCAAGTCCCGAGAGAGAGCATTGGTTGAAAGCCGAGGAAGAAGAGATTGAGAGTCTCATGAAGTGAGGTACATGGCGTCTTGTTGAGCCACCTCCAGGGAAGAAGGTAATTGGTGTCAAATGGGTGTACAAGATCAAGGTAAAAGGTGATGGTAGCCTTGATAGGTACAAGGCAAGGTTAGTGGCAAAAGGTTGTTCCCAAATTCCATTTCTTGACTTCACTGAAACCTTTGCCGCGGTAGCAAAGTACACCACGGTACGAGTCCTCCTCGCCATAGCCGCATATCTTGGTCTCCATATCCATCAAATGGATGTCAAGAATGCATTTCTCTACGGTGTCTTAGAAGAAGAGGTATACATGGCACAACCCAAAGGTTATGATGACGGTACGGGTCGAGTGTGTCGCTTGGTAAAGTCCCTTTATGGTCTCAAACAGTCCCCACGGGTTTGGTATCATGCTCTTGAGCAGGTACTTTTCAAGCATGGTTTCACAAGGTCCATGAGAGACAACGCTCTGTACTTCATGCACACGAGTGAGGGGGAGTACATTTGGCTCTTGGTATATGTCGATGACCTCCTCCTAGTCTCAGGTTCTCTTGATCTTAACAACAAGGTGAAAGGTATTCTCACAAGTGCATTCACGATGACCGATCTTGGTGAGCCGAGTCATTATCTTGGTATGAACATTGTGAGAGATCGTAAGTCACGGTCCATCTTCCTATTCCAGCAAAGGTACATCCAAAAGGTCCTTGAGAGGTTTGGACTTGATGATAGCAAGCCATCACCTACCCCACTTCCTTCCCACTTTGTCCCTTTGTCTTCACATCAGCCCTATGAAGAGAGAGAGTCAAGCCTTGATATCATAGGTATTAAGGAGTTGTGTCTTGAGGAGAGTGAGCATCATGGTGAGAATTCACTTAAGGTATCCCCACAAGACCTAGCTCTCTACCAAAGTCAGGTTGGGTGTCTCATATATGCAGCCCTATGCACAAGGCCCGACTTAGCATTCACGGTATCTAAGCTAGCTCAACACATGAGTGCCCCTTCACCTATTCATATGCATGCAGCCAAGCGAGCTCTTCGGTATCTCAAAGGTACTTCTAATCATGGTCTTCTCTTCCAAGCCAGCCCATATGCAAGCTCCCTCCAAGGCTTTACCGATGCAGATTGGGCGGGAGAATTGAGCACACGCAAGTCTACCGGCGGCTACATCTTCCTCATGTCGAGAGGTGGTGATGGTTGGGGCTGGTTGGTGTTGTTGCTTGGTGTTGAAGATGGTGGTAACTGATGACGACCGAATCCGGGACGTGGGGGTGAAGTTGAGAAAGGTCTTGGGTGAAGAAGTGGACTGTTGGAGCTGGTGTTGGTGGTGACTCGCTGAAGTGATCCTCGTGCTATGAGCTGGCTTGACGTTGGAACAAGTGATGAACGTGTGGTATGAGAACGAGGTGTTGCGGTGACGGTTGACTTGTTGCTAGGAAGAGTCGTAGATGGTGTTGATGTAGGTACTTGGGGTCTTGTAGCTGTTGATTGCTGCTGCATGGGATGATGATGAGCTTCTGTAGTTGCCTCTGGAGTGATGGCTGGTGATGGGTTTGATGGCGTAGTGGTGGGCTGATCCGGTTGGCGTTGAAATTGTGAGGTTGGTGTTGATATAGCTGGCTGGTTTGTGACTGTTGGCTGCTGCTCCTTTGGTGGTGATGGAACGGTGACTTGCTGCGGTGGATTGTCTTCATTTGATGGCTGAACTTCATCTCCACTTGGTTGAGTAGCTGCTGGTGGCACTGGCGTGGCACGGCTGGACTCGTTGACGACGGCTTGAGGGAGATCGATGATCGGTCCGCTATGGTCAGAATCGGTGACATAGGGACTGGACTTATAGGGAGGACTTGACTGAGGAAAACGAGAGGGTTTGTATGGGTTGGAAGGTGACTGAAATTTCGTACCGTAGTAGGGTTGAGGGCGGTTTGGGCTGAAATTTCCTTGCCTCTGGAATTGGTTGCCATATCTTGTGGCTGCTGCAGCACTCCACGCACCTTCGTCACTCCGCTTGTTCCGTGCAAGGTCTTGACTCTGCTGCTCGTTGACAAGGGCTTCAAAGATGAACGCACGACTCTTCATTGACTGCGGGAGCGCTTGTAGTGTTGCACGGAAAGTGTCCCACTCCGGTGTAAGGCCGGTGAGGATGACGGTCTTGAAAAGAGACTCTGGAATCTCCAAACCGATCGTTGCTGCTTCCTCCAACATTGGTTCAGCTCGTTGTAGGTAGGCTTGTGCTGATTCATCTTCTTCCATCTTCAGATTCATGAAGCGGCTCCACATCTCGGCTTGGCTGCTCTCGGATTTTGACTGGTGCATAGTCTTCAGTCGGCTCCATGCTTCCTCTGCACTGTTTGCCTTGGTAGAACAGGGCAAGAGCAACTTCAACTGCTGCTCGTGAATGCTATTGAGTAGGTAGAGGAAGGCCTCCTTGTTGCATCGTTCGTAAAGTCGTTTTTCAGCTTCTGAAGCATCTGCTGCTGGTTTGGCTGCTTCTCCAGTGTAGTAAGGCCACAGATCCACAAGGGATGCAGTGAGCTCAAACTGAGTTGCCCATGTTGGAAAATCTTTGCCGTTGAACTTGGGGAGGTGAAGCTTAGGCATGAAGGAGGTGAGTGGTGAGTATGTTGTTGATGGACTGCCTGGTGCAACTGCTTCCACTAATCCAGTAGCTGCTGATGTTGACTCTGAAGCTCCTCCGGCTGGCTGGAGTGCAGGACCAGATGGATTGTCTCCCGCCATGTTCGTATGGAGCTAGGATAGGAACTTGGTGGGCTAGGTTGATCGAAACGACGAGCTCTGATACCAACTTGTAAAACAAAGTAGCTGTGACTACTGGAGGGCTGGAAACTTAGCTGGAAAGTCTTAGCAGGGCTGCTGGAATTGACTGGATGAGGTAAAACTTCACTATGTTCAAGATTAACAAGCCCACTAAAGCACAACTCTTTAGGCATCACAAACAAGACATATTGAAAGCTCAAACTAGGCTGATAGACAATGTAACTTCCCTGGTAACTTGGGCACAATCTAGATTGGATGGACCTTGAGTGACTTTGAGTGCCACATGAGGTGCATGAATAAGAAAACTCTGGATATTTCTGTTATAGCTTATTCTGATGTGTAGAAACTTGTAGAAACTGCCAACACTTCGGTTTGTAGGCAGCTTTGAACTGTATCGAGTCTTCGGCTGAAATCTGATTGGTGGTGGAACTTTCGAAGTACTTCCCGAAGCCTCTGATTCATCGCCGACATTCCCCCTTGCTGGTGCTTGTGTGCAAACTGCTGGGGCGGCAGAAACTCGATTCTCCAACATCTTCCACCTTCTCACACATTCCTTCTCTATCTCTCTCTCCCTTCTCACGCCGTAGGCCGATTTCCACCATTTCACCTAGAATCATCCACGCGCTTCCATTTCGCCGTCATTCCGCCGTCGTAGAGGCTTTCGCCATAGGTTCCGTGGTTGGGCGAACCAACCCTAACAGGGGAGCTATCGGCAGGCGTGTGAGCAGCGGGCGCACCTCGATGTGGGCGGACGACACCCGCTGGAATACGGCGTGCATGGCGACCCACCCTCTCCGCTGCGCCCGCTCCGCTGCGCCTTCTCCGCGCCGCCTGGTGCACGCAGCTTCGTGGAGGAGCAGCGCGAAGGCCGTAATTGTGGCACTGGCGGGCTGCTGTGACGCGTGACGAGGGGAATTGGCCCCAGTACTCGTCCGTGCTCCTCCGCACCATTAGGGATTCCCCTGCGCCTTTCTGCGACAGCGCGGTGCTACCACGGCCTACCCGCCATCGCGCGTCTTCGTCTCACGTCGCACAAGCGCATTTTGCTTTGTGGCGCTGATTGCGGCGCATTTTCAACATGATCAACTTCGCTGTAAACTGTCTCTATAAGCTTGGGCTACCAAATGTTTAGAATTCATTACAAAATGTACATTCAGACAATGCAGTGGGACATACGGTAAAGGCTCACAACTCGAGCCATCCACTTCCTTCCATAGCAAGCGCCGCACTCTGACTTGGCATCATTTCACACAATAAATAATGCGCTACAGCAACAGCTGGGTGCGATATGCGGCGACATTGCTTGTAAGTGTCCCTTTGAGACATCTTGGAAGTATGAGGGCATGGCTGTGGGGTGGCACTGGTGTGGCATCATTGCTTGTAGGGCCCAGTGTAGCGCACCCAGAAGGCAGAACCACCTCCTCTGCCCCTGGCAGCAGCGATACGATCGTCCACATAGAACCAGGTGAAGAAAGGGTCCTTGCTGCCCGCCTTGCCCTCCCCCGGCACCCTCCCCTTGTCCTCCTCCTTTCCTATCCCCCACTGCCATGTGCCCATGGGGTGACGTGTGTGGCAGGGGAAAAGGAGATGATTGGGAATGCAAGGGCAGCACAGTTGGAATGACTATTGATTCGAGGCATAAGCACTGGTGGCATGCATGGAGCGAAGAGGCTGCGCAGGGAGCAGACGAGTGGAGACAGCAAAGAGAGAAGGGAGAAAGAGAGGGAGAGAGTGAGGGGAAGTGCAGGAGGCAGGTGCAAGACTGTGTCAGACTGACCTGGAAGGAAGTGGGGAATCTCAGGCCCCCGAAACCATGAATGTGCCTACTCGCTCCCACACTTGTCAGACTGACCTGGAAGGGCGGCAGGCTGACCTGGAAGGGTGGCAGGCTGACCTGGAAGGTCGGCAGGCTGACCTGGAAGGGCGGCAGCGGGCCGAGCTTGAGGGTGAGTGTGTGGAAGGTGAAGGCGAGGCGGCGGCCAGTGAAGCCCATGGGGCCCTGAAAGGTGAGGTAGCCCACCGGACCCAGGAACACCCCGTTCTCTATTTCCATCGCCTGGTGGGGAGAGAGGTGGAGAGGAGGGGGAGAGAGGGGATGGGAAAAGAGAGGAAAAAAGGGGAAGGTGATGGATGGTGTTCCTTGAAAGGTGACGTAGCCCACCGGGCCCTGGAACACCCCATTCTCTATCTCCATCGCCTGGTGGGAAGGGAGAGGGGAAAGAGAGGGAAGGGAAGGGGAGGAGAGAGGAGAGGAAAAGGTGAGGATGGGATGGTGTGGCAGGGATATTTGGGGAAAGATACTGTTCAATGAATGGTAAGAGCTGGAGGGATATAGCTGGCAGTGATGGAAGGCGGATGGGAGCAACGGTGGTGGCCAGGATAAATGATGGTTGGCTACATGCAGCAGTGACAGGTGAGTGAAATAATGAGCGCGTGAGGCAGCAGTAGGAGCGCGGAAGGGGAGAGGGTACTGACGGTGGCATCGAAGCGTTGGATGGCGGCGATGGGGAAGTACGAACCCGTGCCCTCCCCGCCCTTGGCCGCCTTGCGCACCTGCTCACAGGGGCACGGGGGGGAACAGATGGGGCACCCGACGGGCCACGTGGCATGAGGAGTGGGAGAGAGGGCACATGGCACATGACAGCACACCATGTCGCCACCACCCACGCGCGCACACACCAGTCGCCCCGGGCACGCACCTCGCCGCTACCAGCAGTGAACACGAGCTGCCACATGTGTCCAGGCGATGCCGCCCCTCCCAGCGCCGCCAGCCACGCCTTGCTCTCCTCCGCGCCCACCTTGCGCGTCTCCAGCCGCCGCAGCGCCGCAAACACCTCCTCGCCCTTCACCTGCTTGCTACGCGCCGCCTCCGCCAGCACCGCCACCGCCGCCTCAATCTCCGCCGCCTCCGCGCCCGTGTCTTCCGCGCCCGCACCCGCGGAGGCTGGCGCGCGGGAGGGCAGCGGGGAATGGTTGGTTGGGCAGGCAGCGCAGGAATGCAGTATGCGCAACACACGAGGGGCAACGAGCGGGTACGGGTTGCAGCCGGAAGGAAGACACGCGAGCACGCCCGCCCGCATGCACGCACGGCTGCACGACCACAATGCATGAGGGCAGAGGCACGCAATCTTCTGGAGCGAGCACGCAACCACACGAGCGCGCAATCCACGCGAGCGCGCTGCTATTTCCTCCACGACTACCCTACGGACGTACCAGTGACGACTACGCGGCGCCGCGCCGCCACCGTTGAAGGCGCCCTCACGGCGGAAAATCGGCTCACGCCCGCACCGCGTGGCACGCGCGCACAACCCGCCGATAGTGACAGAGATTGCGACGCGGGCGCCCCAATAAAGGGGGATGGGCGGCAAAGAGCGAGCGGTTGGGCCATGGCGTGCGACATGGAGAGGTGGCGCGGTGACGAGACGACACGTGGCTGGTGGTCGCTGTACTGCGCTGAAGTGGAACGAGCGTGTGAAGTGTGTCAGGTTGAAGTGAATTGGGACTCGGTGAGGAAGGCAGCCGGCCTCGCTCTTTGCACGGGCCTATGGCGAGGACAAATACTGATCTTATAACGAGCTCAAAACAGCAATTTCATTTTAGCCACCGTAGCCTATTTACAAAATATGCAAGCGAGTGTAATGCTGGCTCGTTTGCCCCAGGTGGCCCATCCTTACGCATGCCATGCCTGCTTCAGCGCACCCGGGGCTTCTTGCGGCGCAAGGGGGCGGGCAGCAGAGGTCCCATGGCAGCACGGTGGGGGTCCGGTGCAGGAGGTGCAGCAGGAGTAGAAGAAGATGGCTCCAATGAGGCAAGGGTGAGAGACTGGTCACTGTGTGATGTGGGTACATCAACCATCGCACCACCACCCCCCTTGCTCCCTCTCTCCGCATCCACCCCTTCCCTCCCGCCCATCATCTCCTCCCCCATCTCTCTGCACCCACCCAAAGCACCAGAGACCTCATTACTTGCCACAACACCCCTTATCTCTTCCCTTTCCACTCCTCCCGTCTGCTCCATCCACAGCTGTTGCTCTTCCTCTCCCCTTTCCCTCCCCCCTGCCTCTGCCACCTGCCCCTCCCCGTGCTGCTCCTCCCCCACACAGAACCCCCCTCCATACATGAGCGCATGCAGGGAGCTGTACGGTGCTCCCCTCTGCCCTGTGCTTGCTGCTGCCGTATAGGCTTCACCCGAGGCATGGCGAGGGCAGTCATGCTGTTGCTCCTCTGCCCCATGCGAGTGTCGCTGCACCACCCACGTCCCCTCACTCTCACCTCTCCCACATGCCTGCCCTGCTGCGTCCCCCTTCCCTCCTCCCTCTCCCCCACCGACACCTTCCACCCCTCCCTGCCCGCCTGCTTGCTGTTGGCTACTTCGCCCTGTCGCAGTGAGTGCGCCAGTGAGTGTGGGTTTGGGTGTAATTGTGCCTGTGCCTGTGGGAGAAGTGCGTCGGGCCACAGGCCGCGCAGTGAGAGGTGAATGCAGGTGTTCCTGGGGATGAAACACGTCATCAGTACTATCGCTATCGCCATGCGCATCAGCAAGGTCAGCATCGCTCCCACTGCTGCTCGAGTGCGAGTCACTCAGGGAAACCCCATCAACCCCATCAGCAACCACGCCAGCATCGGATTTTCCCAGCTGCAGGCGCGGCCGTTTGGCCTCACGTCTTGGCTGCACCCTCATTGGCACGCCTGTTCCCCCACGCTCAGCCGCACCCCCCTCCATACCACCCTCAGCCCCTCGCGTGCTGCCAGCATCTCTGCTCTGTTCTGCTGCCCCCCCCTCCGTGCCCCTGCCATGCCTCTCCTCCTCCCCAGACTCGCCTGAGGATGCCCACTCGCCCTCCGCCTCCTCCACCGCATCTCCCTTTTTCCTCCGTCCCACACGCCCTCCCCTTCTTCCCCCTCCCCTGCCTCTCTCTCTCGCAACACCCCGCCCTCTCCCTCGCCCTTTCCCTGCTCGACCCTTCTTCTCCCCGCCCACAGCAACAGCAGCACCCTTGGCCTTCCCACGCCTCACACCAGTCGCCCCACCACCACCACCACCACCTGCTACCACACCATCCTGCTCCCTGCCACCAGAAACATTCCCATTGCCCGCACCACCAGCAGCACCAGCAGCATTAGCAGTAGGGGCATGAGCGTCAAGGATATCCTCCTCCTCTGCGTCTTCCTCCTCAGGCGCAGTGACCCCCGAGGGCGGCAGCATGAGGTGCCAGGCAGCGCTGCCAGCGATGCCGGTGACGGCCCGCTGCACGCGGCGCGACCTGATCTTAGCAAAGCGCTGCTTGAACGAGTAGAACGCCTCCAGCCGCTGCTGGGTCTGGTGGGGTGTGGTGGGGGGAAGAAGGGATGGGGGGAATGGGAGATGGGAGATGGTACAAGAGAATCCGAATGGGGGTTTGTGAAGCAGCATATGGGCAAGAAATCCCGAATGTGCGAACAGTGATGGTGTCACGGCTTGCAAGCACACCTGGTACAGCGGCATGGCATGAAGCATGGCATGTGGCATGGCGTGGAACATGGCATGCAGCACGGCATACCACAGCATGGCATGGCATGGGGGAGCCTACCTGGCGGGAGGAGGCGGCCTTGACGACTGGCAGCAGCAGCGCATCCGCCTTCTCTGGCGCCATGCCCAGCTTCGCCACACACAGCCTGCCACGTGGCATGCAGGGACAGGCGGACGGGGGAGCAGGGAAAAAGGGTTGGCAGCGGGAGCAGGAGAGGGAGGGAGGATGCGGGAGCACACAAGCTGTGAAAGGAGGAGGCACAGAAGGAACAATGGAGGGCCGGGGCAGAGAGAGATCGCAAAACAGGAGGGTGGGCAAGGGAAAGTGGAGGGAGAGTGGAGGAGTGGGGAGGGTGGGAGGCGGAGAGGGAGGGGAGGCGCACTGGCGCAGGGCGGGGAGGTCGGGCGGGTGCCAGGAGGGCGGGGCGGTGCTGCGGTCCACATGGGGGCGGTTGAACGCCGCTGCCACCGCTGCACTGGGGAAGTTGCCCGGCACCACCCACTGCCTCCGCACCCCCGCCTGCCAGGGTTCAGGGGAAGGTGGAGTGGGGTTGGGTGAGGTGAGGTGGAATGGGGCGAGGTGGAATGGGGTGGAATGGGGTGGAATGGGGAGGAATGGGGTGGGTTGTATTGAAGGGGATGGCAGTGGTGTGGCAGGGAATACAATCAAACAAGAGGGTGCAATCCACGTTCCTCTGCAAGGCAAGGCGCAAGCAAACGTGGAAGACGAGGCATGTCAGGCACTTGCACTCACATGCGTGGCTTCAAATTCTCGCCTCCGTGCCTCGGCCAGCTCCCTCCTTGCCTCCCGATCCTCCTCTGACCCCCCCTTGCCCTGCTCCTCTCCCTTCCTGCTGCTCTTCCCCTTGCCACTCCGTTCCTTTCCCACAACCTCGCCCTTCCTCCCATTACCTTTCCCCCTACCTTCCCCACCCTCCTCCCCCTCCTCCTCCTCCTCATCCGACGCCTCATCCTCCCACCACCCATCGTCATCCTCCTCCCACCCATCTGCCGCGGCCACAGCACCACCCGCTGCACCGCCCTCTGCTCCCCCAGGTAGCAGGTGGGCGAGGGCGGCGGCATGGGGGGAGTCAAGCCAGTGGCGGAAGCGCTGCAGCCCGCGTGCACCCGGGAAGGCATGGATCACCTCAATGGCGTTCACCACTCCGATGCCACTGGCAGCGGAAGCGGGGGAGGGGGGGGGATTTGCCTTTGCCATTGACCATTTCAAGAGAGCTGCTGACTAGCAGGACAAGGAGAACAAGCCAACTAAAATTGAAGAAGGGGCAAAAGCTTGAAAGCCTAAGCAGGATATCACTATCTCCAACAAGGACCTGCAGTACAGTGCCAGCACCGTCACGACAGCCCTCGACCTTGATATGATTTTGACCATGATGCTAGTTATGATTTCGATCAAAGTCGCTCATCTTCCGAACTCGGTTTATCTTTTCTAATGGTTATCTGGATGGTGATAACTTCACACGGATTATGTCATTCCGCGCACCTGATCCCGGGCGTGTAGTCACAACCCAATAGCATGGCCATGCGCACAAGATGCCTCTTGCTGAGCCCCAGCTCTCGCTGCACGTCCTCAGCGCGATACACCTCCACATAGTGCCGATCAGAGAAGAGGTGGCGCCACAGGGTGGGAGCGCCGAAGAGCAGCGCATCGCAGTCATCTGACACGACCGCGTCCACCACACCGTGCTGCGCCAGCCATGCACACTGCGCCTCCGCCTCCATTGGCGCTATTATGTATGGCACCCCGCACTGCTGCAGCAGCTCCTGGGGGGAAGAGGCACAGAGAGTGAGGGGAGAGGCAGAGGGAAGGGAGACGGGAGGGAGGGGGCGAGGAGGGAAGGAGCAAGGAGTGAGGGTAGACCTGATGTGGGGCAAGAGTGTTGGGGGATAGAATGAATGGCAGACAGGTGGAAGGAGAGTCGCTGCAGTGATAGTTCTCACCTGCACCTCGGCCAGCATCTCGGAGGTGACAGAAGCAGCGTCCCGCTCATGTGCTCTCTTCTGCTGCCTCAGCCGCCGCCCCTCCCTCTCCACCCGCCCACTCTCCTCCTCCCACCGCCTCCTCAGCGCCGCCTCCTGCTCCTCCCACTCCCCCTCGTCCATTTGCTCCCCCTGCCCCCCCTCCTCCCCCTGCTCCTCTTGCTCATCCTGTTGCTCTTGATCCTCTTGCTGGCTCATGTCCTGCTCTGCCTGCTCCTCCTGCACGCTCAAACGTGCAATGTGGAGTCAGAGGTCAGCACACCCACCACTATGATCGTCGCACCAGTCGCATGCTGGGCACTGTCGCAGACAGGTGCAGACAGGTGATTGGGAGATTAGGGATAGATGGACGATGGACGATGGGCAATGGGTGCATGCAAGGCGCACGGCTCACCTGCACTCGTCGCTGGCCCTCCTCCATCTCCTCTCGTAGCCTCCTCGCTTCCTCCTCCAATGCTGCTCTCTCCTCCTCCACCTCTTCCACTCCCCCCTCCTCTCCCTCCACTGCCCCCGCTCCCTCCGCTTCTCGCTCCCCTCCACTCCCCCCCACATCCTTCTCAAAATCCACTGCACCCGCACTCTGCTGCGCAGCTCGCTTCCTCCCCCCCACGTCCTGCAGGCTCCTCCTCACGGCCTCTGCCACCTGCTGCTCCTCCCACGCCCTCCCACGCCTCTGCTCGCCAGCAAGAGAGCCCGCGCCCTCCCTCCCTGCACGGGTAGAGGCACTTGGCGCCGCAGATGCAGCGGCGGAGGTGGGGGTGGGGGCAGGGATGGTTGCGGGGGTGGGGACAGGGGTGGGGGTAGGGGCATAGGGCGGGCCAGGTTGGGGGGATGGAGGCGCCTTGCTTGGTTTCATGTGCTGCACTATGACTGGCGCTTCCTCCCATTCCACGTCAGCCTCCATGTCCACGTCAGCATCACCTGGAGAACCCTTTCCCTGCACATTCTTCTCTGCAGCAACCCTTGCCTCTCCTCCCTCCACATTTCCTTGATCTGACTGTACCTCCTCCTCTTCCCCTCCTCCGTCCTCCCACTCCACATCCTCCTCCTCCTCTTCCTCTTCCTCCTCCTTCCGCCAATCTTCTGCATCCGTCCCCGTGACATGCGCAGGTGCCGAGGTGGCAGCAGGTGGCGGGGTCGGGGCAAGTGCAGTGGAAGGAGCAGCGACCCCACCGGCCGTGCGTGGTGTGGCGGTGCTTGGTGTGTGCTTCTGCGTTGGTGCTGCTTCTGTGACCTTCCCAGCAGCCACTAGCATTGCAAACAGCTCATCCTCGAACTCACCTCCTTCTCCCTCTTCCTGCTCTTCCCCTTCCCCTCCCTCACCTCCCTCCAAACCCCTTCCCTTCTCCTTCTCGTACCCACCATCTGCTCTTTTAGACCCCCTCCCACGTACACCTCCTGCTGCCCCACCTTCCCTGACAGCAGCACCATCATCATCATCAGCAGCAGCAGCATCAGCAGCGGCGGCGGCAGCAGGCCCCGTCCCATCCTCCCACTGAACCTCCTCCTCGTCACCTCCTTCCCGCTCTTCACCCTTCCCCCGCACACCCTCACTACCCTTCATCATCTCCCCACCTATATCCCTTCCCTTCTCCTCCTCGCCCCCATTCCCCGTGCCCGTCGCCCTCTCCTTCTCCCGCTCGCGCATGAGCACCAGGTTCCACTGCAGGTCACGAGTCATACGCACGCCCATGCCCCGCACGCGACTCACTCGCACCCTGCCCTGTTCATCCCTGTATGTCGGCACACTTCCACCCTCCGCTGCCCCTCCTGCCGTCTCCCCCTCGGCTGCCTCTTTGTCATCGCCATCAGCAGCATTGTCTGCTGCAGCGCTGCCAGCAGCAGCATTGGAGCCACTGCCGCCAAGAGGAGGGGCATCACGAGCAGCAGAACCGGGAGCAGCGTCTGTGTTGGCAGCACTGCCACTTGTCTGTGTCGACTGCGCCGTGCCTTCCTCTGCCACCAGCGCCAGATACGCCTCCTTCACTGCCTCCCCCTCTTCTTCCGCCCCCTCCACCCTCGTCTCAACGCCTCCACTCACTCCACACGCCCCATCCCCGGCCCCGCCAGTCCCACCGTCCTTTGCCTCTCTAGCGCCCTCCCCCGACTGTCCCCCCGGCTCCCCCCTCCGCCTCCCCCTCCCCCAGCTCACCGCCTGCTGCAGAATGCCAGGCAGCTGCAGCAGCCCCTCCGCGCCCCCCTGCCCCCTCCCTCCCCCCCAGGAGAAATCCCGCAAACCATCCCTCTCACACTCGTCCTCTGCCCCCTCCTTGTCCTTATCCCCTTCCACTTGCTTCGCCTTGCCACTTCCCCCTCCTCCCCTCCTCTCCCCCCAAGCATCTTCCCCCGTCCATCGGTGCCCCCAGGCGCCCTTCCCCCTGCCCCTCCCGCGCAGCCCCTTCCCCCCCCTGCCCTGTGCGGGTGCTGCTGACAATGGGGGCAGGCGCCGTCCTAGGGGAGTGTCGCTGCAGGCAAAGGGGGAATGGATCAGAACAAGCAGGCGGAGAGGGGAGGGGAAATGAGGGGCGAGACAGAGCAGAGGGATAACAAGGAGTGAACGAACCCACAACACCCACGCTGTTACATCCTATTAACGAACCCACAACAGCTGGAGGCGGGGGAAGTGACTGGCCTGGGTGTGGCTGGGCGAGCAGGAGGAGCAGCAGCAGGAGGACACGGTGGTACATCCTATGAACGAACCCACAACACCCTCCCTTTACGTTCCAAGCCCATACACCACCCGCGCCCTGCGCCACTCACCCCGTGCCCTGCCCCACAGAGGAGGTGAACACAAACTCCCTGCCCGCCTCCGATGCTATCCGCCCCCCGCCCACGCCCCCTCCACCCCCTCGACCCACCCCCACTCCTTCCTCCGCCTCTGCTGCTCCTCCTGCTCGCCCGGCCACACCCCCGCCAGTCACTTCCCCTCCTGATGCCCCCACTGCTCCCACTGCAGCAGCAGCAGAGGAAGAACCAGGGGTGGAATTGAGAACGGTGGAGGGAGCAGCAACGGCAACAGAGGCAGCGGCGGGGGCAGAGGCAGCGAAGGCAGAGGCGGCAGCGGAGCGCACGGAGTCGATTTGGCGGCGCATGGCAGCCGTGCGCAGATAGGCGCCCACCTGCAGCGATGAGAACGCCGCTGGCGCCTGGTGGAGGCGAGAGCGGTGCGGGACGGGAGGGTAGGGGGAAGGGGAGAGGCAGGCTGGAACAGGATCATCAGGACGGGCAGGATAGAGCGTACCATCCCACACCTCACTCACACCTACCTATCCCAAGCAACCAGCCCCCCCGCCATGCGAACCTACCTACCACTTGTGATGTTCACACCCCTGCTGTCCCCCCTCCCTCTCACCTTGGCAGCCTGCTCGAACTTGTGGCGATTCTCCGCCACCAGCTGCTCGCGCATCTGCCCACGCCAGGGAGGAGGAAATGGGAGGAGGAAGGAGAGAAGCGCAGCATGCAGCAGCAGTGCGGGGAGAGGCGGGAAGAAGAAACGGTGACGAGCAGGTGAGAGGACCGAAGGAGAGGCCACATATTCAACTGTAGCACACTTTAAAACCATCAACTGTAGTGTAGCACACTTTAAAACCATCAACTGTAGTGTACCACACTTTAAAACCATCAACTGTAGTGTACCACACTTTAAAACCATCAACTGTAGCACACATATTGCACCATGAGCTGGCTGTAGCACGCACACCCACCTGCACCATCAGTTGTAGCTGCAGGGAGGGTGGCAGCGAGGCCAGCACTGCCGGATCCAGGGGTGCGCCTCCCCCAGATGCCACCTCCGGCTGGTGGCCGTGGCACCAGAACATGTGGGGCATGGGGAGCGAGAGAACTTAATTTCAAATAAATGGAAGTTGCATCTGAAAATTCTAATCCAGAAAGCGGAAAGTTATACATGGAGGGGAAGGAATGGAAAGCGGCATATGAGCATGAGGCACGCACCAGGAGCGCCATAGCTTGTTCGGTCAAGTCGTCCTCATCACTGTCCTCGTCGCTGCCATCATCACCTCCCTCCATTTCCACTGGCCCCCTGGCCGCCTCACCACCGCCCGCACCACCAGCAGTAGCTGCAGCTACCGAAGCCACAGCAGCAGCAGCAGCAGCAGCAGCAGCAGCACCGGCATCACGGGAGGTGCCTGCCACGTTCGGGGCAGCACCAGAGGTGCCCGCGGATTGCCCTGCCCACTCAGCTGCCAGCGATGCTGCCAGGCTGGCAGCAACAGGGGGAGCATAACAGGAATAATGCCAGATTTAGCACGGTGAGGGGAGGTGCAGCGCAGCAAGGAAGTAAGGAAGCAATGAGGAGAAGAAAGAAACGAGGATGAGTTTGAAGCTCAGCAAGAGGCGGGCCTGAGACATACAGAGCATCAGCGTGCTCTTGATCCCTCCTCGCCTCCTCATTGCAGCCTCCCTGCTCCTGCGCTGCCTTGTTTTCTGAACAGCGCCTCCCTCGCCCCTCATCCTCCTGCCTCTTATCGCCCACCACCTCTTCCACTTTCTCCTTTCCTTTGCCCCCTCCCCGCGCCCCTCCTGTCCCCCTGCCCACCGCCCGCCCCCTGCCCCTCTGTTGCATCTCCTGTGCTGCCTCTTCCAGCTTACGCAGCCGCAGCTGCCAGCAACACAACACCACAGAGCCGAGGGAAATGGTGGAGCAGAGAGAGACAAGAGATGAACAACGCAAATAAACAGTGTGAACCCCCAACTCAGTTTCTTCTTACAACCGCAAGTCACTGCACCACCTCCACGCTACCCGATTCAACAAAGCCTCTCTGTCTCCCCGTCATCCGCCACCCCCTTCCCTTTCTTCCCCCTCTCCCCCTCCCCCCACCCTCCACTGCCCGCGCGCACCTGGTTGAGCAGCAGCTTCTCCGCCGTCCTGCGCAGGTTGATCTGCGCGTTCTCCCGCTGGCGGCGGCGCGCAAGGACGGTGCGGCGCTTGAGCGCGGGAGTGGCGCCGTCGAAGACGATGAGCGGGCGGATGCGCAGGAAGAGAAGCTTGCACACGCGCCGCAGGAAGCCCAGCAGGTGCGCGCCTGGCAGCAGCTCGCCGCGATCGTCGCGCATCGCCTTGAGAAACTGCACCAGCCATATGCTCGCATCTGACCCGCACCAATAGGGGGGAATTGGGGAAGGCGCATGGTTAGAACAGGCGACTGCGCCGTTGGCAGCCAGTGACGCGGAATGGCGGGACAGACTGGGTTGGAAGAATCTGAGATTAAGAACTCGCAACGAAACGTAATAGAGGAATGCTGAAAAAACGCTAGCGTCTAACGAATTAAATCAGGAATACAGCTGATCGGTAAACGCTCACGTCTTTGCTAAAACAAATCACGAGCAATGCGACAGCATTGCCTTACGAATTTGGCCAGACAGTTGACGCAAGATAACAACAAGAAAATCCGTCTTTCTAGTCACAAACGAAGCGCTAGAAAAGATTCAACGTGCGTCACGCACAACGGAACGAGCCGCTGGGAATGTTCACCAGAGCCGTACTGCGCAATCCTACCACACACTAACACGCTCGAGCGGAACGAACCGCTGCGCAGCGAATCCGTGCGTTGGTAAGGCTGCGCAGTCCTACCAGTGCACGAATCTGCCCGCTACGGAACGTACCGACAGCTACCGTCTTGTTGGCGAGGGCCTCCACGGACACGCGTCGGCCCACCGGCGCCAGCAGCTCCCACAGGCCCTGCACTCCCATGGCCGCCCGCACACGGGCTCCAGATTCTCACGCTCAACCTGCGCGACCTCGTTTACTACTCGTACGATCGCACGGCAACAACTGATCGCTGCGTGTACATCGCTGCGTCGTTACGTGTACATCGCTGCGTCGTTACGTGTCTGCTGCTAGTCCGCTACGAGTTTTGAAATATGTGTGTGTGAGGCGAGAGGGCCCTGTTCGAATCGAAGTTCCTCCTGATTGGAATGGCTGGCAGAGGCGAGAAGCAAGCAAGCGTGCTTCTGACGCTCGATGTGGAGAAAGGCTTGTACGTGTACATGCTGCACTCCGACTGGGTTGATGAGCAACCTCGTTATAGTCTAAACGTAAACTGGTGATAATTCGCCTGGAACTGTGAAGTTGCAATATGTTTCCCATGGTCATTCTGGACACCAGTTCGCATTACAGAACGCCAGGTCAACAGGGTCCACTGAAAAATAAATGTACGACTGCTCAATGCAGAGTACGGAGTAGCCTGTTTGCACGTTTGCAGGGTCCACTGAAATGTCGATGTACGTCTGCTATCTGAGAAAACAGACAGCACGTTTGCAACCGTCCAGATACCGTCACCCCCCGGATATACCCCCATGGGGGGCTATAATATAACATGTTTTTTTGAGGGGGTGGGCTTATAATATAGTAAATTTATAAGCGCCGGCGTTTATAATTTGTCAAATTTGAAATTTGTTTTTTAATATACCAAATCGAAGCATTCTCAAACGCGGATTCACCTGGGTCGAGAACGTTCGAAACTGTGCATGCATTGCGTGTGAAACAGCCAACAAGGCGTGGCTTCACGCCTTCCACGCCTTGTTGGCCAGGCCAGGTTCATCGAACGTGAACCTGGCCCATGCCAGTGCACACGTACCTCGCATCACAGCGGCCCAATCAGGGTTGCATGCGATCGTGGGCACGTCGTGGTTCAGCCACGGTGTGCCCATCAACAGCAAAATTCCCCGCCACCGAGGCAAGGAGCTGCCCAGCTCAGCTCCTCTGCGGGGAATCTTGACTGGGGCCACCCTTTTCCCGCAGAGGAGGCCGGGCCGCGAAAATGAAGGGGTCTCGGGCGAGGGCTTCATACAGCCCTCATTCTCGACTTTTGCCTTCAGTTTCTTTGTTCGTTTGGCCTGCCGTGGCCATGGCGGGCCTTCCAGGCACGCATTTCTTGTTCCGCCGCCATCCTGCTGCCAGAGAAAACACCCGCCGAGACACCTGTGACTACTCTCAATGGCAGTCGCGCCCTGCGCCCGTCCCTCCGTGTCAACCAGTAGCTCCTCCCGTTCCTCCCACTCCCCCAACTCCTCCTGCACCTCCCGCTCCCCCGGCGCCTCCGGTTCCTCCAGCTCCTCCGTCCCCTCCTGACCCGCCTGTGTTTTGTGCTCCACGTCAGGGGGTCCTGCAGCTTCTCCTCCCTCCTGGCTACTCGGCGTTTGACGCGTACCTGTCCGAGCCCGACCGCGCCGGTGGCGCATCGTCTTCCTCCGCACCGTCGCCACGCTGGGGAGCCCCGGCTGATTGCCCGTTGGACGAATCCGCGACTGGTGCGGAGGATGACGTGGAGTTTTGGGCTGCCGACGGTCTTCCAGAGCACCTGCCTATTCCCACCTTCCCCCCCCCCAATAAGAAACGGCCCCACCCTTCTCGCGAGAATCGCGATGCCCGTCCTCCCTCCCCCAGGCACAAGCCTTCAAGTCACAAGCGGCACTCTTACACATCGCAGGAGAAACTGCAGTGGATTCTCAAGCTTGAGTCCGGGCACATGAGCGTGCGGCAGATGTCTCGCCAAACCGGCATCTCCCGAAGGTCACTCGCAGAATGGAAGACCCGGAAGGCTGACCTGGAGGGCGCGCATGCTGCTCGCAAGCGTCTTCATGGGCGCGGAAGGAGCTCGCGGTCTCGATTGCTCGCCTACAGAAGTGGTCGCATGAGGTGATGAAAGAATTGCACCCACAGGTAAAGTGGTCCGGCTCGCAGCGGTGGACTGAGCGGTTTCGCCGCCGTTGGAATCTGACAACCCGAGCGAAGACCAGGGTCGGCCAGAAGCTTGCTGCCAGTGAGTTTTGTGGGAAATGGTTGCAGTTTAATGTGTACTGCTTTGTGTTGTTTGTCTCTTTATGTTTCACGGTTGAATTTTAACGCGTCATTAATACTCTCTTCTCTCTTTCCCTCCCACCCGTACTCCCAGACTGCGAGACTGACGTCAGGAATTTCTGGAAGTTCGTGCGTCACACCCGCCGCCAATACAAGATTGACCCGCAGTGGATAATAAACGCGGACCAGACACCACTGTGGCTCGAGATGCCTGCCGAACGCACAGTCGAGGAGGTAGGTCTGCGCTCTGTGCCTATCCGCAGCGGCGGCTATCAGAAGGAGCGAGTTACGGTGATGCTCGCCTGCACTGCCAGCGGTGAGAAGCTGAAGCCGTGGGTCTTCTTCAAACGGAAGACCCTGCCTAAAGGGGATTTCCCTTCAGGCGAGCATTAACACCCACTGCTGCATGTTTTTTTTTTTTCTATGTCTACTGATGTTGTACGTGCGTTTATGGCTGTGCAGATGTTACGGTGTCCGTCCATCCCAACGGTTGGATGGACGCGGACGGAGTCATCGAGTGGCTCGACGGGGCAGTGAAGCCGTTCGTCCACCCCAAGTTCGGAGTGAGGCCCCGCAAAGCGATGCTCGTCTTGGATTCGTACCGCGGGCACCTGACTGCGGAGGTGAAGAAGAAGTTCGGGGAGCTGAACATCGTCCCTGCCGTTATCCCAGCTGGCTGCACCTCGGAGATTCAACCTCTGGACGTCGCGGTGAATCGCTCCTTCAAGGCATCCGTTCGCCAGCTCTACCAGGAGTGGTTCGAGAGCGAGGGGGTCGACACCTTGACAAAGAAAGGTGAGAGAGGCAGGCCATGCGTGTGCTGCTTTAACAGTTTGTAGCGGTGGCTGACTTTTGATTGTTTAAATTTTATGGCAGGCAACATCAAGAAGCCACCACCCGAGCTAACGCTCAAGTGGATATCAGCGGCTTGGAAGGCCGTGCCCAGGGACTTGATTCAACGGGCTTTCCTCACCTGTGGCATTAGTAACGCCCTGGATGGGTCCCAGGACAAGATGTGCCTGCAACACAGGCGCGACGAGCTTGAGGGCGACGAAATAGACATCGACGACGACATTGCAGCAGATGGCTTTTTCTGCAACAACGTAGAAGAACCAGAGTCGGACTCTGAGGCCGACCCGGATGATCCTACCGCAGCTGATGACTAGATTACGTAGATCTAGAAATTGTTGTAGCCTGTGAGACTCGTAGGTAGATTTAGAACTGTAATTAGAAAAAACTTTAGACAAATTGACTTTGTAATTAATTAGAAGAAAATATACAATGTTAATGTGGTTAGTGAAGCGTGTAGAATTTTTTTTTTTTTAAAAAAGTGGCAGTTATAATGTGTAAGGTACAGGTATGCGGCTATAATCCGTACGACTCTAGGGTATGCGCTTATAATCGAGGAGGGGATATAAGCGCCATATGCCAATTAGAAGCGCCAGGCGCTTATCCTAGGGTGGCGCTTATATCCGGGGGGTGACGGTATGTGCGCGGCTGCTCAATGCTGAGTATGTAGCAGAGTTACAGCCCAGCTACAGCCCATCTATAGCCTAGCTACAGCTCATCCCTGACATCCGAGTCCACGGCTTTGCTCTTCTTGGTCTTGCTCTTCTTCTTTTTCTTCTTCGATGCCTTCTTTGCTGCCTCCGCCTCTGCTGCCTTCCTGGCTGCTTCCTCCTCTGCCTCCTTGTCAGCCTGCCATGTGAGAGGAAAGAGGAAGGGGAGGGAGGGAGGAGGGGGGTGAGTGAGAAGAGAGTAACACATGATCAAGAGAATCACTGCGATGGCGAAGTGCGGACCTGCCATGGCAACATGCTAGAGATGGCAACAGGGGTCAAAGGGCGACATGCGCTGACCTACCATGGCCACCATGCGCTGACCTACCATGGCCACCATGCGCTGACCTACCATGGCAACAGGGGCAAAACGGCAACCATGTGCTGACCTGCAGAATCTTGTGCTCCTTAGAGGCGACGGCATCGGCGTCCTCCACCTGTCCCGTGTGGATGCCACAACGTGCACATGTGCAAAACGTGCATGCCACAAGGTGATGTGACATGCAAAACAGGGCCACCATGCGCTGACCTGCAGAATCTTGTGCTCCTTTGAGGCGACGGCATCGGCGTCCTCCACCTGCTCGCTCATGATGTCCGCCAGATCAAACTCCTGTGCCGCGTGGATGGTGCAGCGTGGGCGCACGATGCCATGCGAGCAAGGTGACATGCGTATGACGGGACAGTCGAAACAGGGGACATGTGAAGAGGGGGCATGCAGATGAGGGAGATTAAGGGAGAGTGGAGGTACCGTCGGGTGCGATGAGGTGCGAGTGGTGTGAGATGGTGTGAAAATGCAAGACAGATGGTATGATGGCACATGGAATCAAGGAAAGATAGAACGATTTTGAGGATTACATGCAGCAGCAGCAGCAGCAGAAGCAGCAGCAGCAGCAGGCACCCACCTCCTCTGCGATCGGCTCTGGTTCTGCTGCCTCCTCTGCCGCCTCTGATGCGGGAAAAGACTCCATTGAAGGGCCCGGCAGGAACGATGGCAGGCGCTGGGGGAAGGAGGGAGTTGAGGCGAGCAGCGAGGAGGAGAGGGAAACAGAGAAGAGGGCACTGACTAGGGTTGACTTGGGGTAGGTGAATTCAGGAGAAGAGTGTCTCCGGTGTTTAATGTTATCAGAAGAGAACGGATAAGGAATGAATTTGAAACTCTTCCTCGCGTGGAGGCAGAAGGAGACTCCCCCACTCACATCGAGGGGGAAGGTGCGGACGCGGCCGGCGAGCAGCGAGTCGAGGAAGGCGTCGAGGATGGGCGGGGAGAAGCTCTCTGGCAGCACGGCGCAGCGCATCTTGCGCGGGCTCACCACCACCGCTGTCGGCAGGTCCTCATGGCTCACGCCTAGCAGCGGGAGCACTCGCGATGCCAACGCCTTGTGCCGCCCGGAGTCCAGCCACATGAAGACAAACTGGCCGCCCCGCAGCCACTTGGCTGCCACCCGCTTGAGCTGGTCGAGTGGGGAGTCGGTGTTGAACAGACCAATCACACACAGGCTGTGGGTGGGGAGAGGTGAGGGAGAGGAGAGGTGGGAGAATGCAGAAGTGGTAAGTGCGCCTGCCAGAGACTAGAGACCAATCATCTAGCAGACACCCGCTTGAGCTGGTCGAGAGGGGAGTCGGTGTTGAACATACCAATCACACACAGGCTGTGGGTGGGGAGAGGCGAAAGGGGAGGAGGGAGAGAGGGCCGAGAGCGCAGAGGTGGACAGTGCGCCTGCCAGTGACTAGACACCACTCATTTAACAGAGACCTGCTTGAGCTGGTCGAGAGGGGAGTCGGTGTTGAACATACCAATCACACACAGCCTGTGGGTGGGGAGAGACGAGGGCGAGGAGAGGCGAGGGAGAGGAGAGGTGGTAAGTGCGCCTGCCACAGCAGTGTGTGGGTGCCACAGTGTGCGAAGGCGGGAAGGCATGCAGCGATGTTACATGGCATGTCACTGACATGATTGCGTCTGACATGCTGAGTCTGACATGTCAACAACACTATAAACTGAGAAGCGCGGCCTAGAAGCAACCAATTGAAGTCGACACCGTCTGTCTGAAACGCACCGATTGGAGTCGACGCATTCTGTCTGGAAGGCATCCTCCTGCCCCTCCTTGCCCTCCCCCAATGCCACTATCTCCGCTGTTGGCGCCGCAAACTGCCGCGCTGCCGCCACCAACTGGGACAGAGAGGAGATTGAGGGGTGGGGGGTAGTAGGGGATGGGTGGAGATGTGACGTGGAGCCAGCGCGAGCCTGTGCCATTCACAGGTTGCTATGGGACAAGGGCAGCGCACTACTTGACCCTTACGCTCTTCCCTGAGAGGCCAGCCCCCAACCCACCTCCATACCATTCACAACAGCCTACCACACCCCACACCTGCATGAGCCGAGGCGCCTCAGTGTGGCTCTTGAGCGGGCCGGGGACGTGCCACCCCAACCCGCTACCTGCATCACCCACATCCCCACCCTCTCAACCCCCTACCTGCATGAGCTGCGGCGCAACAGTGTGGTACTTGAGGGGGCCGGGAAAGTCCCGCACTGTCAGCTGCACCTCGCCCTCCCTCCCTGGACTGGGCGCCGGGAACATTATCGACATCTGCCACGGTGCAGAGCGGTGGCGAGGGGTGGAGAGGGGCGGAGAGGGGTTAACAAGGGGGTGTGTTACAATGTGGGGACTGCAGTGAAGGGGACGATGGCACATGTGTATAAGGTGTGAGATGAGAGCAGTGAATCAGCATGGTATGGGATGGCATGTGCTGACATGGATGCAGCACAGGCTCACATGCACACAGCGCACTCACGTGGGGGAATTTGGCAACTTTGAACCGAGCGATGACCTTCTTCTCACTCTCATGCACCTGATGGGAGGGGTGCGGGGCAATGGGGGCGATGGGGGTGAGGGGGGTGATGGGGGTGATGGGGGTGGTGATGGGGTTGATGGAGGTGATGGGGGTGATGGGGGTGATGATGGGGTTGATGGGGGTGAAGGGGGTGATGGGGGTGAAGGGGGTGATGGGGGTGATGGGGGTGATGGGGGTGATGGGGGTGATGGGGGTGAAGGGGGTGATGGGGGTGATGGGGGTGATGGGGGTGATGGGGGTGATGGGGGTGATGGGGGTGATGGGGGTGATGGGGGTGATGGGGGTGAAGGGGGTGATGGGGGTGATGGGGGTGAAGGGGGTGATGGGGGTGAAGGGGGTGATGGGGGTGATGGGGGTGATGGGGGTGATGGGGGTGATGGGGGTGATGGGGGGGTTGATGGGGGTGAAGGGGGTGATGGGGGTGATGGGGGTGATGGGGGTGATGGGGGTGATGAGGGTGAAGGGGGTGATGGGGGTGATGGGGGTGAAGGGGGTGAAGGGGGTGAAGGGGGTGATGGGGGTGATGGGGGGTGAAGGGGGTGATGGGGGTGATGGGGGTGATGGGGGTGAAGGGGGTGAAGGGGGTGAAGGGGGTGATGGGGGTGATGGGGGTGAAGGGGGTGATGGGGGTGAAGGGGGTGAAGGGGGTGAAGGGGGTGATGGGGGTGAAGGGGGTGATGGGGGTGATGGGGGTGAAGGGGGTGATGGGGGTGATGGGGGTGAAGGGGGTGATGGGGGTGAAGGGGGTGATGGGGGTGATGGGGGTGAAGGGGGTGATGGGGGTGAAGGGGGTGATGGGGGTGATGGGGGTGAAGGGGGTGATGGGGGTGAAGGGGGTGATGGGGGTGATGGGGGTGAAGGGGGTGATGGGGGTGAAGGGGGTGATGGGGGTGATGGGGGTGATGGGGGTGATGGGGGTGATGGGGGTGATGGGGGTGATGGGGGTGATGATGGGGGTGATGGGGGTGATGAGGGTGACGGGGGTGAAGGGGGTGATGGGGGTGATGGGGGTGATGGGGGTGATGGGGGTGATGGGGGTGATGGGGGTGATGATGGGGTTGATGGGAGTGAAGGGGGTGATGGGGGTGATGGGGGTGATGGGGGTGATGGGGGTGAAGGGGGTGATGGGGGTGATGGGGGTGAAGGGGGTGATGGGGGTGAAGGGGGTGATGGGGGTGATGGGGGTGAAGGGGGTGATGGGGGTGAAGGGGGTGATGGGGGTGATGGGGGTGATGGGGGTGATGGGGGTGATGGGGGTGATGGGGGTGATGGGGGTGATGGGGGTGATGATGGGGGTGATGGGGGTGATGAGGGTGACGGGGGTGAAGGGGGTGATGGGGGTGATGGGGGTGATGGGGGTGATGGGGGTGATGGGGGTGATGGGGGTGATGATGGGGTTGATGGGAGTGAAGGGGGTGATGGGGGTGATGGGGGTGATGGGGGTGATGGGGTGAAGGGGGTGATGGGGGTGATGGGGGTGAAGGGGGTGATGGGGGTGAAGGGGGTGATGGGGGTGATGGGGGTGAAGGGGGTGATGGGGGTGAAGGGGGTGATGGGGTGATGGGGTGATGGGGGTGATGGGGGTGATGGGGGTGATGGGGGTGATGGGGTGATGGGGGTGATGGGGTGATGATGGGGGTGATGGGGGTGATGAGGGTGACGGGGGTGAAGGGGGTGATGGGGGTGATGGGGGTGATGGTGGTGATGGGGGTGATGATGGGGGTGATGGGGGTGATGGGGGTGATGGGGGTCAAGAGGGTGATGGGGGTGATGGGGGTGAAGGGGGTGATGGGGGTGAAGGGGGTGATGGGGGTGATGGGGGTGATGGGGGTGAAGGGGGTGAAGGGGGTGATGGGGGTGATGGGGGTGAAGGGGGTGATGGGGGTGATGGGGTTGATGGGGGTGATGGGGGTGATGGGGGTGATGGGGGTGAGGGGGGTGATGGGGGTGAAGAGGGTGATGGGGGTGATGGGGGTGATGGGGGTGAGGGGGGTGATGGGGGTGATGGGGGTGATGGGGGTGATGGGGGTCAAGAGGGTGATGGGGGTGATGGGGGTGAAGGGGGTGATGGGGGTGAAGGGGGTGATGGGGGTGATGGGGGTGATGGGGGTGAAGGGGTGTGATGGGGGTGAGTGGGGTGATGGGGGTGAAGGGGGTGATGGGGGTGATGGGGTTGATGGGGTGATGGGGGTGATGGGGGTGATGGGGGTGAGGGGGGTGATGGGGGTGAAGAGGGTGATGGGGGTGATGGGGGTGATGGGGGTGATGGGGGTGTGATGGGGTTGATGGGGGTGAAGGGGTGATGGGGGTGATGATGGTGGTTGATGGGGGTGAAGGGGGTGATGGGGGTGATGGGGGTGATGGGGGTGAAGGGGGTGATGGGGGTGATGGGGGTGAGGGGGTGATGGGGGTGAAGGGGTGATGGGGGTGATGGGGTTGAAGGGGGTGATGGGGGTGATGGGGGTGATGGGGGTGATGGGGGTGATGGGGGTGATGGGGGTGATGGGGGTGATGGGGGTGATGATGGGGGTGATGGGGGTGATGATGGGTGACTGGGGGTGAAGGGGGGGATGGGGTGATGGGGTGATGGTGGTGATGGGTGATGATGGGGGTGATGGGGGTGATGGGGGTGATGGGGTCTAAGGGGTGATGGGGTGATGGGGGTGATGGGGGGATGAGGGAGGGGGTGAATGGGGGTTGATGGGGGTGAATGGGGGTGATGGGGGTGATGGGGGTGAGATGGGGGTGATGGGGGTGATGGGGGTGATGGGTCAAGGGGTGATGGGGTGTGATGGGGGTGAATGGGGGTGATGGGGGTGATGGGGGTGATGGGGGTGAATGGGGGTGATGGGGGTGAAGGGGGTGATGGGGCGTGATGGGGGTTGATGGGGGTGATGGGGGTGATGGGGGTGATGGGGGTGATGGGGGTGATGGGGTGATGGGGGTGATGGGGGGTGATGGGGGTGAGGGGGTGATGGGGGTGATGGGGGTGATGGGGGTGATGGGGGTGAATGGGGGTGATGGGGGTGAAGGGGGTGATGGGGGTGAAGGGGGTTGATGGGGTGAAGGGGGTGATGGGGGTGAAGGGGGTGATGGGGGTGATGGGGGTGAATGGGGTGATGGGGTGATGGGGGTGAATGAGGTGATGGGGGTGATGGGGGTGATGGGGGTGATGGGGGTGATGGGGGTGATGGGGGTGATGGGGGTGATGGGGGTGATGGGGGTGATGGGGGTGAAGGGGGTGATGGGGGTGATAGGGGGTGATGGGGGTGAAGGGGGTGATGGGGGTGAAGGGGGTGATGGGGGTGAAGGGGGTGATGGGGGTGATGGGGGTGAAGGGGGTGATGGGGGTGATGGGGGTGAATGGGGGTGATGGGGGTGAAGGGGGTGATGGGGGTGATGGGGGTGAAGGGGGTGATGGGGGTGAAGGGGGTGATGGGGGTGATGGGGGTGAAGGGGGTGATGGGGGTGAAGGGGGTGATGGGGGTGATGGGGGTGAAGGGGGTGATGGGGGTGAAGGGGGTGATGGGGGTGAAGGGGGTGATGGGGGTGATGGGGTTGATGGGGGTGATGGGGTGATGGGGGTGATGGGGGTGAGGGGGGTGATGGGGGTGAAGAGGGTGATGGGGGTGATGGGGGTGATGGGGGTGATGGGGGTGATGATGGGGTGATGGGGGTGAAGGGGGTGATGGGGGTGATGATGGGGGTGATGGGGGTGATGGGGGTGATGGGGGTGATGGGGGTGATGGGGGTGAAGGGGGTGATGGGGGTGATGGGGGTGATGGGGGTGATGGGGGTGATGGGGGTGATGGGGGTGAAGGGGGTGATGGGGGTGAAGGGGGTGATGGGGGTGATGGGGGTGATGGGGGTGATGGGGGTGATGGGGGTGATGGGGGTGATGAGGGGGGTGATGGGGTGATGGGGGTGAGGGGGTGATGGGGGTGATGGGGGTGATGGTGGTGTGATGGGGGTGATGGGGGTGATGGGGGTGATGGGGGTGAAGGGGGTGGGGGTGATGGGGGTGATGGGGGTGATGGGGGTGATGGGGTGAAGGGGGTGATGGGGGTGATGGGGTGATGGGGGTGAGATGGGGGGTGATGGGGGTGATGGGGGTGATGATGGGGGTGATGGGGGTGATGGGGGTGATGGGGTTGATGGGGTGATGGGGGTGAAGGGGGTGATGGGGGTGATGGGGGTGAAGGGAATACAAGGTATGAGAGGGGAAGGGGCGTGAGGAACATGAGCCGGGGACATGCCACAGGTGATTGGGCAGCAGCGAGCAGTGGGCAACAGGGACCGAGGAGCAACAGCAAGGGATGATGAGGTTGAACAGTGATCAGTTCAGGCATGCATGTCGGCTGTGCATACATGGGACCAGCGAGCACACGGTTAGTGTGAGGGGCGTACAAGTAAGGGAGGGAAGAGAGAATAGAGGGAGGCGCACACACCAAGGGGCGTAATAGAGATAGAAAGCACACACACCAGGGCAAAGAGAGCGTCTTTGCGGAAGGTGGTGGAGAGCACTTTGTACATGCCAGGTGTCTCCCTCTTATTCGTGAACAGAAACACCTGCCAAGGCCGGGCGGGAAGAGAAGCGCATGTGTGGGTGGCACGGAGGAACAGCACTTGCATCGTGTCAGAAGCGGTATGGCGCATGTGGGATGTGCCACAAAGGGTATGGCACGATCGGCGCTCCACACTGCATCCACAGCACCCCCACCCTCCTTGCCCCCATCCGCCCTGCGCCCACCCCCACACTGCCAAGCCACCATCCCCAACCAGCCCCCATCCCACCTTGGGCTGCAGCGGGTTGGTCTGAGCGAAGACCTCAAGCAAGTCAGCAGCGATGTGCCACCCTCGCCCTGGTTCCCCCCAACCACTGTGCCCGCATTCCCTGTTCCCACCCCAACCAGCACGCATCCCCACCTTGGGCTGCAGCGGGTTGGTCTGAGCGAAGACCTCGAGCGAGTCAGCAGTGATGTGGCGCACAAAGGAGTCGGGCGCCAGGGCGTACACTGCTGCTGTCATGGCCTTGAGGGAGGCCGCCAGGGGCATGCGCTGGTGGCGTGGGGAGAGGAAGAGGAGGGGGGGGGGGGGGGGGGGGTATTGGGACGGCGGATAAGGGGATGGAGTGAAGGTGCAAAAAAAAAGGCTCAGGGTGAAAAAATCATTCACCGGGTGCGAACCATGAGGGGGGCAGGGAGGAGGAAGGTGAAGGGACGAGAAAGGAAGTGGCGTATTGACGTGGTATGCACAGGTGGGACACGGCGCATCATTCTCAGCATGTGAACTCACATCGGGCTCGTTCTCCTCCTTGTCGTCTCCCAAGGGGAATAGCAGCGCCTCTCCACACTGCTCCTTCACCCCGTACTTGGTCGCAAGACTGGGAGAGGTGGAAAGGGGGAGGGAGGGAGGTTGGGAGGAGGAGGAGGGACAGGAATGAGCAAGGGAGAAGACGCAGACATTGGGAAGGGGAGGAAGGGGAGGAAGGGCAAAGAGCAGCAGCTACAGGTGCCAACGAGCATTCCAAGTAGTCAGCTGGGCGACAGGATAGGGAGAGTGTGGTGTGCGAGCAGGGCAGGCAGGGACACAGATTCAATGGCCTTACCTCTTGGCATCCTCATCCGTGTGCATGTCCACCACTCCCACAAAGATCTGCCATGCAGACAGGGGGGAGGAAGGCGGAGGAATGGGGAGGAGGGAGGAGGAATGAGGAGGAAGAGCAGAGAGTGAGTGACTGTGGGGCAACAAAGTTACCCCATGCACATACCGTGCTGATCCCATACCCTACCATCCATGCCATGCTTCTCCCGTACCATCCATGCCCAACAGCATGTCATACAGAGAGTGTAGGCGATGTTAAGAGAGCATGCCACGCCATGCACTAGTGGTTGGTGGGATTAAGCCAGTGACTCACCATGCCCACGAGCTCCTCTGCTGTCTTCTCAAACTTCTCCTTCACCTCCCTGCACTCCTCTGCACCACACTCAACAGGCGACAATGTCACAGAGGCACGGCACAGAGGCATGTCACAGAGGCGTGTGACAGAGGCGTGTGACAGAGGCGTGTGACAGAGGCGTGTGACAGAGAAAGTGAGAGAGTGAGGAAGCGCATGCACATCTCAGCAGCAGAGGGGCCGAGTGCGATCATCTTGACATCATCTTGACATTAGCACCAAGTGAGAGAGCGCCAGAAACAACATCATCACTGCACTCACCGGCAGAGGACGTGAGGGCAACCATCCACATCTCCTCGCACTGCAGCACGTGGCCGCTCACACTCGCCGCCCTCATCTGCCGCACCCACCTCTTTTTGAGGCGCGTTAAAGATCACTCACCGGCAGAGGACGTGAGGGCAACCATCCACATCTCCTCACGCTGTAGCACCTGGCTGCTCACATTCGCCGCCCTCATCTGCCGCACCCACCGCGATTGCCCCTCCTCCCCCCCCGGCCCCCCCTCCGCCTCGCCAGCTGTCGCTGAGTCAGCGGTGGGCTCGGCCGGGGCGGCGAACTGCTCAAGGAAGGCGGCGATTGGCTCGGGCTTGAGCGGACCGTCGTAGAGCTGCCTGGTGCCGTCCGGCTGGTGAGGTGGAGTGGGGAAGGGAGAGGGTGGGACGGGAGGAAATAGATTAAAAAGTATGGGATGCCCATCAGCAGTGAGGTGGAGTGAGCAGAGGGGTGTGCGGGGTGTGAGGCAGGGTGCAGGGCACCTTGTGCAGGAAGAGCGCGGGGAAGGAGGTGGCGCCAAAGGAGGCCGCCAGAGCCTCATCAGTTGACTTGGCCTGCGCAAACACCAGCCGCTTCCTGCCATGCCCCATGTGCCATGCCATGCCATGCCATGCAATGCCATCCGCCACAACCATGGAATCCGCCATGCACAGGATGAAATGGGAGGGGAATAGTGTGGCAACGGTAAGTGATATCACGAAACGAGCGGGGCGGAAGGTGGGAATGGGATGGGAAGGGAGGTGTGAAGGGAGGTCTGAAGGGACAGTGACACTACAAGAGGAGGGGGCAGCAGCGGAGCGGAAGCAGAGGTGCAGAGGTTTGAAGGGAGGTGGGAGGGGCACCTGAATTGCAGCGAGAGCGCCTTAAAGAGCGGCGTGACGGCAGGCTTGGTGGAGAAGAGCACCACCTGGCGGGCATTGCGAACGGTGGGCATGGGGGGTCGGAGATAAGGGGATTGAATGCACAGGGAACTTGGTTCTCAACACGAGTAAGTAGCAACGCAAGCAGCACCATTGTAAGAGATGAGACACACACACAAAGGGGCAGAAACACGAGAGCGCACAGGGCAAGACGGAAAAAAAAAAAAGAGGAGGCGTGAAGGCGTGACGGGTGAGACGCGTGTGACAAGAGGCGATGGGAGGGTGAACCTTGTTGAGGGTGGCGTTGGTGGAGAGGAAAGCATCAGCAGAGGCGCCAGAGGAGATGTTGGCCACTAGGTCGTGGGGTAGGGCGGCTGGAGGAGGGGAGGGGACCGGACAGCGTGGAATAGCAAGGCGTTGGGAGAGGGGGACAAAGAGGTGGGCAGTTTGAATCGGTGCAGGGCAATGGAGACGTTGAAGCTGGCATGTCATCAATACGCCATGGGAGCGCCAATATGAGTTGTAAATGGCCGTACAATTTGAGAAAGCATGCAAGGTGCGAGGAGAGGCAGGGTATGAGGAGCGGCGGCGAGATGCAAAGAGGAGAGGCAGGGTGCGAGGAAAAGAATGCTAACCAGTGGCGAAGCTGACGAGCGCCTTGGCTGTGTTGTCTCCTGTGAACACCTGAGGCGCGTCCTTGTAGCGCTTGTGCGTGTACGGGTTGGCCCTCACCTCCCATGGGTACAGCTGCGGGGGACACGAGGGAGAGAGGTATGCACGTGAGAGGCGAGGGAGGTGAGAGAGCGAGAGAGCGAGAGGGAGGGAAGGGAGAGAATTGTGGTGGTGGGACGACTGCGGGAGGGGAAGGGCTAGTGGTGGTGCGGATGCGAGACAGGAAACGGGATGAAGAGGGAAGAGCTTATGCTGCTTTAAATACACAGTGTGTGTAACCATACAAGCATGCCCTCCTTCCCCCACGCTCTTGCATTCCACCCCCCCTTTCCACAAAATGGGTGTGATAGGGAAGTAAACTCACCCTGAATGCAGGCAGTTCCTGGAGACACATGGTAGGGGTGAGGGGGGAGGGAGAAGAGGGGAAGGGAGACGAGGTGAGGAGAGGGGAACGCGGGGAGAAAGCGAAGAAAATGGAGGAAGGAACGGTGGGGCAGGGGAGGAAATATTGTAAGGCGAGCAGTTGGTATGGGGGCAAGCGCTAATGCTTTGCACAGGGGCACAGAGCTGCGGAGAGGAGGGTGGAAAGCGCATCGCGCACCTTGATCTGCGCCTGCATGCACACGTCCGGCGCCTTGTTGCAGTTGATGGCTCCCACCTGATAGGGTGTGCGGCGAGGGACACAGACAGATTAGAAGAGGGGGGGAGATGAGAAGATGTGAGGAAGAGGAGGAAGGAGGCCGAAGGGAAGCGTATAGAGAGCACGGAAAGAGGGGAGGAGACAAAGGTACCCCCCTCAACGCCCCACACCCCCCACGGCGCCCCACAACCCGCACGGGCATCACGCGCACCTTGACGAGCCCTTTGAGCGAGTCGGCGACCTTGGCGACCTCGGGCGCGAACTGCATGCACGGCTCGCACTTGTCCTGGTGGTACTCCACCTGAGGGGGAGAGGGGGGGGAAGACGGGAGAGCTCAGTAAGCGCGGGGAACGGGCGGGGGGGAGAACTGCATGCAGGGCTCGCACTTGTCCTGGTGGTACTGCACCTGGCGCCACGCACAAGGTCGCAGGATGGGAGGTAAAAGGGCAGTAAGGGCGGTTATGAGTGGAGGGCGGGAGAGGGGAGGAATGGGAGTGGGGGAGAAGGGGGGGAGGAGCGGGAGCGGAGGAGAGGGCCACAGAGGCAATGGAGTCCCAAAAGCAACGCTATCCCGGCATGGTGCAGCGAAGAGGAGTGGAGAGGAGAGGAGAGAAGAGAAGAGAAGAGGAGGAAAGAGGAGAGGAGGGGCGAGGAGGGGCGAGGAGGGGCGAGGAGGGGTGGGAGGGGTGAGGAGAGGCGATCGGAAGAGGGGCGTACGAGCCAGACGGCGGGTTGACCGAGCACTTGGGAGGCGAAACTCTCCGAGTCCAGCGATGCCACGTTGCTGCCCACAGACGGGCGGAGGGGAGAGGGCGGGGAATGGGCACGGGGACAGTGCGGGGCGCATGGCGTTATATGGGGGGATGTGAGGGGGTATGGCAAGAATGAGCAGAGACGAGCGACGGAGAGGGATGGTGGCCAAGACAGCAACGAGCCAGAGTCGCATTCGCGCGTCGCGATTAGTCCGCTCATTTCAACAGATGCGCGCTTTTCAGCCGATACGCGCGTTTCAAGCGATGCGCGCATGCGATTGGGATGACGAGGCGGCGATTTACCCGTCCGGCGCGAACATGGCGGCGGCGAGAGCGACGAGGCGCACCGCGATGGCGAGCGCGGCGAGCAGCTTCGGCGACATGGCGATTCGACGGCGAGCCGCCATGGCTGCGACCATGAGTGCGACAACTCACACGGCGACCGCGACTATCGCAGTCGTGAACAGGTTAATGCGGTCGCAATGATCGATCAGCGACAAAGGCGAAAGCTGCGATGGCAGTAGCAGTCTAATCGGTGGGCGAACGTGATGAGGACAAGCAGTGGTGAGTGAGAGATGAATGCAGGCCGCGAGTGAGATGGATGCATTGACAAGATAGGGGAGTACGCTTGGCAGGAAACGACGGTATTTGCTTCTGGAATCTGTGAAGTCTGGAGCTTTGGGATTGGCTTGGCTTGGAGAAGCACCTTCTGGAAGCGCTGGTGAGGGACCCGGTTTGACTCGGAGATTTGTACGCGTCATTGAGAAAACAACCAGCGTTTTATTCAATCACCCTACACAACCCGCGTCACAATACATTTTATCAACCAAATGTGAAACTCCTTTGGAATGTGACGTGGTCGCGAGACAGCCATGAAGCGTGGCACTCATGTAAGCACTAACCTCCTGGTTCTGTGTCAATACTCAGCACTCTGTTCCGTCGAGTAGCATTAGGGAATTTGAGTTAAAAAGTGCCTCTATTACGCACGGCATGATCGCCTGCAGAACGCCACCCGCTTTACGCACCGCAATCGTGCCGCGCGCTGTGCACCACTGCTAGTCGCAGCGGCATTCCACCCGCCTCGCCTCCCCACTGCTCCCCGCATTCCTCCGACCATGGCCGCGTGGAGCGCCGGCGTTACCACCGATTTGCTCGCCCGCGCGCTCTCGCCTGCTGCGGAGAATGGCGCCTCGCGCTGCCTCGGTATTGCCGATCGTCGCTCGCCTCCCAGTTGCCGACCCAGTTCTACCTCGCCGCCCATTCCCACTGCCGCTCTGTTTTCACCCGGCGCGCGCGATTCCCTTAGCGTGTCCTGCCTCGTATCGTTCCGCCCGCCACTCTCGCGCGTCCGTGCGATCTCCGCCTCCGCCGCTTCCGCCAGCGATACGGATGGCCCAGATCTCTCCCCACGACCGTCCCTCCCTGATCCGACGCCGCGCGCCGTTCTAGATTTTCCGCCGGCCGAGGGCTTCGGGGAGGAGCTGACGAAGCTTCTGACGATGCTTCCGGAGAAGGTTCGAGACGTTCTGCAGCGGCATCCGGCCGTCCATTCGCTGGTGGAGGTCGTTCTCGATCTCGGCCGTCGGCCCGTCGCACGGTTCCCCGTGGGCGACGTTTTCGTGTGCGACGACGTGGTAACAGCGGGCGACATTGAATACTGCGTGTCACAGGTAACATCCTTCATTATTTCCCTCTCCGCACTCTTCGCTTTCCCTCGCCAGCTCTCACACCGCATGCTCATTGCAAGCTCCCTCCGTGCAAGCGCCACTCACCTCGCCACCGCCCGCATACGCCTTCTTCAGTGCGCGTCGTCACTCTCCATCTCATCCACTTCCTTTCCCGTTTCCCCTGCCTTCTCCCCTCGTCACCTCCTCCCCCCATTCCCTCCCCCCCCTTCCCTCTCGCCGCCCTTCCGCTCCGCGCAGGTTGGGGAGTTCGGAGCGGACAACCGCGCGGGGATAGACCGCACGCTGCACCGCATCAGCGCCATCCGCAACCGCGCGGGGAGGATCATCGGGCTGACGTGCCGCGTGGGGCGCGCGATTTCGGGCAGCGCGGAGATGGTGCGCGACCTGGTGGCGGGGGGGGAGTCCGTGCTGCTCATGGGCGCGCCGGGCGTGGGGAAGACCACCGCTATCAGGTAATGGGGGAGAGGGGGGATGTTGAAAAGGGAGGCGGGGAGGGAGTTTGTGCTGCTCATGGGCGCACAGGGCGTGGGGAAGACCACGGCCATTAGGTAACGGGGGAGAGCACGGCTATGAGGTCTGGGAAGAGCACCCGTGACCCATGACCCTCACCTTACATCCCATACCTCTCCCTGCTCCATACCCCTCGTGCAGGGAGGTGGCGCGAATACTAGCGGACGAGTGCGCACGGAGGGTAGTGGTGGTGGATACGAGCAACGAGATCGCAGGCGATGGGGACATTGCCCATGCCGCCATTGGATCAGCACGGCGCATGCAAGTGCCGCATGTGGAGCTGCAGCACCAGGTGGGTGAGAGTGTGAGTAACAGCATGGGCAGTGGAGAACCCTGTTTGTGCCACATGCTCGGCAGTGGAGATCGCAGGTGATGGAGACATCACCCATGCTGCCATCCGCTCTCGGTGCTGCAAGTGCCGCATGTGGAGCTGCAGCACCACCAAATGGGCTGGGCGGCAACACCAGGTGGACGGTGGACTGGGCGGCAGCATTAGATGGTTGAGGGGGTGGCACGGCAGCACCCAGGCGCGTGAGTGTGTGTGGCAGCAGGGTTGGTGGAGAACCAACCACGTGCCACGTGCTCTGCTCTTTTCTCTCTGCGACAACCCCCCCTCACGCCTCACCTTTCCCCCCACCAACCCCCTCCCTGCATCAGGTGATGATAGAGGCGGTGGAGAATCACATCACATGCCACAGGTGGTGATTTTTAATGAGATCAGGCCGGAGCTGGGAAAGTGTCTGTGCGGTGAATCACTTGTGTGCCCACATCCCTCCAACTTTTGCCTCCCACCCCACCCCCTCTTACCCTGCACCCCCGTTGTACACCAGGTGATGATAGAGGCGGTGGAGAATCACATGCCACAGGTGGTGATAATCGATGAGATCGGGTCGGAGCTGGAGGCGGCAGCAGCGGCCACGATAGCGCAGCGGGGCGTGCAGCTCATTGCCACGGCTCATGGTCGCTCTGTGGAGAACCTGGTCAAGAACCCGCACCTGCACACACTGGCAGGGGGCGTGCAGGTGGGTGCAGAGGGGTGCAGGTGGGTGGGTGCAGTGGGGAGGGGGGTAATAGATGGGGGAACAGCAGAGGCGTGCAGGGGGGGATGGGGGGGGCAGCAACGGCGGCCCCATAGCGCAGCGGGGCGAGCAGCTCGTTGCCATGGCTCACGCCGTGCTGTTCTATTAAGAACCTGGTCAAGGACCCGCACTTGCATGCACTGGCAGGGGGTGTGCATGTACGAAAGGGGTATAGATGGGGGTGCAGAGGATAGGCACCTTGGAAACTGCACTGTGGAGAACCTTGTCAAGAGCCCTCACCTGCACACACTCGCAGGGGGCGTGCAGGTGGGTGCAGAGGGGTGCAGGTGGAGAACCGGCACCTGCCCTAGCTGACAGGGGGCGTGTGGGTGGGTGGAGAGGGGTGCAAGTAGTGCAACAGAGGTCCTTCTCTCACTCCCTCACCTACACTCCCCCTCCCGATCCTTTCCCTCTCTCCTGCGTGCAGACAGTGACGCTGGGAGACGAGGAGGCGAGGAGGAGGGGAGTGCAGAAGAGTGTGATGGAGAGGGGAGGCCCGCCCGTGTTCCAAGCGGCTGTGGAGATGCACTCCCGGGGGCGATGGTCTGTGCACCGCAACCTTGCTGCCACTGTGGATGCGCTGCTCTCAGGTGATTCATCCTTGTAGAGACAAATCGTTTCAAAGGTTGTTCCAAGCAGCAGGTGAGATGCACATGGCCGCTGGACCGTGCACCGCTGCCTTGCTGCCATTGTTGACGCTCTGCTCTCAGGTGATTCGCCGCTGCTCTCAGGTGATTCGCCGCTGCTCTCAGGTGATTCACTGATCATTTGAAATGGCCTATTGTCCTTGGGGACAAGGGGGGAAATGATTCTGACTCAGCCCCGGGCCTTGGAGTGGGTACGGACTCGCACATCCCTCCTCAAACTGATCCTATCAAGCCATCTGTCTCACAACCCTCACTTTCGGCCTCCCTTCTCCCATCCTCTCCTTCCCTCCCGTGTGCTCGCCACGCCACTGCCCCCATGGTTTCCTCACAGGCAAGGCACCGCAGGTGGAGGTACGGGAGATGGGGCAGCACGGGGAGGTGTGGGTGGATGGCGATGCTGTTAGCACCGGCAGAGGCGGCAGCAGCAGCAGTGGCGGTATCCCTGTCGGTGGCCGCAGCAGCAACGGCGACAGCGGTATCTCGCGAGCCGGTTCGTGGGACGAGCAGGGGTGGCAGAGTCTAGGAAGCGAGGGAGCAGTGGGAGCGATGGGTGTGAGGGAGTGGGATGCAGCGCAGCCCAGGGAGGGCGGTGGCAGGCAAAGAGAGAGAGGCAGTCCCGCACGGCCCTCCCATGCACCATCACCCTCTGCCTCTCCCTCCTCCTCTCCCTCTGCCTCTCCCTCCGCCACTCCCTTGGGCTTTGCTTCTAACGGTGGCAGCAGCGGGGAGAGCAGCGGCAGCGACACAGACAGTGAGGGCAGCGACGTTGATGTTTATGGCGATGGTGCTGCTAGTGATACTGATGGTGATGGTGGTGGTGGTGAGCAGTGGGGGAGGTCTGCCATGTGGTGGGGCGGCATGGCCAGCAGATCAACCAGCACAGGTGCCGGCACAACTAGCAGCTCTGCATCCATCTCCGCATCATCAGCATCAGCATCAGCATCAGCATCAGCATCCTGGTCTCAAGGGGGGGCGCCTGCTGGCCTCTCGGCGTTCGCCCAGGCCACGCGTTCCGACAACTCAACCCTGCTCTTCCTCTACCAGGTGTGGGCCTGTTGTGTGCGCATCACCAGCACCATCACCTCACACCAGCACCATCACCTCACACCAGCACCATCAGCATCAGCATCGGCATCAGCATCCGCATCCGCATCAGCATCAGCATCCGCATCAGCTTCAGCATCAGCATCAGCATATCAGCATCAGCATCAGCATCAGCATCAGCGCATCAGCATCAGCGCATCAGCATCAGCAGCAGCAGCAGCAGCAGCAGCAGCAGCAGCAGCAGCAGCAGCAGCAGCAGCAGCAGCAGCAGCAGCAGCAGCAGCAGCAGCAGCAGCAGCAGCAGCAGCAGCAGCAGCAGCAGCAGCAGCAGCAGCAGCAGCAGCAGCAGCAGCAGCAGCAGCAGCAGCAGCAGCAGCAGCAGCAGCAGCAGCAGCAGCAGCAGCAGCAGCAGCAGCAGCAGCAGCAGCAGCAGCAGCAGCAGCAGCAGCAGCAGCAGCAGCAGCAGCAGCAGCAGCAGCAGCAGCAGCAGCAGCAGCAGCAGCAGCAGCAGCAGCAGCAGCAGCAGCAGCAGCAGCAGCAGCAGCAGCAGCAGCAGCAGCAGCAGCAGCAGCAGCAGCAGCAGCAGCAGCAGCAGCAGCAGCAGCAGCAGCAGCAGCAGCAGCAGCAGCAGCAGCAGCAGCAGCAGCAGCAGCAGCAGCAGCAGCAGCAGCAGCAGCAGCAGCAGCAGCAGCATCAGCATCAGCATCAGCATCAGCATCAGCATCAGCATCAGCAGCAGCATCAGCATCCAGCATCAGCATCAGCGCATCAGCATCAGCATCAGCGTCAGCATCAGCATCAGCATCAGCATCAGCGCATTAGCATCAGCGCATAAGCATCAGCATCAGCATCAGCATCAGCGCATAAGCATCAGCATCAGCATCAGCGCATCAGCATCAGCATCAGCATCAGCGCATCAGCATCAGCGCATCAGCATCAGCGTCAGCATCAGCACATCAGCATCAGCACATCAGCATCAGCATCGGCGCATCAGCATCAGCGCATAAGCATCAGCATCAGCATCAGCATCAGCGCATAAGCATCAGCATCAGCATCAGCGCATCAGCATCAGCATCAGCATCAGCGCATCAGCATCAGCGCATCAGCATCAGCGTCAGCATCAGCACATCAGCATCAGCACATCAGCATCAGCACATCAGCATCAGCATCAGCATCAGCATCAGCGCATCAGCATCAGCGCATCAGCATCAGCATCAGCGCATCAGCATCAGCGTCAGCATCAGCACATCAGCATCAGCGCATCAGCATCAGCGCATCAGCATCAGCATCAGCACATCAGCATCAGCATCAGCATCAGCATCAGCATCAGTATCAGCATCAGCATCAGCATCAGCGAATCAGCATCCGCGCATCAGCATCCGCATCAGCGCATCAGCATCAGCATCAGCATCAGCGCATCAGCATTAGCATCAGCATCAGCATCAGCATCAGCATCACCATCACCATCACCATCACCATCATCATCACCATCACCATCACCATCACCATCACCATCCTGGTCTCAAGGCAATGCGCCTCTGGCCTTTCAGCGTTCTCCCAGGCCACTCGTTCCGACATCTCAACCCTGCTCTTCCTCTACCAGATGTGCCGTGGGCGGATGCTGGACGCCTGTGCTGTTTGCGTGTGAGAGCACTCAAACTCTGCCAGGTTGGGGCGTGTTGTGTGTGCATTTGCTGCATGCCTGTGCTGGGTCCGACCATCTTTAACTCCACCATTCATTGTCAATTCCCCTGTGAGCAGGTATCGGAGGAGCATGTGGAGCAGGTGGTGGAGGCTGGCATCCCTCTTGGCGGCACTGACTGCCACTATGTCTGATTGGGATCAAATCCTGCTTGGCTGTTGCTCCCCTGCGCGCAGGTATCGGAGGAGCACGTGGAGCAGGTGGTGGAGGTGATGGGGTTGGCACCACTCATCTCCCTCACCACGGACATTGCAGCAGCAGACGCCGTGCTGGCACTGCGCTCCAAGCTCAAGGGCAACGCGTGGCTGCGCGGGGTCGCCAAGTTCCGCCACCTCCCCATCTACGCTGTCAAGGTGGGTTGTGAGATGTCATGTCTTCATCCTGTTCTCACAATGCTGTCACTCGCCTCTCTCTCCACCACACATGCTCAACACCTCCCTCCCCCTCTCTGTGTGTCCCTTCCCAGGCCAACACGGCGTCTCAGGTGGTGCGGGCTCTTCGTGCCATCCTCAACCTCCCCACTCTCACCTCTCCGCCTCCCTCCTCCTCCTCCTCCTCCTCCTCCTCCTCCTCTGCCTCATACGCCGCCTCTCCGCCTCACTCTTCCCCTTCTGCTACTCTTTCTCGCAACGCGCCCCTTCCTGATGTTGCTATAGCGTCATCCACACCGCCCAACCAACTCTCAACCTTGCAAGATGAGAGCAGCAAGGGTGGCGGTAGCAGCAGCATCGGCATTCGCAGCAGCAGCAGCGGCAGTTGGGTGGGTGGGGCTGGAGAGGACGAGGAGGCAACAAGAGGGGCTGGCGGAGGTTCATTGGAGGACGAGATTGATGCGCTGGAGGTGAGGGCCATGGGGTGACGGTGCTGCTGACTGGAGTGGGCCAGAGGCACTCCACCGTGCCCAGCGCTTCCAGAACTCGTGTGCACCAGACAAGTACAGTGCTTGTCGGTGATTCGTGATGCCCTCTCTTCCTTTCCCACCCCTGATGACCCTCCTATCTAATGGCAGCACACAGAGAGCATGTCTTGTCCAAGGACAGGCCATTTGTGACTCTCTTCTTTGTGACTCTCTTCTTTGTCTTCTCTGCCTTTCCGTCCTACCCGCCTGTGCCTGTGGTTCCATCCACCCCGCAGGAGGCGCGCATGGCAGCGGAGAGCATGATGGGGAGCGCAGCACAAGCAGTGGACCTGCTACCACGCGCCCCGCGCATCCTCTCCCTGCAGCTGCAGCTGATCAATGACTACCCCCTCTCCTGGCAGTACACTGGCTCTCCCCCCACCCGCCGCATCCGCATCCTCCCCCTCCCTGCCTCTGCTCGCTCGGAGCTTGCTCCAGCTGTCATTTGTCGATCCAATTCTCCTGTTGGTGCCATTGGTAGCGTTGGCTCCGGTGTTACGAGTGGTGGAGAAAGAATGGGATGGCAGGGAGAACAGGAAGATGTTGAAATGGTGGAGGGTGGAGGTGGAGTGGTTGAGAGTGGTGGCTGTGTGGTGGAAAATGCAGCGGCTGCTGGATGGACTGTGGTTAGCTTGCCACGGAAAGTGGGCTGATTGTGAAAGTACACGTTACAAGCCAGCTTGTCTGAGCAGTGTTTCAAAACAGTGCAATGCACATTCTTCTTTTCATGGTCATGATACACCAGAGAGTATATACTGCCACTAAGAAGTTCTCAGGTACCAACGTCAGCTTCAGCGGCCCTTGCTGGTGTCAACGCCTTTGGACTGCAGGGCATTGCCACTCTTTTCCATGGTCGACTGGCCTCCCTTGCTCGTCCCTGACCACACAGCTCAGCATGACAACAGTGCCTCTACATCCAATGGGCCTTGTCTAGTTGAAACTGCATGCACCACCAGTAGTAGATATCTACTACTAACATGTGAGTATCATTATGATATAATTATCATTATTGCTAGTGCCACGGGTTCACTGATTGCAATGGTTTCCAAAATATTATTACTCTGATGTTGCTGTACCATAATGTCTATTGTTCCGGTATCATGGCAGCAAGTCTACAGCGCTAAATGCATACGGTACCGGTACAAGGTAGCTAGTGAAAGCCAGTCCTAAAATGTAGCAATTATTATCTAATTATTGCATCACAATTGCTATGGTATGGGGTGCTGCTCCACTGTCCACGAGCTCTGAGGCGCTGCTCCACTGTCCACGAGCTCGGAATGTTGGACCCCTCTTGGCCGCAGGGAGGCAAGCCCCCTGCGTTACACCTAAGCACCACGTTGAGGTGGGGGCTTTTGCTTAGGACACCTGTTGGGGGGAGGGGTGGGGAGAGGGAGGGAGGGAGGGAAGAGAGGGGAGAGAGAGAGGGGGGAAAAAGGTAACAACACACCACACCACACCACACCACACCACTCCACACCACACCACTCCACTCCACACCACACCACACCACACCACAAAACAACACAATGGATGCCGCTTGTTGTGCCTACGTTGGTAGGCACAACCACAGCTGCTGCAAACATGAACCTCACCACTCCGGGCCTCTGCCCGCATGCCTCAGGGCAACTGCCCCTAAACCCCCACTTACAGTCCGACGGCTGCAGCGCTCCCCTGCTGGCTCCTCCGCGAAACACGACCAGAAACACATCTTACCGAGAATGATGAGAGCCCACCTGTCTTGGTCTTGCCTGAAACAAGGTCAACACACAAAGCATCAGCGCAAGCCGTTTCAAGGCAAACAGAAATCGGAAAACAGAGTCAAGGCAGGAAGATAGGCAAACCGAGCTCACGGAAACAGAAGTATGGAAAGCGAAGAAAGTTACCAGAGAAGAGAAGAGACGAGTGCTTCTGTTCCGCCGCTCCTCCTCTCCTCCTCGCCCTCCTCTTCTCCTCTGGACAAACCAGGCAAAGAGAACGGGACAAACAGAACAAGGGAAACAGAATCAGGGCAAGCCATTTCAAGGCAAACAGAATTCAGAAAAGAGAGTCAAGGATGGAAGATAGGCAATCCGAGCTCACGGAAACAGAAGTATGGCAAGCGAAGAGGGTTAGTTACCAGAGAAGAGAAGAGACGAATGCTTCTGTTCTGCCGCTCCTCCTCCCCTCCTCGCCCTCCTCTTCTCCTCTGTACAAACCAGGCAAAGAGAACGGGACAAACAGAACAAGGGAAACAGAATCAGGGCAAGCCGTTTCAAGGCAAAAAAAAATCGGAAAACAGAGTCAAGGCAGGAAGATAGGCAAACCGAGCTCACAGAAACAGAAATACGGCAAGCGAAGAGGGTTAGTTACCAGAGAAGAGAAGAGATGAATGCTTCTGTTCCGCCGCTCCTCCTCCCCTCCTCGCCCTCCTCTTCTCCTCTGGACAAACAGGCAAAGAGAACGGGACAAATAGAACAACGGAAACAGAATCAGGGCAAGCCGTTTCAAGGCAAACAGAATTCAGAAAAGAGAGTCAAGGCAGGAAGATAGGCAAACCGAGCTCACGGAAACAGAAGTATGGCAAGCGAAGAGGGTTACCAGAGAAGAGAAGAGACGAGTGCTTCTGTTCCGCCGCTCCTCCTCTCCTCCTCGCCCTCCTCTTCTCCTCTGGACAAACCAGGCAAAGAGAACGGGACAAACAGAACAAGGGAAACAGAATCAGGGCAAGCCATTTCAAGGCAAACAGAATTCAGAAAAGAGAGTCAAGGATGGAAGATAGGCAATCCGAGCTCACGGAAACAGAAGTATGGCAAGCGAAGAGGGTTAGTTACCAGAGAAGAGAAGAGACGAATGCTTCTGTTCTGCCGCTCCTCCTCCCCTCCTCGCCCTCCTCTTCTCCTCTGTACAAACCAGGCAAAGAGAACGGGACAAACAGAACAAGGGAAACAGAATCAGGGCAAGCCGTTTCAAGGCAAAAAAAATCGGAAAACAGAGTCAAGGCAGGAAGATAGGCAAACCGAGCTCACGGAAACAGAAATACGGCAAGCGAAGAGGGTTAGTTACCAGAGAAGAGAAGAGATGAATGCTTCTGTTCCGCCGCTCCTCCTCCCCTCCTCGCCCTCCTCGCCCTCCTCTTCTCCTCTGGACAAACAGGCAAAGAGAACGGGACAAATAGAACAACGGAAACAGAATCAGGGCAAGCCGTTTCAAGGTAAACAGAATTCAGAAAAGAGAGTCAAGGCAGGAAGATAGGCAAACCGAGCTCACGGAAACAGAAGTATGGCAAGCGAAGAGGGTTACCAGAGAAGAGAAGAGACGAGTGCTTCTGTTCCGCCGCTCCTCCTCTCCTCCTCGCCCTCCTCTTCTCCTCTGGACAAACCAGGCAAAGAGAACGGGACAAACAGAACAAGGGAAACAGAATCAGGGCAAGCCATTTCAAGGCAAACAGAATTCAGAAAAGAGAGTCAAGGATGGAAGATAGGCAATCCGAGCTCACGGAAACAGAAGTATGGCAAGCGAAGAGGGTTAGTTACCAGAGAAGAGAAGAGACGAATGCTTCTGTTCTGCCGCTCCTCCTCCCCTCCTCGCCCTCCTCTTCTCCTCTGTACAAACCAGGCAAAGAGAACGGGACAAACAGAACAAGGGAAACAGAATCAGGGCAAGCCGTTTCAAGGCAAAAAAAATTCGGAAAACAGAGTCAAGGCAGGAAGATAGGCAAACCGAGCTCACGGAAACAGAAATACGGCAAGCGAAGAGGGTTAGTTACCAGAGAAGAGAAGAGATGAATGCTTCTGTTCCGCCGCTCCTCCTCCCCTCCTCGCCCTCCTCTTCTCCTCTGGACAAACAGGCAAAGAGAACGGGACAAATAGAACAACGGAAACAGAATCAGGGCAAGCCGTTTCAAGGCAAACAGAATTCAGAAAAGAGAGTCAAGGCAGGAAGATAGGCAAACCGAGCTCACGGAAACAGAAGTATGGCAAGCGAAGAGGGTTAGTTACCAGAGAAGAGAAGAGACGAATGCTTCTGTTCTGCCGCTCCTCCTCCCCTCCTCGCCCTCCTCTTCTCCTCTGTACAAACCAGGCAAAGAGAACGGGACAAACAGAACAAGGGAAACAGAATCAGGGCAAGCCGTTTCAAGGCAAAAAAAATCGGAAAACAGAGTCAAGGCAGGAAGATAGGCAAACCGAGCTCACGGAAACAGAAATACGGCAAGCGAAGAGGGTTAGTTACCAGAGAAGAGAAGAGATGAATGCTTCTGTTCCGCCGCTCCTCCTCCCCTCCTCGCCCTCCTCTTCTCCTCTGTACAAACCAGGCAAAGAGAACGGGACAAACAGAACAAGGGAAACAGAATCAGGGCAAGCCGTTTCAAGGCAAAAAAAATCGGAAAACAGAGTCAAGGCAGGAAGATAGGCAAACCGAGCTCACGGAAACAGAAATACGGCAAGCGAAGAGGGTTAGTTACCAGAGAAGAGAAGAGATGAATGCTTCTGTTCCGCCGCTCCTCCTCCCCTCCTCGCCCTCCTCTTCTCCTCTGTACAAACCAGGCAAAGAGAACGGGACAAACAGAACAAGGGAAACAGAATCAGGGCAAGCCGTTTCAAGGCAAAAAAAATCGGAAAACAGAGTCAAGGCAGGAAGATAGGCAAACCGAGCTCACGGAAACAGAAATACGGCAAGCGAAGAGGGTTAGTTACCAGAGAAGAGAAGAGATGAATGCTTCTGTTCCGCCGCTCCTCCTCCCCTCCTCGCCCTCCTCTTCTCCTCTGGACAAACAGGCAAAGAGAACGGGACAAATAGAACAACGGAAACAGAATCAGGGCAAGCCGTTTCAAGGCAAACAGAATTCAGAAAAGAGAGTCAAGGCAGGAAGATAGGCAAACCGAGCTCACGGAAACAGAAGTATGGCAAGCGAAGAGGGTTAGTTACCAGAGAAGAGAAGAGACGAGTGCTTCTGTTCCGCCGCTCCTCCTCTCCTCCTCGCCCTCCTCTTCTCCTCTGGACAAACCAGGCAAACAGAACGGGACAAACAGAACAAGGGAAACAGAATCAGGGCAAGCCATTTCAAGGCAAACAGAATTCAGAAAAGAGAGTCAAGGATGGAAGATAGGCAATCCGAGCTCACGGAAACAGAAGTATGGCAAGCGAAGAGGGTTAGTTACCAGAGAAGAGAAGAGACGAATGCTTCTGTTCTGCCGCTCCTCCTCCCCTCCTCGCCCTCCTCTTCTCCTCTGGACAAACCAGGCAAAGAAAACGGGACAAACAGAACAAGGGAAACAGAATCAGGGCAAGCTGTTTCAAGGCAAAAAAAAATCGGAGAACAGAGTCAAGGCAGGTAGATAGGCAAACCGAGCTCACGGAAACAGAAATATGGCAAGCGAAGAGGGTTAGTTACCAGAGAAGAGAAGAGACGAGTGCTTCTGTTTTGCCGCTCCTCCTCCCCTCCTCGCACTCCTCTTCTCCTCTGGACAAACAGGCAAAGAGAACGGGACAAACAGAACAAGGGAAACAGAATCAGGGCAAGCCGTTTCAAGGCAAACAGAATTCAGAAAAGAGAGTCAAGACAGACAGAAGAAGGAAAGTAGGGAAACTGAGCTCACGGAAACCGAAAAATGGCAACGAATACAGAGTCGATGCAAAATGAATTAAGGCGAGAAGAGGTGGCTTACCAGAGAAGAGCAGAGGCGACTGCTCCTGGAAACTGGAGCGCCGGCTTGGGGACTGAAACAAGCAACATCACACGTTAAGAAAAAGAAACAAATGCAAAAAACGAATGCGACTCACAATGTCGGAGATGGCGTTGACCCTCCAAGCTGCTGCTCCCCCGCCAACCTGCCAAACCAGAGGCTTACATGTCGGTGACGGTGTTCACCCTCCAAGCTGCTGCTCCCCCGCCGACCTGCCAAAGCAGAGACTTACATGTCGGTGATGGTGTAGACTGCCCTCCAACTGAAGTGCCGCCGCCTTGAATTCTCACCTAAAGTGCCGCCTCCTCGAATGCTCACCTGAAGTGCCGCCTCCTTGAATGCTCACCTGAAGTGCCGCCTCCTCGAATGCTCACCTGAAGTGCCGCCTCCTCGAATGCTCACCTCCATGCTGCCGCTCTCCCCTCCTTGCTGCTACACCACACCACACCACACCACACCACACCACACCACTCCACACCAAAACCTGAGACTGCAGTCGATGACGCTGTAGACTCCCCGTGCGCCTTCCTCGACGGTGGGAAGGTGATGAGGACGGAGTGCAGGTCAGGTTGGGCGTCAGAGGCGGGAAGAGGAGGTGCGTGGAGGGCAGTGCTGAAGAATGAGGACGTGGAGCAGCGATGGGCGGGGCCGCCGTGAGGACTTACGAGAGGGGGCCCCACCCTCTCTGCCTCACAATCCCACCGCTACTCTCCGTTTCTCATTCCCACAGCATCCCAGTCATGCACCCCTCGTCCAACCCATCAACCACTCCCTCACGTTCCTCCGCCTCACCCCTTGCTGGACGTGCCGCCTCCTCGCCTGAAGTGCCGCCTCCTCGCCTCAAGAGCCGCATGCTTACCTGCTCCGCGCCCTCTAGCCCGAACTGTCCGCCTCCTCATATTCATACCATTCCACACCGCACTACACCTCTGCTGAAGTCCCGCCTCCTTGCCTCCGCGCCGGCTCGTTGCCCGAAGTGTCCGCCTCCTCCTCATGCCGCACCATACCATTCTACACCGCACTACACCTCTGCTGAAGTGCCGCCTCCTTGCCTCCGCGCCGGCTCGTAGCCCGAAGTGTCCGCCTCCTCCTCATGCCGCACCATACCATTCCACACCGCACTACACCTCTGCTGAAGTGCCGCCTCCTTGCCTCCACGCCGGCTCGTTGCCCGAAATGTCCGCCTCCTCCTCATGCCGCACCATACCATTCCACACTGCACTCCACCTCTGCTGAAGTGCCGCCTCCGCGCCTCCTTGCCTGAAGTGCCCGCCTCGAGCAGAGCGGGTGGTCAGCAGGGCGGGTAGGAGGCAGCCGTGTGGCTGCCGGCCGTGCGTCATCGCACCGCTCGCTTCTCCCTCTCACTGCTGCCGTCCTCCCGAGTCACTACTACCGTTCTCTGCAGGCTCCTCTGCTCCCTCGCTCGGCGCATTCTGGAGTGAAGAATCGGTCTGGAGTGAAGAATCGGTCTGGAGTGAAAAATCGGTCTGGAGTGAAGAACCCATGGTTGCTGACAAACAGGGGGAGGGAACAAACAGACAGATGCACGAAGTCAGTAAACAGAACTGCGAAATGGAAAAGAAAGCAAAAAAACACAAGGAAACGAAATGCGGAATTGAAAGTGGAAACGAAGTGCGAAATTGAAAGCGGAGAACAACATGTGGAAACGAGGTGGTGGGATGGATGCACGTCCATGATACGCCGGCTGCAGCTAGCAGAGGGAGGAGCTATGCTACCCAAAACCCAAACTCTATGCTACCCAACCCAAAACCTATGCTACCCAAAACCCGCGGAGGACATCTACTAGGCTGCAGCCGGACGTATCAGAGGGACGTGCATAAACACGAAGTGCAGGACGATGGAGTGAAGAACGCGGTACTGAAAACACGGAATGACGAAACGAAACGAATGGAGGGTGGGTGACGAGAAGGGAAGGCGAGGGGAAAGACACTTCCCAGTTGCTTTGCTGCCCACGAGATGCCAGTGTTGCCTTGCTGCTCCACGAGCAGGTGGTCAGCAGGGCGGGTAGAGGCAGCCACACGCCAGTGCCTGCCGGCCGTGCGTCATCCCACTACACCCGTCCACCTCAGCAAAATGCCCATCCACTTCAGCAGCCCAGGATCAGCCATTCAGCGATGCGCTCTCTGCGATTTCACGTCAGTCCAGGAACCAACTCCTGCACGGACAGAGCAGGACAGAGCAGGTAAGAGCAGGTCAGAGCAGGGCGAGAAGTACAGAGCAGGAAAGAGCAGGAAACAGCAGAGCAGATTGCAGATCGCAGCGCATGCGATACACTAGGGAGCTAAATGATCAATTGGAACGGAAACAAAACGGAAATAGCAACTGGAGATAGATGCGTTTAGCTTAGAAATTTGTTGTTGGACGAAAACTCACCACAAGCGTCTCCGTTAGCGTCGTTAAGCGTCTTCACGCTGCACCACTGCACCGCGCTGCACAAGGTCGGTCCCGCTGCTGATGATGGCAGGTTGGGCCCAACCCAGGCCGTGCGTCGTCCCACCGCTCGCCTCTCCCGCTCGCCACAGCAATGCAGCGCAACCCCCCCTGCTGCTCCAGTAGCTATCGCCCGTGGTTGAGTCTGAACGAGGAGGAGAGGGAGCAGAGAGGCACAGAGGGTAGAATCAGGCTCAGAGCAGCAGGGAGAGCACACAACAGAAGCAGTGAAAAAGATAGGAGTGCGAACGGTGAGCAGAGTGGAACGACAAGTAAGTGAGCACGTTTGCATGCGACAAGAAACGCTAGATGCAGGAGGGTGCAGCGACAACGGCACGTGGCGGAAAGGGGAAAGTGCAAGGGTAGAGGAGGGAACTAACCTTTTGTGGCCGTTCGTTGCTTTCACTTGTCACTTCCCAATTCGCCGGACGCCTCCTCGCGTTGCCTCGCCTCCAGATTCAGGATTAACACTCGCAAGTCCACAGCGTCGCCTCCTCGCCAGCGACGTCAGCCTCCTATGCACAAGTCAAACCACACAGCATCAGAAGTTCAGATTCTGATATTCAAATTCAGATCACTCCAATATTCAAATTCCAATTCAGCTTACCATGGCAGAGCAGAAGTTTCTCCGGTGCAGGGCAGCGCCCATCCTCAACTGCAGCAGCACCCGATACCTCTGTTCTTCAGCAGTGCAGCGCCGTCCGTGCTTCAGCAGTTGTTTCCTGAGCCTCATCTGCAGCAGCGCGCTGCTGAGCCTCAAACGGTTTGCTGCTGCTCCCACAAGGTGCAGTGGAGAGCAGCAGGCCTTGGACCTGCACTTCTCCTCTGCTCCGCTGCACCACGCTGCACCACGCAGCTCAATCCGTGTGATCCGCAGCTCAATCCGTGTGATCCGCAGCTCAATCCGTGTGATCCGCAGCTCAATCCGTGTGATCCGCAGCTCAATCCGTGTGATCCGCAGCTCAATCCGTGTGATCCGCAGCTCAATCCGCGTGATCCGCAGCTCAATCCGTGTGATCCGCAGCTCAATCCGCGTGATCCGCGCAGCTCAATCCGCGTGATCCGCGCAGCTCGGGACGCGTGATCCGCGCAGCTCTATCCGCGTGATCCGCGCAGATCTATCCGCGTGATCCGCGCCGGAAGTTCGCAATCCGCAGCTCTCGCGTGGCCGCGCCGGAAGTCTCGTCCGAATCCGCGTTTTGACTCCGCGATTCTCCTGCTTGAACAGGTAAAACCGCGGCAAGAGAGACAAGAATGCGTGTTAAGAGAACAAGCATAGACTGGGAAAGAGAACCATACAGAAGAACCTGCATAAAGCGTGTTAAGAACAAGGGTGTAAGATTAAGAAGCAAGATAAAGAGGTTGACGTTTGTACCTCAGTCGTTGACGGGGATGCACACGAGGTAGTATCGTCGTTATGAAATGTCGCGAGAGCTGACGGCTTCGCGAACTCCGCTGATGGCTTCGCGAATTCAGCTGATGGCTTCGCGAACTCCGCTGACGGCTTCGCGAACTCATCCATCATCAGATCCGCCTTCGCCGCGAACTCCGTCTTCACCGTCTTAGCTTCGTCAGGCGTCGTCTCTTGAGTCGCGAACGCCGTCTTAAATCGCCGATTTCACCGTCTTAACTTCGTCAAGCATCGTCTCTTGAGTCGCGCCAAACACCGCTTAAACTTCGTCAAGCATCGTCTTTTGAGTCGAAGAAGAGGGGCTATCAACGGCTTCGTCGAACAGGCTTCGTCCATCATGCATGCATCGTCGACTGGAGCATCTCAAAGGTCGGATTCGTCAACTTCGCCGAGCAAATTCCGGCTTAACTTCGCCGCGACCATCGTCGGTTGCAAACTGCATGGAGAGACTTATTCGTCGCAAAGTCGCATCTGTCGTCACGTTGCGGACGGCGTGGAGAGATTCTTCCGTCGTAACGTCGCCAAATGCGTTGAACGATTCTTCCGTCGTACCATCGCATCATCTCTTGCAGACTGCGTGGAACGACTTAGGACGAGCTTGCTGGATCTGAGCGACCGCTGTAGAAAAATCACGTCGCGAAGTTTCTTCAACAAAATTGATGAAACGGGAGCTGATGAGACCGATCCGATGTTATATCTGCTGGTAATTACCGGCCGACCGCCGTAACTCTGATGGTCCGTCGTATCCCTGGCAGACTTGAATAATCAGGCTGATGGTCGTCAGTCGAAGTGAGCGATATGAACCCGGAACTTTTAAATAGTTTAAAAGTTTTTACTACCATTAACAGGAGTGCGAATAAGGCTACAGTCACAGCACAGGAAGCCATGGACTCTAAGAAGCCGAGTTACCAAGACTAACTCGTGTCACACCAGTAGATTACGCTGCCTAGGGAATGTCGAGAATTGTGAAAGACACTCATTCACGGATGAGAATAGCGGCTTACAGATTGGGAAGGGGAGAAGTGAAGCAGATAGACGGAAGGGAGGAGAGGATGGGAGGGTTGAGAGCGGTTGAAATGCTTTACGAGGAAAGGAAACCAAAGAGAGCGAGCGGAGTCGCCATGCAGAACCACAAAAGGTGAGGGGGGAGGAGGAGTCCTCTCCCCTTCCAGTCCCTGCAAGCCGGAGGGGGAGGCCGCTGGAGAGTGAGTGGCCAGGTTCCGCTGACCGGCGGGAGGCGGGAGATATTTGGCGAATGAAAGTGAAGGAATGCGAGAACAACGCTGCCGCGCGCCTTGTCGGAAACAGTGCTGCGCTGATTCGCGCACAGCCGGCCAGTTCGCGGGAAAGAAGCCTTGAGCGAAACATTTGGAATGAAAGCGAAAAGTGTTACATTGTCATGACCAGAGGGGAAGGTCCAGAAGCGGGCGGAGAACAGTAGTGTGGGGCTTTTTGGGATGGCATGGTGTGGATGGTATGGTCCATAGTTAGTACCAATCATGAGATGACACAGATGGCATTGTACGAGCCGCGGTCAACGCTTTTGCTGGCTAGTGTCAGACCCTGGTTTTAAATATTGTCGAGTCGTGAACCATTCTGGCGGGAAGGTGACCTTACTTCCATACTCGTTAATAGATACTCACAAGACTGGTTAGAGCGCAGGTACTGTATTTTTTACGGGTTGCTAGTTGCAACACCACGGAGGGTGGTGCATTGGCATTGACAAATGTTGGAGATGCTAATGCTACATTTTGATTGGAAACTGTCAATATCGTTATAAGGGTCATAAGATCAGCTTCCTACATACGGTCAGGAAACTAGAAACCATGTTCCCAGCCAGCAGCTGTTGCACACACCGCAAGCGTGCCAAGAAGAATACAAAAGAAAAGGATTTCAAATCCAATCTTTGCTTTGGCGCGTGTGAAAAGATCCCGTTCCATCACCAAAAGAGCCTAGCCGAAACGCTGAGTACCACAGCGCACCGTACTTATTGTACTTTGCATCAGGCGCCATTTCTGTCCTGCCACCTCGGTCCGCCAATAAAGCGCCTTTGCTTGTCTTACGAAGGACGGCCTCTGCACCCAACCAGTCGAAACGCAGATTGGGTTGACGCGGCTTCGTCTTTTTCACGGGACTAAAATTTCGCCCGAACTCAGTTATTTTCACGGGATGTGTTGACGACCGGATGCCCTGTCAGACCCGGTTCTAGTGTGCTTTAGCAAGAACCTGTGCAGGGAATTGTTGGAATCTCCCAAACAAGGAACCGAGAGAGGTCTGGTACAGTAACCGCCTTGGGCCCAATCGACTTTGATCGGCTCTGATCGGATCGGGTTGGGTCGGATCGGATTGCTTGTGCTCGTTTTCCTCGCGCCGTACGATCAGAGATGATTTTCCTCGAATGTTTCGCGCTCTTGCATGAAAAATGTCGGCCCGTAACCTGGTAGTTGCATCCCAACTTCAGTATCGTGGTAATGTCGCCAACATCGCCCGCACCGCACAAGGTCCGCAAGATGGCTATGGCATACAGTTATCGCCGATCTGGTGTATTCGCAAGGATTTTCGAGACCTCATGGCGAGACGTGTTACATTTCGCGTACATCGCCCAGGTCGCCGATCACATGCAATCAAGTGATTGGGGCTGATTGTGTCTGATCGGGTCTGATCGGGCTGTTTGAGGCGGTTGATTGAGTTGGCGCGATCAGCTGATCGCGATCAGCTGATTGCCCCCTTGCTTCCCGCCTTCCTCGAAGCTTTTGATCGCCTCTGATAGCGCCGATCAAAGTCGATTGGGCCCACATCCTAAAACGCTCTACCACAACCGCCTTTGGTTCTTGGCCCGCATCCGCTATCTTTAGGATGTGTCTCATGTTGGGGGTCCGCTGGATCTAGTCCGCGACCAGAATCTATTGGCCTGGTCCGGGGTTCTGGTCCGATGGACCCACTTGGCGGACCAGCGTTGGACCAGACACGGACTGGTCTGCCTGATACGTCGCGCATCGGGCTGCACAGTATTTGCGAGATGCAGCTGTAGCGACGAATTTGAAATTGAGTCACCCATTTTCTTCGTCTGCACAAAAATCTCACGCGAAACTTACAAAACAAAAAGTTTCGCCAAAACAAATGGTTCCTCACATACTGTTTACGGACCAGGCGCGGACTGGTCTGGAGGGCCAAATAAATGGCACCGTTTTAGTGCCATTCGAACGGTATAACGGGGTTACAAGCCCCACATCCTGGTCCCGGTCCGCCCTGGTTCACGCGCTGGCTCTTGAGCTGGTCCGTCAGGTCCGAGCCGCACCCCACGTGGACTCAGACATCTGAGACACCCTCTTAGTTCGGTTGGGTTTGGACTGACACCAACAGGTTCGTATTGTGGCGGGATTTGGCTGGCGGTTTGGGACGGGGGCAATATTGTGTAGTTTTTTCAGAGAATTGCCCCTCATGAAAGGTTGACATTCCAAGCAAAACCCAACTTTGCTCTTCTCCACCCCTGTAATCTGGCAAACAAGCAGCATTTTAACAATCTTGAAAATTCATTTCGTGAATCTCGGGCGAGAGGAAGCCAAAGAAATCCTGAACCCAATCCGTTTGTCCGCGCCCTTTCACCCAAGAGCGGATGACAGGCACCGTCGTTGTCGTCATCGCCAGAATATCTGTCAACATCTCACCCAAGCCCCTCAGCTCGCCACGGCAAGTTTGAGGGAGGGACCAAGCTGTTTTGATGCTCACGGCAGTCTTTCACGGCCGCTGCTGCTGCTGTTGCTGCTGCTGAGATACAAGTGACATACATACAGAAGAAAAAACTTCCGACTGTTTCACTTGGCTGGGAATTTGTTAGACATGTACTACTCCTCGCTGAGCTTCTTCCACGCAAAACTTTCTGGCCTCGCAGGATCGTATTGCTGACACTGAACCATGTAACAGAACCTCGCCGCGCGTCGCGTCGCACGTGCTGCACAGCGTGCGTTGATATTCATACACCCTGTTCACCTTTCTTCAGGAATCTCGCGTCGGCGTGGCGTTCGTGCCTAATCTCCAGTTATGACCATGTGCTCTGACTCGCTGGATTGTCTCCTTAGCTTCGGTTCAGACATGTTCTCTTCGCCAACCGAACAATTTTCCCCGCTTGTCGCCTCTCTCCTTGACGAAGTAATAATCGCGGCGCTCCTTACCGCGGATGGCGGATTCCGCGTCGCGCAGTGCAGCTCCGCGTTAGTGAATTTCTTAGGTCTTAACTCTTCCGAGGGCGTATTACGGAGGCCAATCAGGGAGCTTGTTCATGCGGAGGACGCGGAGGCGCTCGAGGTGGGTCCATGGCCTCCAATTGCCTCCAAATGGGATAATAGTTTGCTTCGAAAGATTCTCTCTGCGTGCGTATTTTCATTCATCTGAGTTCCGATTCCTGTACAGCATAATCGTGCGTTTTTCAATTCCTCTTTCCCTGCTCTCCCTGGTCTCCGCATCGTATACTTCCCGTCGCTACAGGCTCTCCTTTCGAATTATATCAGCTCCAAGCCCCAAGCGCCCTGCGACAAACGACTGGACGTGCGACTGTCGCCAAGCGTTGACGAAACCGACGCGTCAAGCCGGCGACGAACTTCAGGAACTGCTGATGGCTGCAGCTGGTTCGAAGTCGCAGTATCACTCGCTAACCCTTTAAGTAGCTTAGAACCTAACCGTCAAACCGTAGACGACAGACACGTGTCGCACGATCGACGCTGTATAGAACGCTGTCAGGGTGGAGCGGACCAGGAAGTCTCAGATCAAGGGTTCATACTAAATGTACGCGCGAGCCGCGAGCCGCTGCTTCTATGCGTGTTCTATGACGTGTCGGCGCGGCGCGGGAGCGCGGAGTACGTAGTGCGTCAGCTGCAGGAGTGCGTGCAGCTTGCTAGGAGCGCGCCGCCCCCTCGAAACGAGGAGGGCCAAGGGGAAGGCACGCGGGGAGGCGCGAGGGGGGAAGGCGCAGGAGAGGGCGCGGGGGAAGGCGCGTCAGGGGAGTCGCGGGAAATAGGAGGAGCAGCAGGGGCGGAAACAGCAGGAGCAGCAGGGGGGGAAACAGCAGGAGCAGCAGGGGAGGAAACAGCAGGAGCAGCAGGGCACGCTAGTAGAATCGAGTCGGCAGCAGACGGCGAGAGTGAGAGAGGTGGGGTAAGTGAATTTCCCGTGGGGGAGAGGGAGGATGGTGGCGCGGCGGCGGAAGAAGCGCGCAGGGGGGAGGAGGGTGATGGGAGAGGGGGAGAGACAGACGGGGGCAAGGGGAGACAGGGGGAAGAGGGGAGTGAGGAGGGAGGGGAAGAAAGGAAAGAGGGCAAGGAGAAAGGAGAGGGAGGCGGGTGGAAGGATGATAACGCGGCGACGAGTGGAGTGGTGAGGGAGATCTCAGCCCTGATCGACCAGGTCAAGACGCTGCTGGTTCACAGCCGCAAGAATTCCCGGTTCCAAGCCATCTTCGAAATGTCCCTGGTGAGCATTTGCTGGTCATTGCTCACTTGCGTACGTCTCAGGGGATTAGCCGGCCCACGTCGGTTCCCGGGCAAAGTCCCCGGGCAAAGTCTCAGGGGATTAGCCGGGACCCACGTCTGGCCCTCACCTGACCGTGGGCTCAAGTCAATGTAAGCTCTCAAACCCAAAACCCAAACTTCGGCCCCCACCATCCTTGCCACCCCCACCATCCTTGTTCACGGTATCTCAGGAGTTCAAGCTGGTGGACTGCAACGAGGCGGCGGTGCGCTACATGAAGTACCTTCCAATGTAAAACACTTGCACATGTCAACATTCAACCTCAGAACCACTCTCCCCTCCCCTTCCAGGATCCAGTATTCACAGTGTCACAGGAGTTCAAGCTGGTGGACTGCAACGAGGCGGCAGTGCGCTACATGAAGTACCGCGACCGCGAGGAGATGCTGCAGCGCTTCGACCTCATGAAGCTCTCCCCCGAGTTCCAGCCCGACGGCCGGCGCTCCGTGGACGTGCAGATGGAGAACCATGCGCGCATGCTGCGCGGCGAGGTGGTCATCTTTGAGTGGCAGACGCTGGCGTCCGATGGCGAGCCCTTCATGGTGCTCGTTACTGTCAGGGTAAGTGTGTGTGTGATTTTTTTGAAGTGTATTAATATATATATATATGTGTGTGTGTAAAAATATATGTTAATGAGGAATACTGATAATGATACAATATATGAAGTTTTTTTTTTTTTCTGATTGTCTGCAGATTTTTTTTACCTATCTTGTAAATATCTCTACTTCCTTCCACTGTTACGAACACCCTCACAGGAGATAGTGATCGACGGGGAGAAGCACCTGTTGTCCATCTGGCACGACCTGTCGGAGATGAAGCGCAAGGAGGAGGAGCTGAAGGCGGCCAAGGAGGCGGCAGAAGCGGCAAACGAGGCGAAGAACCGGTTCCTGGCGAACATGAGCCATGAGCTGCGCACCCCCATGAATGGCGTCATCGGTGTCGCCGAGCTGCTCCTCCGCACGCCCCTTACGGACGAGCAGCGCATGTACCTGGACGTCATCTGCTCCTCCGGCAACGCCCTCATGCATATCATATCCGACGTGCTCGATATCACTAAAATCGAGACGCACTCGCTCGTGGTTGACGCGTACCCGTTTGATCTGCATGTGACGATCGAGCAGGCACTGAGTGCGATCCGCGTGGCGGCGAATAGCAAGGGGCTCGGGCTGCATGTGAGCGTGTGTGAGCAGCTGCCTGTGATGGTGATAGGAGACCAGTTCCGTGTGAGGCAGATTCTCCTCAACCTGCTCTCCAACGCCATCAAGTTTACCGACAGGTGTGTGGAGTGTGGTTCATGAATGTTGAGTGCGGTTTGACGGAGTGTGGGTGGGTGTGATTGTGTGGTGGGATGAGGTGAGTCAGACTGTCCAACACCATCAAGTTTCACCAACAGGTGTGCAGCAAGCAGTTAACTGCTGGGCTGTGGCAAGAGGGTCACTGCGAGGGGCTGCGCTGCGGGGCTGCTGTGCTTGTGCAAGTGCAGCAGTGGGTCTCTGCGAGTCATTCAGTGCATATTTTTTTTACGACACAAAAAACACCCTCAAGGGTTTCTACCTCTTTGCGAGTCATTCAGTGCATCGCATGATGACCATCTGCTCTGTCTGTCCGCTCTCCCTTGCTTCCCCTTTGTTCGTCCTTCCCCGCACTCTGGCAGGGGCGAGGTGAGGGTAAGAGTCTCTCTCTGCGACCCGCCATCACAAGGTAAGCGCAACAGCACCGCAACAGCTTCCTACCCCAAACTCCGCTTTACGCACCTGTATACCTTGCTCTCTTGTTCAATCTTTCTCTTCCGTCTCTCATCTCTTCCCTCCCTCCCTCCCTCTCTCCTTTCCTTGCCCCCTCCTTCCCGTCCCCACTCTTTGCCGTCCCCACTCTTTCCCTTCCCCCTTCTTCCCCTGCCCGCCTCTTTCCCTGCCCGCCTCTTTCCCTGCCCGCCTCTTCCCCTGCCCGCCTCTTCCCTGCCCGCCTCTTTCCCTGCCCGCCTCTTTCCCTGCCCGCCTCTTTACCTGCCCGCCTCTTTCCCTGCCCGCCTCTTTCCCTTCCCCCATCTTTCTCTTTCCCCCGGTTTCCCTTTTCCCCTCTTTCCCTTGCCCCCTATTCCCCCCCAACTTTGTTTCCCTTCCCCACTCTTCCTCTTCCCTTTTCTTCCCCTTCCCCCCTCCCTGCCGCTGTAATGCCATCAGACGAGGGCACAAGGCAAGGGGTGCGTGGGGAGGGACAGCTGGGCAAGCGGATACTGGACGACGCGCATGGCCATGGGAGCTTCACAGAGAAAGAAACGGTTGGGCTTGAAAAAGGGGAGCGCGAAGGGGAGGGCCATGAACGGGGGGAGCAGGCGTGGAAGGAGCAGGCAACCTCAGACCAAACTGGTACGTCTTCTTCCCCACCTCGTGTCAGTGCCCCTCCCCGCACTTCGTGTTTTGTGTTGCTTTCTTCACTGCACCTCGTGTCAGTGTTGGTCGCCCGTCGAAGTGTCGTGTATTGGTGAAAGGTAGCTGCTGCAGCAGTCATGCTGTGGTTGCTGTTGATGCTGCTGCGGCTGCTGCTGCTGCTGCTGCTGCCGCCGCTGCTGCTGCTGCTGCCGCCGCCGCCGCCGCCGCCGCTGCTGCTGCTGCTGCTGTTTGTTCCAATGCTGCTGCTATCGTGTGAACCCGTGTCTATGCTGTCATGTGTGGTGATGTTTCAGTGTATGGCCGCATTGCCACCCTCGCTACCACGGCTGATGCGCCTACGGCTGTTGCTGCTACTGCTGCTGCTCCTCCTCCTGGGAGTACTTCTGCCAGCGCAGCAGCAGCTACCACTGCCAGCGATGCTGCTGCGGCAGTGGAGTTGACTGCTGGCAGTGAAGCTGCTGGGAATGGTGAAGAGATGGCGGTCCGTGTGGTTAGAGCAGGTAGCATCACTCCGTGTGCGGCAGAAGCAGATACGGCGGAAGCAGGTGCAATAGAAGCAGATGCAATAGAAGCAGCTGCAGTAGAAACAGACACAATAGGATCAGACCTGATAGAAGCAGGTGCGCTAGAAACAGCAGCAGAGGAGAAGGTGTGGGTGCGGATAGACGTGTCGGACACGGGCGTGGGCATCTCCTCCGAGGCGATGGCGAGGCTGTTCACGCCGTTCCGGCAGGTGGACGACTCGTCGTGCCGCAAGCACGGCGGCACGGGCCTGGGTCTCTCCATCTGTCGCTCGCTCGCCGCGCTCATGGGGGGCTGCATCTCCGTCGCCTCCTCCCCCCGCCACGGCTCCACCTTCTCCCTCCACCTCCCCTTCATCCGCTCCCGCACGTGGGACGTGCATGTGAGGAGGGAGGAGAGGGGGGGTGCGACGCTGTGTGGGGCGTGGGAGGAGGGGCTGGGGGAGGAGATGCAGGGGAACAGGAATGTTGAGCGAGGGGGTGGGGAAGGGCAGAAGACGGGTGGAAGGAACGGGGTTTCTGCAGCGTCTGTTGCAGCCGCAGAGGCAGCAGCAGCTGCTGCTGCAGCTGTAGCAGGAATCAGTGAAACGGAAGGAGGAGAAGCAGAACTGTGGTCACAACCGAGTGAGGTTGCAGGAGGGGTGGTGGGGGAGGGGAGAAGGAGCGGGGTGAGGGAGGAGGGGGAAGGAAGGGAGCGAGAGGAAGGAGATGAATTGGATGAGGCCTTGAGACATTTTCGAACCACTCCCTCACCACTACACCAAGCCTCTGCCGTACCTCATCACCGAGCCTCTCGTTCGCCTCGTCGCCAAACCTCCCCCTCACCTCCGCCTGTGGTTCGGTACCCAAGCCCTCTATCCTGCCTGCCTCCCTTCTGGCACGTGCAACAGCAGCAGCAGGTGGAGGATGAGAATGAGCAGCAGCAGCAGCAGCAGCAGTGGCCACAGGGGGACATGTGCGGAGAGGGGGAGCAGATGGGTGGCGGGGAAGGGATGGAAGAGGGGCGGGAAGGTGGGGAAGCAGGCAATACGTGTCGACTGGATGCAAATGGAGGGGCGGGGTTATGGATCCCGGACATCAGGGGGGGAAATCTGGAAAGTGCAGAGGGAGAGGTTGCTGCAAGGAGGACCGAGAGAATGTGCGAAGGGCGTGGACCTGAAGCTGAGGAGGATGGGAAGGGGGTTGAAGGAGCTTCAGAGGTGGGAGCAGGAATGGAAATGAGAGGGGGGGGAAGTGCGAGGGTCATGGCCACACCTGGTAATTCTGTGGGAGGAGGGCAACCGATGGAATGGAAGTGTAGTTTAGATGCGCCAACAGTATTAGCAACAGGTGCAGCAGCAGCAGGAGCAGCGGTTGCAGTTGCAGGAGCAGGGAAAGCAGCAGGAGCAGCAAGAGCAGCAGGGGCAGGAGGATCAGCAGGGGCAGGAGGGGCAGGATTAGTACCAGGGGAGGTTGTGGCAATGAGTGTAGGGAGAAGAGGAGGTGGAGTGAGGCTGAAGAGACCAAGGGAGGGTGGGATGTCCGAGAAGGAGCAGGTGGATGGGGAGGAGAGCGAGGAGGCTGGGGAGGATGAGAGCAGCAGCAGTGACGAGGAGAGCGAGGGTCGGGGAAAAGCGGGGATGAGCGGAGCGGCAGTGAAGGGCGGCAGGAAGTCAGGGGAGGCAGGGGCAGGCAGAGGAGAGCAGGAGGGGGGGTTTGCGGGGCTGCGGTGCCTGGTGGTGGAGGACAACGCGGTGAACCGCATGGTGGTGGTGCGGCTGCTGAGGAGCCTCAAGGTGGCGTGCGATGTGGCTGAGGACGGTAGCAAGGCTGTGCAGGCGTGTGCGCGGTGCTGCTACGACATCATATTCATGGTACATGCCTTGCTGCATCCCATTCATGGAGACTGAGAGGTCTTAAAAGGTGGAAGGCTGTGCAGGCATGCGCACGGTGTTGGTGCTGCTGCAACATCATCTTCATGGTGCGTGCGTTGCTTTTGGGGCGCCTCAAATTCTTGGGAGTCTAGTTTTGAGGCGCCTTAAACTACGCTCGGTGCTGCTACGACAACATATTCATGGTGCATGCCATGCTGCATTCCAGTTCCACTCATGGAGAGTTGCGTGAAGCTCACCTTTTTTTTTTTGCCTCCCCGCAACCTCCCTTGTCGCTGGCAGGACTGCCACATGCCAGTCATGGACGGGTTTGAGGCCACGGAAAGAATACGTCAGCTGCAAACAGAAGACAGCGATGCTAGTGATGGTGGTGACGGGGAGAGAGCAATGTCTGATGCTGTTGAAGTGAAGCAGCAGGAACAGCAGCACCAGGAACAGCAGGAGCAGCAGCAGGAGGAGGAGCAGAAAGCAATCAAAGGGCCAAAAGTGCAATCAGGCATGTGTTTAGAAGGAGACCAGGGATCGAAGCAGGAGAAGCCGCACCATCGGAGAAAGCGGTCGGTCATATATGCGTTGACAGCGAGCGTGTTGAAGCATGAGAGGGACAAGTGTGTGAGTGTAGGGATGGATGGCTTCCTTGCCAAGCCAATAAGGCTCAAGGACCTCCAGCAGGTGCTCGGTCAGTTGATGCTTGAAATCAAAGAGAAGAAAGCTGAAGGAAGTGGCTCGCTGCGTGTGAATACGGGCCCTCAATTGAATGAATGACGCCTAAAACCTTGATTTGCTACTGCAATGGTCGACTATTTGTAGTGTAAGCAATTGCATATGTGTAGCCGCTGGGCTTTACACAACATGGCGAGGCGAGCTGGTAACGGCACAGTTCTAATGGATCACATCGCAAGAGTGGGTGCTGTTCATGTTAGGGGGGCACGCGCACACGTCAGTCGTCTTCAACCCTCATCCAGTGGTCGAAATGTTGCCTGTTTGTTAGTCAGGTACAACTGGTGTGTAACGTACAACGCGCTCAAGTGTGTATTGGATTGTGCAAATCTAGGCAATCTTTTTGTGAGGAAGATTGCATCACACTTGTACACATTTCTGTGGTTTCAGCTTCCACTGCTCCCGCGTGGCCAGCCATTTCACAGCATTTCTTGTGTCGGTGGTTCTTGTCCTTGTCTTTTGCCTCACAAAGTTCCCATCGTTGCCAGCACCTTTTATACACCACGTCAGCCCCTCCAACGTTGCTTGATTTTTTTTTTTTCATGTTTTCTACGCGCTGTACAGAGCACTTATTTACAGAGCACTTTCTCAGGGAGGAGAGAAGTTTTTGAAAGAGGTCACACAGATCTGCCTGGGGAAAATGGACATTGGTCTACGATCCGATCCCAACAGCTGGTCCTGCGTGGCTCACAAAATCCGCGCACACTGCCACATCCTGGAAGTTGCTCTACGGCAAGGATCAGTCTTCCCCGCCACTGTCGCGTCCCTGAGGCTACAAAGGATTACCCTCGCCTTCACGAACATAATCGTAAACATCACTTCTAGGCTGTCATGATGAGATTTGCAGCGCTGTAACCCTCTCTTCTGCCTGGTGCTTGCTTTCGGTGAAAAAAACCCGATGCTGTATGAGCTACCCTTGGTTGCACTGGGTTCTCCAAAAACGATTTTCGAGCCTTCACAAACGCGAGAGGCATGCTGCCCTTTCTTCTCGCGTGCCTGTCTCGCCACGTCACATTTGCGACTCACGTTCGCATCCCTAGGACGCGTCACGTGAAGCGGGTCAGCCGAAGATCGGCCGATCCGCACCGATTGTCATTTCGAGCCCAAGCTCGGTAGAGATCGGTGCCCATGGCTGCGCAGCTACGGCGCACCGATATACAGGTGACAGGTTCGGTATGGCAGGTTACGGGGTTGTGGTAACCTCCTGCGACAACAGCAATGTTGTCGTGCGCAGAATCGCACTGGGAAACCTAGGGTATGTGATGACGAGCGAAAACAATCGAAACTGACTGTCACTTGTGGCGCGAAATTCCACACCCCGCTACCCAATCTCAAGCTCGATATTTTTACTTCGCTGTATCGATCAGGGCTCCCGTAGGTGACAGGTTCGTGGGCACATTTTTACTGTATATTTGCGAATACTCACGACATTAAGTTACCTTGTTGATTATGACGCTACAGTGCTACACCCCATGCGCAAAACCGATCTTCCAGCCGATCGATCCGCTTCAGGTGACGTGTCCTTACCACACGTCCTTCCCTCCCCGCTCTCACCTCCCCTTCCTGCTCCTCATCATGTGCTCATTCCCTATCCCACACCGTACGTCGCCACATTACATCACATCCAACCAGTGTCTACCGCGTAAAAGCTCCTTAGATGCAGGCAGACCTACCCAAATTCTTTCGGTTGTGTTTCTTGCTTATCAACTGCTGCTTCACACGGCTACCTGTTTTTGTAGGACCCCTTGGAGCAACCTTTCCCGTTCAGAGGGACTGTTGTGCGCAGACTTCGGCCAAATGCGATGTTCTCTAGGAGCACTTGATTCTGTTTTTGATCAGGCTTGTTGGAGCTTTTGGAAGGAAATGCTCTTGGGATTACAGTACCACCCCGCGGCATATATCATTAGGCTTCTGGGACTCACTTACGTCATCGCTAAGAAACTTCCGTGACAAGTCATGCGCTTTCGTTTCCAAGCGTTGGAACTCAGATTGACCAGCTTATGCGCTACCTTTCATTAGCTTTGGAATGCAGATGCAGAGTCACACAATGGTTTGATGTTGCTGGACTCGTAAGGCCTTATTTATTTTTTCACTTAGTCCGAGTACGATCAACGAGCGCGCGTTCTTTTACCCGCTAGGCTCCTAAATAGCAATCGATAGTCACATGCGTAGATTGAATCCCTAATTACTTGTGACCAGAGGTCACGGAGTAGTGTAGCATACCCCGCTTAGCACGCCTCGCACAGAGCTTCAGAAGCAGAAAATGCATACGAGCACGCCTTCTCACCACCACTGTCAATATCTCGGTCCGATGCTTCTAGATGTTATTCCTGCGGCTCTTTTTACCTGCGACGACGGTTTCCGCATCGCTCACTGCAGGTACAGCAATCTTTAACAGACTATTCTACTCCAAACTTCTCGGTTTTTTTTAGACTGTTTCTCTGGTCCTTGTGTCGTTTCCCTTGCTTCTTATCCTCGTCGCTAAATTTGTACGCTAACCCCTCGGTTTGATGCGTGTGCAGCCATGCGTTGATGAGAATTCTTGAAGAGAAGCCCGAGGCTATTCGAGGGAAGCGAATAGCTGAACTTTTACACTCAGAAGATGCAAGAGCCGTGGAGGTCCGTCCATCTCTCCCTCTCTCTCTCCCTCTTCCACTCTCCCTCTCTCGCTCTCCCTCGCACCCTTCCTCTCCTCTGTCTCTTCCTCGCTCCCCCTGGTTTTTAGTAGCAACATGATCGCACACGTAATCCCTCCCCCACACGATCTCACAACTATTTTCTGGCACGAGCATGAGTCATGCTTCGGTCCTTCACCTTCTAACTCTCCATCTCGCCTCTCAAATCCTCCCCGCGGTCTGTCCAGCCAATCATGGCCGAGTTCGCTCGAGCCAGTTCATCCCCTAAGCAGAAGCGTCTCGACGTGCGACTCCGAGTCAGCAACGAGCGACACCGCGACGAAACCGTCGCGAGCGCGAACGCGACCATTTCGCAGGCTTCGCAGTGGGCATGGTTTGAGATGTCGCTCGTGACGAGAGTCGTCGCCGGCGATGCGTTTCGCAGAGCAGGCGACTGTCGCAGCAAAGAAGGCGATGCTCGCGACAGAGCACGTCTGCGAACGGAACACGCAGAGCGGCCGGTTCTCGCTGCATCGAAAGAGGCATCGTCGGGGAAGCGGGACGAGGCGACACCGAAGGGTTTAGACAGTCTTCCTGTTCAAGGTTCTTCAGCCGCAGAGGTTCGCGACGGCACCGGCGGTAGCGGCGAGGGAGCGGCGCAGGCGTGCATTCTCGCGACGTTCCACGAGATCTCCGCTCGGCGAGCAAGCATGGTGAGTCCTGCACCGCGCGTCACGCGATGCCTCGCGCGTCGCGACAGCTTTCGCCGTGAATCACGGGTCCGCTTTCACCCACCGTCGTTCGCACGGATGCCGAGATTTCACCTTGCCTCCGCCTTGTCGGCTCGCTTCCCCTCGTCATCGCTGTCTCACATACGCGCTCCCCCACTCTCGCCCTCTCTGCCGTCTCACGCGCCTCCCCGCGGTCTGCGCAGGACGTACTTGTGCGCGAGTTGCGGCGGACGGCCGACATGGCCGTGCGCGTAGCGGGTGGGGGAGACGACGACGCGCCACACAGCCCTCGCGGCGACGACCGACAGGCGCGTCGCTCTGACGCCGCGCAAAGTCCCCCTTGCAGCGGCGACCCGCGGAACCCTAACGCTGACGATGATGGCTCACAGAGGGCGAGCGCTGGTACTGCTGCGACAGCTGGCGAGTCGCCACGGGTCGGCAGAAGCGATCGGAATTGCAGCGACAGGGGACAGGCAGGGGAAGGGCTGGGGATTGCAGCAGACGGGCGGGAGAGGAGAGGGGAGGAGGGAAGTGGGAGCGAGGGGAATGAGGGGGAGAAGAGAGGGAAGGAGGCGAAAGGGGAGGAGGCGAGAGGCGAGCAGGCGAGGGGGGATGAGGCGAGAGAGGGTGGCGAGGCGAGTGACCCAGTGGCGACGGCGTTGGAGCTGGTGGGGAGGGTGAAGGAGGTGGTGCAAGCGAGTCAGAAGAACTCCGTCTTCCGCACCATCTTCGAAATGTCCCTCGTCAGTGCCCTCCCTGCCTTCCCTTGGCCGCTCTTCTTACATGCATCTCTGCTCTCTGCACCCAGCACAGTAACAAGCTGGAAGTCACACCAATCACCCATTTCCTGCTGTCCGTCCCTTAACTTCCCTTCATTCCCTTCACACCCCATTCCAATCTTTCCCCGCCTCCCTATCTCCCCATTTCCCAGTTCCAACCGACCAGGACCCCATGTTCATAGTTTCGCGCGAGTTCCGCGAGTTCCCTCGTCAGTGCCCTCCCTGCCCTCCCATTCTTCCCGCCTGCCAATCTCCTTGCCCCACCAACCAGGACCCCATGTTCATAGTGTCTCGCGAGTTCCGCATAATGGACTGCAACGATGCTGCCATCCGCCACATGCGCTTCGCCTCCAAGGCCGAGGCCATCGCGCGCTTCGACGCCCTCTCCGGCGCGCCCGAATTCCAAGCCGACGGCCGCCGCACGGCTGACGTGGCAGCCGTCAACGTGGCGCGCATGCTGCGCGGCGAGACGGTCGTCGTGGAGTGGCGCCACCTGGCCGCCGACGGGACGCCGTTCGACGTGCTGTTGAATGTGAGAGAGATTATGGTGGATGGGCAGCGCTGCATGCTGTCGGTCTGGCACGACCTTTCTGAGATGAAGCGCAAGGAGGAGGAGCTGAAGGCGGCCAAGGAGGCGGCAGAAGCGGCAAACGAGGCGAAGAACCGGTTCCTGGCGAACATGAGCCATGAGCTGCGCACCCCCATGAATGGCGTCATCGGTGTCGCCGAGCTGCTCCTCCGCACGCCCCTTACGGACGAGCAGCGCATGTACCTGGACGTCATCTGCTCCTCCGGCAACGCGCTCACCCACATCATCTCAGACGTGCTAGACATCACCAAGATCGAAGCGCACTCTCTCGCGCTCGAGTCCTACCCGTTTGACCTCCGGGAAACGGTGGTGGATTCGTTAGATGCAGTGAGATCGGCTGCTAGCAGGAAGGGCCTGCAGGTGACGAGCAGCGTGAGTGGGGAGCTTCCCGAGGCAGTGATAGGCGATCAGTTCCGCGTGCGGCAGATTGTGCTCAACCTGCTGTCCAACGCCATCAAGTTCACTGATGCTGGCACTGTGGGGATCGCGGTTACCACCAGTGCGGAGCGGCCGGTGCTGCAGCGAGGGAAGACGGAGGGGGGCTGTGCCGGGTGGGTGTGCGGGGGTGGGTGGGAGCGAGAGGAGATGCGGGAGGTGGAGGAGAAGAGTGATTGTGGGGTTCTTGGCAAGAGGGCGAGAGGGGAGGAATCAGTGGGTGCGGATGAAACAGGGTCAGAGGTTAAAGAGGTTAACGCTGCTCCTATGAGCTCTGCAAAGCGGCTTCGCAGGGAGCAGCAGAAGCAGCAGCAGCAACAGCAGCAACAGGAGGAAACGACTGTGAGGGGAGCAGGGCAAGGCAATTTGGCATCAGCAGCAGCACCAGTGTGGGTGCGAATAGACGTTAGCGACACGGGCGTGGGCATCTCCTCCGAGGCGATGGCGCGGCTGTTCACGCCGTTCCGGCAGGTGGACGACTCGTCGTGCCGCAAGCACGGCGGCACGGGCCTGGGTCTCTCCATCTGTCGCTCGCTCGCCGCGCTCATGGGGGGCTGCATCTCCGTCGCCTCCTCCCCCCGCCACGGCTCCACCTTCTCGGTGTGCCTGCCGCTGCAACCCACCAGGCAGTCTCCCTCTCGCCCTCACCACGTCTCGAACCAAATGCCAACAACTTCAGCTGCAGTTGCTGCTGCCGCCGCCGCCGCTGCTGCCTCTGCCGCCGCTGCTGCTTCTTCTAGCAAGGCAGCAGCAGCGCCAGCAGCAGCTGCAGACACGACTGCTAAGATTGGCAGCGCCCCTCCTGCTGCGCGGCCGTTTGAAAGCTACCTGAACTCAGGGCTGGGTCCGGTGGTGGCTGAACTTGACTCGTGCGGCTTGAGTGACGCCAGACTCACCCAGCTGGAAGGCCGAGGGCGGGGGGTGCGTTGGCAGGAGGACGCAGCAGCCCTAAGAGCAGGAGCAGCAGGAACAGGGTCGGTGAATGAGGTGGGGGAGGGGAAGGCAGGGGGCTCACGGGATGAGGGATGTTCGAGGAAGTTGTCTGCGGGTAAATGTTCCTCTGCTGCTGTGGGGAGTCCCAAGGGGAGTGGGGATGGGAGGAGCGGAGGAGGCAAGCGTGTGGCGCGTGCTGTTGGTGTTAGTGTTGCTTCTGCTGCTGCCGCTGCTGGTAGCGGCGGGGATGGTGGCCCGTTCAGCGGGCTGCGGTGCCTGGTGGTGGAGGACAACGCGGTGAATCGCATGGTGGTGGTGCAGCTGCTGAGGAACCTGCGAGTCTCGTGTGACGTGGCAGAGAATGGGCACAAGGCCGTGGAGGCCTGCCGCTCCACCAACTACCACGTCATCTTCATGGTATGCTCTCACCCTCATTATCCCGGCTACATCGTTTATCCACCAACTACCACGTCATCTTCATGGTGTGTCCTTGTGCCTCTCTGGGCTGCTCTTGATTGCTTTTCCACCAACTACTGCATCGTTTTCATGGTCAGTCCGTGCTCCTGTCTGGTGCTTCCCTTCGATTTATATCCACCAAGTGTCTCACTGTTTTCGAGGTCGGCACACACTCTCATCTGGCTGCTGTCAGACCCCCTTTTCATGTGCGAGGGATATACGCGCATCCACTTGCAGCTCACCTGCTGTCCTCCTCTTTCTCTACCCCCGATGTCACCTGCAGGACTGCCACATGCCAGTCATGGACGGGTTTGAAGCCACCACGCGCATTCGCAGCCTTCAGGGTGTTGAATCGCCCTCAAACGGACAGCCAGGTTGCTGCTCTGCTGATGTGAGAAAGGGGCAACAGAAGCAGCAATGTTCGACAGATTGCCATCAGCAGGCGCTGCAGCGGTCTGTTATTTATGCATTAACAGCAAGCGTGCTGAAGCATGAGAGGGACAAGTGCGCTCTCGTGGGGATGGATGGGTTCCTGGCAAAGCCGATACGCATGAGAGACCTGCAGCAGGTGTTGAGCCAAGTGCTGGCTAAGCCTCAGGTAAAAACATGCAGTGCAGCTTGCCACCATGGGCAAGCAGTTATGGTACCCATGAATCAGCCAATGTAGATTAACATCTAATTCTATTTATTCAATTATGAATCCGTCTCCTAGTCCTGTTCTAGAGATCAAGAGGTTCTACATTTCAGATGCCAAGTGCTGATTGGATACACTTCATGAAAGGAGAGGGAAGAACTTTCCTACACCCTGTTTCGAGCCACACTGACATTCGCTGTATTGACATCCCACCTATTCTGACATCAACGCGTCCAAAACGGTCCCAGAACATTGCATATAAGCACAATTTGCCGCACTCAACCGTACGCGATAGTAATGTTCTGTCATAAAACGTTTTGTATCGTTCAAATGGACTGCATTTGCCCGCCACCTACCTGGGGTTCGGCTGCAAGCACCAGCCCGCAAAATCCAAGCGGACGTTCGGACTGTAGCCCGGGCTCTCGATTGTCAGAACTTTGAGAAACAAGGTGTACTAAGCTTCGTTGTCGTTTATGCTTCTGGGTAGCTTTCTTTGTAAGCTACCTAGTGGCCAGTGGTCCAGCGGACACCGAGTTTGTAATTGTCTGCGGGACCCTGCGCCACGCGTCTGCGCTTGACGTGCACGGTCCTCCTGTCGTTCTCCGAACGCCATCTGCGGAACAAAGGGGCATCTGCGGAACAAAGGGGCGGCGGAGAAGCATTGCTGGCGCGCATTGCCAGCACAGCTCACTTAGGGGAAGGCTGCCAATGATGACCCTTCTTCCCCCTCATCCAAACCTTCGTCCCCCGAGAAACACGCTCGATCCGCCCAGGAACAGACCATTCACACCCACCCCCACCCACCAGATTTGACCAAACGCCTGCCACCGCCACCAGTCAGCTTCTCGTCGTTTCTTCACAAGTGCGATGTTCAGAAGTCCTGTTCGGTTACGTCAGTTGCTTCCCGAGTCCCGACCCGATATACAGTCGGTGCTCATTTCAAGAACACCAGGTAGGCGGGCGGCATGTGAGTGAAACGTGTTTCTGAAAATTCGCCACTGTCGCCCTTGTCGCCACGGGCAAAAAATGTGACTGTAATATGAAATTGCAATGTGAATCGAGACACGGGCTTTAATTTCATAACCAGGTAAACTTTTCTGATGACAGGCAACCGTTGTTGTTTATGAACTGTAGATGTTTTTCTTCCGCAAGCTGGTGACTATACCCCGAAATCGGCAGAATTGTCAATTTAGTCACTCACGGGCAAAACGTTCGCGAGTGACTAAATTTGTAAACTGTGAGGAGCAATTGTTTTGTGATAGGCTGAGCATCGACTGTAGTACAGCGATGAAATAGCCAAGTGGGGTGGGGCCACACTTTTTTCGTTAATAGGTCGTATGACGCGGTCTAATACGGTCACCCTTGTTTGGGAACGGTTCTGAAGTCCACCGTTTTATACCGTTGCGGACCAGAATGAAACTTTCAAAGTCGATTCAATAAAATAGCGTGCAGCTGGCATTCACAGACTTGTGAGCAGTGGTATGCTTCATATGAGCATCTGTGTTGTGAATCAGTCAGTGAAGCATGTCAGCTTTATCGAGGCAACAACCACAGACAAGGTCACTTTATAATGTGCGTGTCGCACGTCGAGCTGACGTCTCACATGGTATCGTTACCACGTTCACACGACATTAACTACGTCTTTCGCGAATCATGTCGCTAGGAGCGGTAGCCGGTTTCGCAACTGACGCCAGCAAGCACAGCGTTCCGAGCGAAGCGCGTCTCAATCTGCGACCCGAATGTTTTCCACTCTCACTCGCCGAATCCTCTACTCCAGCTTTTTCGCTCCTTAATCTCGTGCTCGCAGCAGTCCCTGCCGCGCTTATTTCTCCCGCGAGAGACTTTCGCATCGTTCAATGCAGGTACGCGCGAAAGACGGTCGAGGTAGACTCACTTGTTCGGTGTGGCGCACCGCGCGAAAAATGTTATTTTCTCAAAGTGCCGGGCAGGCTTTGTGTGAAAAGCGTCAGTTATGTCTATAGATTTGCTCTTCTCGCTTCCATCGCTCACCCGCTCTACTCGCGCGGGAGTCCTCACGTCTCCCTCTATAGATTCGGACCTTTCTCGTGCCAACATGCTACCTTCCCCCGTCTTCCTTCTTCCCTCCTCCCCACTCTCCCCCCCTCCCCTCCGGCCCCCCTCTTCCCCACTCCTCTCCCTCCCCCTTCGTGTTGACGCGTCGTCGTCGCGTGTGCGCAGCGCCGCTCTCCTTCGCGCTGTTGCCGGCGATGCAAATCTGCCAGTGACGGCCGAACGGCAGACGCGGCAAGAGTCTGCCGGGTGGCCGGCAGTGGCCGTCAAGTTGCCTCAGCAAGCACCGGCGAGGGAAAGTGAAGAGCATGGGAGGATTGCGCAAGGGAAGGTTCTAGGAAGGTCGCTGCTGGAGCTGATCCACCAGGATGAAGTCAGGAAAGTCAAGGTATGACAGTTGAGTCGACTGAATAGGCACCCCATTGCATTAAGAGCGTAGCATTAAGAGCGTAGCTTAAAGAGGGTGAAAGTAAGATAGTTGGGTCAACCCAGAAGTCACCTCATTACATCAGGAGCGTAGAGTGCTGACAGGAAAATGTAGGTATGAGCGGAGAGTGAAGGTGTGACAGCAGGGTTGGCAAGGCGTGTGCTTTCTGGTACCCGACGCCGGTTGAAAGCATGACTCTATGTGTGCTGCTTCGTGTTCTTGCAGCATGCGCTCTCACACCCAACCGCAACAGCACCAGGAGCAGGAGCAGAAAGAGCAGGCGGCGCAGCAGCAACAGGAGCAGGATCGGGAGCAGCAGCACCCAGAGCAGCACGACCCGTGGACGTGCGGTTGATGCAGGCTGCAGAGGGGAGGGGTGATGTAGTACCCGCAGCAGCAGCAACGCAAGCAGCAGAGGGAAGGGGCGGAGCCGGCGACAACTGCAACAACAGCATTAACAGCAGCAGCAGCATGAGCAGCAGCAGTGGTGGTTTCAGATGGTATGAGATGCGCGTGTGGCGCGTTGATAGCGCCACTGCTGCGCTGCTGCATCCCGCAGAGGCGATGGGCGGGCTGGGGGAGGAGGAGAGGGGGCGCAGGGCGGAGGACGGCGCAAGGTGGGCGGAAGGAGCGGAGAGGGGGAGTGGAAGAGTAGTGGAAGGGATGAATGGGTCAGCTCCGGGCTGTGATACTTGTGCATACACTCATGGGTTGATGCAACACCATGACGCATGTGCATGCGCATCCGGCCATGGTGCGATGGAGCACCATGGTGCATGCACAACTGCATGTGCACATGCTGACTCCTGGCTTCTCTGTCTCTTCCACGATATCACCATGAGAAAAACCTTTGAGGTATGCCCCATCGCTCTTCACCGTTTTGTTTCTCCACTCTGTCTCAGCTCCTCCGTCACATGCCTTCGTGCGTCTATCTTCACCGCTCTCCATCACTTTCTGCCACTCTGCACCCCTCTGTATCCCACCAACTCTTGTCCCTTTCAGTCAGCACAAAACCACCCCTCTGCACCCTTTTGCACCCCTTTTGACCCCCCATTCCCTCTACTCCTCCCCTGCTGCAGCACGCCACAGCGAATGTGGAGCTGGCAACGAATCTGGCGCAGGTGAAGCCCCCCACCTTGCCTCATGCACTTTGAGTCCATACAAACCCAACACCACCACCCTGCACCCCCCTCCACTCCTCCAGGCGCAGCTGCTGCAGCACGCCACAGCATGTGCGGAGCTGGCAACGAATCTGGCGCAGGTGAAGCCCCCCGACCCCGTCTCATGGGGGGACGCTGTTGAGAAACACTACGGGACTCGCCCCTCGCCCCATGCAGCACCCCCGCCCCATGCGCCTCCCCCACCCCATGTGGCACCCCCGCCTCATGCGCCACCGCCCCATGCATCCCCTCCCCATGGCCCCCCTGCTGCTGCTGCTGCTGCTGCTTCTGCTGCTGCTGCTTCTGCTGCTGCTGCTGACCCGTCCCATCCGCCTGCTGCTGCTGTCGTGCCCCATGCAGCTACTGCTGCCGCTACTGCGACTGCTCCTTCCGCTCACCATCCTGCTGCCACCCCTCCCAACGCTGCCAGTGCCCCCCACCACCCCAGCCACCCCAACCAGGCCATTTCCGCCAGCCCCCCCCCACAGCACCTCACATGCGCCCATCACCCCAGCGCACCCAGTGCTCCCACCGTCTCCAGTGCCCCCGCCGCCCCCAGCGCCCCCATGGTCTCCAATGCCCCCGCCGCCCCCGGTGCCCCCGCCGCCCCCAGTGCCCCCGCCGCCCCCGGTGCCCCCGCCGCCCCCGGTGCCCCCGCCGCCCCCAGCGCCTCCGCTCCCCCGCCCCTCAAGCTTCACCCCCAGCAGCGGCGCAGGCGGAGGGGGAGGCGGCGCACACAGGCAGTGGGGCGGCGGGCGGACGGTTATCCTGACCACTTCTGGCCCTCCTATCCCCCTGACGAGACCCCCCCTCCGCCTGCGCCTGGTGTGGGGGGGGGAGGGGGGAGAGAGGGGGAGGAGGGGGAGGGGTGGGAGGACATGGAGGAAGGAGAGGATGGGGAGGAGGAGGAGAGTGCGTTGGAGGAGGCGATGAGGGTGGTGGAGGGGATCAGGGCGACGCTTCAGGAGTGCCAGGGCCATGCCAAGTTCCATGCCATCTACCAGCTCTCCATGGTGCGATGCCATGCCATGCCATGACTTTGCCTTGCCATCCCTTGCATGTCGTGAGCTTTGAGTCGACTAAACATTCAGGAGTGCCAGGGCCATGCCAAATTCCATGCCATGGCATCTACCAGCTCTCCATGGTGCGTGCCCGTCCTCGTACTCTACTCACCACCTTGCTGCGCCCCTCCACGCCATGGTCCATGCCATGCCATCTACCAGCTCCCCCCATAACCCCCACTTACCCCTAGGTGCCCTTGCTTGCACGTGTTTTTCCAGCACCATGGCGCGCATCAACTGCAACGATCCCCAAGTCCTATACCCCCCCATCCTGTCACCCCTGCCACACCTGCTGCCCACTAAGCCAACCCCCCGTTCCCCACCCCCCCCTCCCCTCCCTTCCCCTCCCACTGTCAGGAGCCCATCCTGGTGTTTTCCAGCAGCATGGCGCTCATAGAGTGCAACGACGCGACAGTATGGTTGATGCGCTGCCCTCAATCAATGTGCCACCCCTCTTTCCCCTCCTTTCCCTCCGCCCCCAATCTCCACCCCTTTCCCACCCCCTCTTACCAGGAGCCCATCCTGGTGTTTTCCAGCAGCATGGCGCTCATAGAGTGCAACGACGCGGCGGTGCGGTTGATGCGCTTCCGCAGCCGAGCCGACGCCCTGGCCAACTTCCGAGTGGCCAAGATGAGCCCCGAGTTCCAGCCTGATGGACGGCGGTCAAGGGAGGCTATATTGGGGATGCATGGGAGGATGATGAGCGGCGAGGTGGTGGAGTTTGAGTGGTGCCACCTCACTGCTGACGGCCACCCCATCATGCTGCAGGTAGTGACCGGGGATGGGTATAAGTAAAGGGGTAGATGAGTGTTGAAAGGCATTCCACCATGCACCATTCTGGAGTTCGAGTGGTGCCACCTCACTGCTGACGGGCACCCCATCATGCTGCAGGTGGGTGCGTGGGTTGACGGCTGTTGCGCGCGAGCAGTTTCCTGTACAGGTATGTGGTATGATGTGAGGGGCCCTGGCCAACTTGCGAGTGGCCAAGATGAGCCCCGAGTTCCAACCCGATGCATGCACATGCTCGTCTTTGTTCCACCCACCCACCCACCCACAGGTGAAGGTGACGATCATAGAAATCGGCGGCGAGTCATGCCTCTTCGCCATGCGGCACGACTTAACCGAGTCCAAGCGCAAGGAGGAGGAGGAGGGGGAAGCTCGTTGCTGCTCCTAACAAATAGATGCCAACTGTACTCTTGTGTGTTGGTGTGTGCGTGCCTGCATGCGTGTTCTTCCCTCCACCCAAAGGTGAAGGTGAAGATCATTGAGATTGGCGGCGAGTCGTGCCTGCTAGCCGTGTGGCACCACCTCACCGAGTCCAATCCAAGCGCAAGGAGGAGGAGCTCCGAGCAGCCAAAGGCGCAGCCGAGGCAGCGAGCGAATCACATCCTCATTCAGTCACAACCTCATGCACGTGTTCTTATTCGCCCCAACTGCTGCAGGTGAAGGTGAAGATCATAGAGATCGGAGGCGAATCCTGTCTCCTAGCCGTGTGGCACGACTTAACCGAGTCCAAGCGCAAGGAGGAGGAGCTCCGAGCAGCCAGAGACGCAGCGGAGGCAGCGAGCGAGGCGAAGAACCGGTTCCTGGCGAACATGAGCCATGAGCTGCGCACCCCCATGAATGGCGTCATCGGTGTCGCCGAGCTGCTCCTCCGCACGCCCCTCACCCCGCAGCAGCGCTCCTACGTCGACGTTATTTCTTCCTCCGGCACCGCGCTCATCCATATCATATCGGATGTGCTGGATATTACCAAGATCGAGGCGCATGCGCTGGTGTTGGACCGGAATCCGTTCGATTTAAGGAGGACGCTAACGCAGTGCCTTGCTGTTGTGCGCACTGCTGCTGACGGCAAGGGGCTCAAGGTGGGTGCGTGCGTTGATGGAAAGGTGGGAAGCGGTGCAGTACGGTAAGTGGGTTCATCGAGGCGCAAGCGCTGGTGCTGGATCGCAATCCGTTTGATTTGAGGAGGACGCTCTCGCAGTGTCTGGCGGTTGTTTGTTCGCACTGGTGCTGACGGCAAAGGGGCTTAAGGTGGGTGGGTGGGTTGATGGAAGGATGGGACGCGGTGCAGTGCGGTAAGTGGGTTGGTCGGGGCGCATGCGCTGGTGTTGGACTGGAATTCGTTTGATCTACGAAGGACGTTGTCGCAGTGTGTTGCTGCTGATTGCAAGGAGCTCAAGGTGGGTTGATGAAATCATGGAAAGGTAGGAATGGGTGCAGTGCGGTGGACGTGCTTGCGCATGCGCTGGTGTGGGCGAGGGCATGGCGGCGTGTGTGTAGGGGGGTCATCTCCACTCCATGTAATAACTCCACCATCTTCCCCTGCCCGCCCCCCTCCCCCACCCGTTGCCTCCCACTATCGCAGCTGCACAGCCATGTGGGGGAGGGCGTGCCGGCGTGTGTGTTGGGAGACCAGTTTCGCGTGCGCCAGATCCTGCTCAACCTGCTCTCCAATGCCATCAAGTTCACTGACAGGTGTGTGGCATGTGGTTGATGGGTGTGGTGCACGGTTGCAGGGAGTGTGGATGGGTGTGAGTGCGCGGTTGTAATGGTTGTGGCAGATATGAGTGTAAGGTAGAGGCTGGCCGGCTATGTGGGTGGTGGGTGAGTGAGTGCGGGTGAGTGTGGGTGGGTATGTGTGTGGTGGTGGTGGGTGAGTGAGACGTCTGCAGCAGTGCGAAGCCCTAATCCGCTCTCTTACTGCTTCTTCCCTCTTCTTCCCCTTGCTGCGTGCCCCTTGTAGGGGAGAGGTGGAGGTGCAAGTATACCTGCACAGGCAGCCACACATGCCGTCAGCACTGCCAGGAAACGAAGCTCCTTCTGCTTCCCCATCTCAAGCTACTCACTGTTCTGCTGATACTTGCACACTCTCTGCTACTCACAACCTGGCTGCTCCTCACAACCCTGCTGGTACAAACTTTCTTGAGCCTCATTCAGAAAAGGGAGAGTCAAATAGCACACACGCACTAGAAACACACTCAATAGAAGCTCATTCGGTAGAAGCACATTCACCAGATGCACAGCTGTTGAACGATGAGTCTGGGCCGTCCAAAGCTGAGCCTGGGACCACCAATGGCCCTCCTCCCGGCACCACCGCTACTGCCGCCGCCGCCGCTGCTGCTGCTTGTTCTGAAGGAGTGGCAAGGGCAAGAGACGAGCAAGCAGAGCTGCTGCTGCTGCGGGCACAAGAGGAGGCACAAGCAGAGGCAGCAACACTAGCAGCAGCGCCAGCAGCAGCGCCAGCAGCAGCGCCGCACACCCCGCCACTGCACCCTCCGCTCCCAGGGCTGATTTCTGAGCCGCCTCAGAAACCGTTTGCAGCGCCGCACGCACCGCCACTGCATCCCCCTCTCCCTGTGCCGTCCCTCTCCTTCCCTGCAGCAGCACCACCCATCCGCACGTGCCACTCTGCCACCCACATGAGCGCTCTGGCCGAGGGTGTGAGCGAGGGCCCTTGTGAGGCAGGTGAAAGGGGCAGTGAGGGCAAGCAAGGGGTGGCTTGTGAGGCGAGTCAAAAAGCATGCCGGGCGGGTGAAGGGAGCTTTAAGGGGGCGCAGGCGGGAGCGCAGCAGGGGTCGGTGGGTAAGGCCCCTCCTGCCAAACGGGCTCGTGTGGGCGGGTGCCATAGGGGTGGAGGCCGTGGGTTGAGTGCTGGGGGTAGGGGAGGGCGTGGGAGGCATGAAGAGGAAGGGGGAGGACGGGAGGTCCAAAAGGGAGAACAGGGTGGGGGAGGGGGAGGGGCAGGAGGAGGAGGAGGAGGAGGAGGAGGAGGAGGAGGAGGAGGAGGAGGAGGAGGGGCAGGAGGAGGGGGAGGAGGAGGCGGCAAAGAGAGTGGGGTGCGTCTCGCACGCCAAGCTTCGTGGAATGCTCCTGGGGCTGTGCTGGCTCGGGCCGACGCTGCTGCCGATGCTGCTGTGGTGGCTGGGGGAGCTGTGTTGACTGGCTTGGGTGGTGGGACGGGGGTGATTGAGGGGGAAGGGCTGGCCGGTGGGGCAGTTAAAATAGTAGGGGGGCACATGATCGATCCTGAAAAAGTCGTCGAAGCAGGAACAAGGGAAATATCAACAGCAGCAGCAGCAGCAGCAATAGGAGAAACAAGCAGGTTGGATACACAAGGGGCAGAGAGGAGAGAAGCTGTGCAAGTGGGGACGAAGCAGAAGGACATGCAAAGGCTGGAGGAGGGGGGCGATCCAGCCAAAGCAGCTGCTCCAGGAGCATGCTCATTAGCAGGAGGAGAAGCTCCCTTGGCTACATCCGAACAAAACGCCCTGCACTGCTCCCAGAGAGGTAGCGAGAAGCCAGTGCAGGTGCAGCGTGGTTCTGGAGAGATGCAAGGAGAGAGAGGAGCAGCGCAAGCAGAACAACCCGCAGAGGCAGGCGAGGCGGCGGTGGTGTGGGTGCGGATAGATGTGCAGGACACGGGCGTGGGGATACCGGAGGATCAGCTGGCGCGGCTGTTCACGCCGTTCCGGCAGGTGGACGACTCGTCGTGCCGCAAGCACGGCGGCACGGGCCTGGGTCTCTCCATCTGTCGCTCGCTCGCCGCGCTCATGGGGGGCTGCATCTCCGTCGCCTCCTCCCCCCGCCATGGCTCCACCTTCTCCCTCCACCTCCCCTTCTCTCCCTCCTCTGCCCCCCCTGCTTGCAGCGGGCAGGAGGCGGATCTGAAGGTTGTTGGGAGTGCGTCTCTGCCTGATGCGGTGGCGATGCCGTTAATGCCTGCTGATGACCCTCTGGTGCAGCAGCAGCAGCGACAGAAGGAGGAGCGGCAGAGGCAGGAGCAGCAGAGGCAAGAGGAGCAGGAGGAGGAAGAGGAGGAAGGGGAGGAGTGGGAGGAGGGGCAGGAGGAGGAAGAAACGGATTCTGCTCGTGGTGGGGGGTGTGGGTGTAAGTGGGGGGGCAGGAGGGGACTAGGGAAGGAGGAAAGAGAGGAGGGGAGTGGAGGAGATGGTGTAAATGCTGGTGGAGGAGGAGGAGGTGAGGTGCAAGAGGGGGATACAGTGGAGAAAGGAAGAGAGGGATGCCTCAGGTGCAGGGGGTGCCGCTTGAGTGCGAGGCAGGAGGTGACGAGGACAAGGCAGGTGCAGAGCAGAAGCAGAGGATCGAGAGACTCGCCTGGTGTTTCTGGTGGTGCCGGTGATGCTGGTGCTGCAACTGGTGCTGCTTCTGCTGGTGGCAGTAGTGGAGGCCCGTTCAGCGGGCTGCGGTGCCTGGTGGTGGAGGACAACGCGGTGAATCGCATGGTGGTGGTGCAGCTGCTGAGGAACCTGCGAGTCTCGTGTGATGTGGCAGAGAATGGGCACAAGGCCGTGGAGGCCTGCCGCTCCACCAACTACCATGTCATCTTCATGGTCAGTCCACCAACTACCACGTCATCTTCATGGTCAGTCCACCACCTGCCACGTCATCTTCATGGTCAGTCCACCAACTACCACGTCATCTTCATGGTCAGTCCACCAACTGCCACGTCATCTTCATGGTCAGTCCACCAACTGCCACGTCATCTTCATGGTCAGTCCACCAACTGCCACGTCATCTTCATGGTCAGTCCACCAACTGCCACGTCATCTTCATGGTATGCTCACACCCTCATTATCCCTGCTACATCTCTTATCCACCAACTACCACGTCATCCTCATGGTATGCTCACACCCTCATTATCCCTGCTACATCTCTTATCCACCAACTACCACGTCATCTTCATGGTATGCTCACACCCTCATTATCCCTGCTACATCTCTTATCCACCAACTACCACGTCATCCTCATGGTCAGTCCATTCTCTGACAGGATCTGGTTCCAGTGATGGACGGGCTTTGGAGCCACCACACACATCCGATGGCTGCAAGGCCTTTGCTCACACCGCTGCATTGTCGTGTTACTTTTCCTGCCTAACTCTTACCCCATCCCCTACTGACCTGTGCTGTGCGTGCTTGCTTCCACAGGACTGTCAGATGCCAGTGATGGACGGCTTTGAAGCCACCACGCACATCCGACGGCTGCAAGCCATCCCTCACACCGCTGAAGCGGGAGTGGTGGGAGAAGCGAATGCGGGTGAAGCAGTACCAGCAGGGAGGGGCGCACAGGGGGTGTGTAGTGGAAACGTTGACACAAGCCTGGCTCCCCAGCAGCAGCAGCAGCAGCAGATGGGTGTGAAAGCGCAGCAGCGGTCAGCTATTTATGCGTTGACAGCGAGTGTGTTGAAGCATGAGAGGGACAAGTGTGCACGTGCAGGGATGGATGGCTTCCTGGCCAAGCCCATCCGCATGAGAGACCTGCAGCAGGTGCTACAGGAGGTGGTGCATGGACATACGACCTAGGTTATTTTGCTGGCTCAAAAGCCAAGCCATTACAGAGTATACTACGTGCGTGCGTAGGTGATGGATAGACGTGCAGGTTACTATCTGGTCTGGGGGCTGTAGATCACATTGTTTTGTCAACACGTCGAGTAAACAACAGCTTTTGGTTTGGTCACATCTTTGCGTGTGCTGGAGTGCTGAATGCCCTACAATGTTGACTGTTTTGGTAACCGTTATGGCAGTTTCCAGTAGTTTTTCAGGAGTTTCGAGATGGTAGAACTGGACAGGGCCTCGGGGGCCAGCCTCAGGGGCTCTGCACTGCACTTGGTAGTAACCAATCTAAGGTGATGCCATGTATGCATGTACGTATAAAGCTACATTGAGGTACCTGTATCACTACAACAGTATGTCAGCAAAGCCACATGTCATATCACACCACCCCTCCTATCCCCATCCCCTTCCATTCCACCTCACGCCCCCCTTCCCACCCCCCTCATTTCGCCTCCTCCTGAGCAGCAATGCTCTGCCGGCTCTCCTTCACATCTCCAAACAGCCGGCGCCGGAAATCCTCGACCATGAGGGGCAGGCCCTGGCGCAGAGCCACCTTGGGCTCCCACCCCAGCAGCTCCTTGGCTCGTGTGATGTCGGGCTTGCGCTTGTGCGGATCGTCCGCCGTGTTCTCCTGAAAAGCTATGCTGGCTGACTTGTCTATCACCTCCCGCACCACCTGGTGGGGGAAACAGGGGTGAGAATGGTGAGAGAAGAGGGAGTGAGAGAAGCGGGGGGCCAAGGCAGGACGGCTGAAATCTCCTGAACGGCAATGCCTGCCGTCTTGTCTATCACCTCACGCACTACCTGGGACAATGATTATGTGGGGAAGGGAGGAAGAGGGGATGGCGACAGGAGGGAGTTACAAAGAGGAGAGTGGGGAGCAAGCGGCGAGGCCAGGCGGATGTGCTGTGCTGTGTTGCGGATGTGCTGTGCTGTGTTGCAGATGTGCTGTGCTGTATTGCGGATGAATTTACATCGGCCAGTTCAAGCATGGTGATCTCACAAACTCTCAAAAGCCACCTGGTTAAGAAAAAACATGAGCTCACCTCGGCCAACTCACGCATGGTGAATTCCCCAGGAGTTTCGAGGTTAAAGGGCCCCAAATGCTCCTCCTCCATGAGGCGTCGACTCACATAGATAGAGCGTTGACTCGCATGAGCCCCTCCACCAGACCAGGTCGTTTATGTACTGGAAGGAGCATGGTGAGTGCGCAGTCACTTTGAGTAGTGCGCTCACCTCTGCTTGAGGGGAACCATGCGCTCACCTCAGCGAGTTCCAGCATCGTGAATTCTCCCGGGTTCCCAAGGTTAAACGGCCCCACGTGCTCTCCATCCATGAGCCTCATGAGCCCCTCCACCAGATCGTCAATGTACTGGAAGGAGCGCGTCTGCTTCCCATCGCCATACACCGTCATCGCCTCCTTGCGCAGGGCCTGGCAGGGGAAGCACAGCATAAAGAATGCACGCACATGAGTCTGTGTCATACACAGTCATCACCTCCTTGCATACAACCAACAGGGCCTGTTCTGACCGCTCCGGTTTACCTACCAGTACCCATCCACGAACCCATTCACCCACCTGTGCAACAAAGTTGCTGACAACGCGGCCATCATCAATGCACATGCGCGGGCCGTACGTGTTGAAGATGCGAGCAATGCGCACATCCACGCCCGCGCCGCGGTGGTAGTCCATTGTCAATGTCTCCGCCACGCGCTTGCCCTCGTCGTAGCAGCTGCGCACCCCTGCATGTGGCCACATGATTGACCATGGCAGCACGGCAAGGATGGGGTAGATGGAAAAGGGAGGGGGGGGGGGAGGGGGAGAGGAGATGAAAAGGCGCAAAGCACAACAACATTCCTGTGGTAGTCTATTATCAGTGTCTCTGCCACGCGCTTGCCCTCGTCGTAGCAGCTGCGCACCCCTGCATGCATGCATACATCGACGGGTGTGGCAGCACAGCGGGGATGGGGATGTTGAGGAAGGATGTAGCATGTAGCACATGGATGTATGTAGCAGCACAAGGGGGAGAGTGGACAGTTGAATGTGCACTGGATGATTAGCAGCGAGAGGGGAGCACAAACAACCCCTAAACCCTCAATCCAGGGCCTAGAACTCACCGATGGGATTCACATTGCCCCAGTACTCCTCTGTCTGTGGGTGCTCCAGCGGATCCCCATACACCTCGCTGGTGCTCGTCAGCAGGAACCTCGCCCCCACTCGCTTCGCCAGCCCCAGCATATTCATCGTCCCCGCCACATTCGTCTTGATCGTCTTAATGGGGTTGTGCTTATAATGAACAGGCGAGGCGGGGCAGGCAAGGTGGTAGATCTGGTCGACCTCGAGCAGCAGCCCTTCCACCACGTCATGGCGGATGAGCTCGAAGCGCGGGTTGCCGAAGTGGTGCTGCACGTTCTCCTTGCGCCCCGTGAAGAAGTTGTCCACCACGATCACGTGGTCGCCGCGCTCCATCAGCCGGTCCACCAGGTGGCTGCCCACAAAGCCAGCCCCGCCTGAGATGGAATGGGCAGGGAACGAGGGGGATAAGAAATTGTCCACCACTATCACATGGTCGCCCCGCTCCATCAGCCTGTCCACCAGGTGCGACCCCACGAATCCCGCTCCGCCTGGCGTGTGGGTGAGATGGGTTTGGTGGGGTGGAGAGCGGTGGAAATTAGTGACAGGGGGCAGGGGAGAGAGGAGGAAAAGAGATTGTCCACCACTATCACGTGGTCGCCGCGCTCCATCAGCCGGTCCACCAGGTGGCTGCCCACACAGCCAGCCCCGCCTGAGATGGAATGGGCAGGGAACGAGGGGGATAAGAAATTGTCCACCACTATCACGTGGTCGGCGCGCTCCATCAGCCTGTCCACCAGATGACTTCCCACGAACCCTGCTCCGCCTGGCGAGGCGTGGAGGGGAGAGGCGTGGAGGAGAGAAAGGTGGAACAGAGAGCAGTGGACAGAAAGGGGATAAGAGATTGGCTACCACGATCATGTGATCGCCGCACTCCATCAGCCTGTCCACCAGATGACTCCCCACGAACCCCGCTCCGCCTGGCGCACTGAGGAGAGAGTTGGGGGGGAGAGGATTGGAACACAGAGGACAGAGGGGAGGGAAGAGAGGGGGATAAGAAGTTTTCTACCAGAATCACGTGGTGAAAGTGTAGAGAACGTGGAAGCCACTGGGGAGAGCCTAGACACTGGGGAGAGCCTAGACACTGGGGAGAGCCTAGACACTGGGGAGAGCCTAGACACTGGGGAGAGCCTAGACACTGGGGAGAGCCTAGACACTGGGAGATACGATGCTGGTTAGATATGATGCTGGGAAGTGATGATGCGGCAAGAAGAGTGGGACGAGGTGCAAAGGGATGAACAACGGAGGAGAGGCAGAAGCAAATGACGGAGGTGCAGCAGGAGGTTGACTGATACAGTTCATCCATGCGCTCAACCAGCCATTATGTCCACAACCGTTCCATCACAATATTTCGGGCCATAGAACATTCTGTCCACATCCAAAAGCATTCCGTTCTGTCCATGGACGATGGTATACAAGCTGCCACGTGCAACCATCTGAGGCCAAGAAGAACGCGGTCGGGCCTCCAACCCTCGTGGACTCAAATCTTCCCATGCCCCATGCAGTAAGTCACTAACTAATGGCCTCAATTTCCGTTTACTTCTCTGACTCTATGATGTCTTAATAATCGGGTTCCGATATAAATGAGACTGGCATGGTTCGACTAACATTTTTCTTTCTTAACCTTCCCCAAACTACATTCATACTGCGACGCACGCCTTATTACTCCAATTCCATAACCCATACTCATGGAACAGGCGTAGGTCGACTAGCAAATCTTGTAAACCTCATATGTACTATGCTTCTAATGTGAAGCGCGAGGAGGTTTCGAGCTCGATTACCCCACACCATGACCGCAATTCTCACCAGTAACGACGATTCGCAGCGGCGTGCGGCGAACCCCGAGAGGAATCTTTCCCATGAAGCGATGATCCGGCGTCTTGGCATGGTAGAGGCTCACGGCCGAGCTGATTTGGCATAACAGCGCATCGATGTGAGGAACAGACAAGCACCGATGAAAAGTAGCTAAGTACTAATAAATAGCAGCAACGTGAGTCACGCATCAGGTCACGAAGAACCTCGATCCGTCATGAGGTCAGAAGACAAGAGTCACAAAATTGACGGGAGAAACGAGAATTGACAATAAAGATTACATTGCTCCATTAAGACTTGAAGATAGTATTGAAGATAGTAACGAGAGGAACTGATCAAGGAGGAAGCCAGGAATACGGGTGTGTACGGATGACAAACGCCTTGCAAGTGGATCCGATATTCGATGCTAACCTCTGAACGCCAGAGAAGATCGCATGGCTGTCGCCGACGGTCGACGACGCCGTATCTAGCGGCGCCGGTCGCGGATAGCCGGCCGGCAGAATCGTGAAGACGGCCGACGCTACGAGGAAGCCGACGAGGAGGTACGCTCCTTGGAAATGCTCGCCGAGCAGCTGGATGTACCACGGCCGACTGCGACGACCGTGCGACTTGGACGGCGAACTAGGCGATAACGTAGGTGGTCTCCGCTCCATGTTACCGGCAAATTCCGGCACTTGGCGACAGTTGAACGGACGACAAGGGGAAGCAAGACCCTAGAAACCCGACGACCTAAAAGAGACGTCTGAGTCTAGATGCCTACGGCTGCCTACAATTACCGAGTGCAATTGGGGAAGAGCAAGCAGCAATTCTTGCCAGTGACCGATAAAACAGGAAAAGCGGCACCCACTGGTAGTCCTGACCTGACACCACACACACATCCACCACACCACACCCTTCTGAGCTGAAGGACCAAATCAAAGTGAGTTTCGGGGGAAAGGCTGGACAGTGGACGGACACTCGCTGACGAACCTGAACCTTGGGCTGAGCGAGACGGGGAGACCGCCCCGCCAGACGAGAATCCAGAGCAGACCAGAGACGGCCAATCCCGAACCGAGACCGAGCTATTGTGGTGGTTGGAAGTTAGGCGTGGGTCCAGTTGGCTGGGCGCCTCTGGCCGGGGGCACTGCAGGTGGTTGGACTGGTTCGGCAGAGTCGAACCTGGTCCGTACAGGTTCCAGCTCACAAAACTTCGACTTGCCACGCAGTGATCTTCGCCTCGACAGGCGGTAACGCATGTACACAGCCAATCAGCAGCTTCCAGATGCCCTTGACTCAACACCCAGTGTACCTCGTTAGCCATGCATCGTTACGCTCCGAAAGGCGGCATGCTCAAGGATATACCTTTCTGTGGTACTGGGGACAGAAACGAGGTAATTAACGCATAAATCTCATCATTTTCGTTGAGTTCCGAAAATAACAAAGTTCAACCAATGTACCGCCTATTCGAACTGTGTCAATCATCCCACGCCTTCAGAAACTTGAAAACCAATGTTACCACGAAGCTCAACTCTAATTGACCTAATTTGAGCCTCTAGAGTCTACACTACAATCATAACACTACTTGCTAGCACCAAACCACCTGCGTGTGGTGGAGCTGCTAAGAGGAGGAATCACTGGTCCATTTGGCGGAGTTGCTTGGCCGGGAAGCTGCTGCTGTGTCACCTTAGAGGCATGCGGTGCCCTCACTGCTGTACCGCTGATAGGAGAAGGGCCCAAGCACGGCACTGCACCAGTACCAGGCACACCTGCTGGAGCAATTGGCCCTCCGACGAGTCCCTGTCGTGCATTCATGGCTGATGATGATGTCAGCACTCCTCCAACCCCTGCCTGTGCTGCCACTGCCTTACCACCTCCCCCACTCCCTCCCACACTCCCTGCTGGTCCTCCTGCCCCTGTGCCACCCACTACACCCACTCCTCCCCTCACTGCTGCAACCCCTGCTCCTGACCCCGCTCCCACTGCATCACTCCCCTGTGCACCACCACCACCACCAACACCAACACCACCGCCAGCAAGAGCACCACCAGCAGCACCAGCACCACCAGCACCAGCAGCACCACCAGCACCACCAGCGGCGGCACTAGCAGCAGCTGCAGCAGCCTTGGCCTCCAGCTTCCTCCGAGCAACCATAGCAGCAGCGCTGCCTCTACTGGGCCCTGCAAAGAACATGCTCCCCACCGGCCCTCGAGCCGGCAGCGGGGAGGCATAGCGCGACGAAGTGGTAGCTTTGTCAGGCGTGCCAGCGCCGGCAGGGCTGGCAGAGCCAGCAGCATTGGGGGACATGGGAGCAGCATGCCTTGGGCTGCCCGAGGGACAGAAGGGGACGGGGGAAACGCAGCGATTTGGGCTGCCAATGTAGCCAGCAGGGGCAGGGGCGAGCAACCCTGCTGGTGCTTGTGGAGTGTGGTAGGCAGCAGGGACGAATGGTCCTGCTGCTGCTGGTGGAGTGTGGCTGGCGACAGGCGTGCATGCAGGGCTGCGGCTGGGTCCCGAGACGAAGGGCATGGCAGCCATGGCATGTGGGGAAGGCGATCGGGGTGGACTGGGGCTGGGCCCTGCAATGAATGGCTGCCGATTCTCCTGCTGGAGCCATGGCCGATTGCGGTATGGGCTCTGCTGCTGCTGCTGCTGCTGCTGCAGTTGCTGCTGTTGCTGCTGGTGAAGTGGCACAGGCTGCACGTACTGCTGTGCATGGTAACCAGGCTGCTGCATATTGCCTGTCACAACAGTTTGATTCGTGCTGCCCCGCATTGCGTGCACCATTCCTTGCTGTGTCGGGTGGGGAGGTGTGGAAGGAGAAAGCGACACGCCACCATGCATACTGGAAGGATGAAATGGATGCAATCCTCCATGCATCACCGCTTGTTGTGTCGGATGTTGAGGGGTGGGCGGACATGGAGCCATGCCACCATGCCTCGGACTCACAGGAGTATGAAACGGTGCAGTGGGGTGCGTAGGGGGTGCAGGGCCAGGGGGGGCATGAGGCAGGGTAGACGGATGGGCAGGGCTGCGCGGCGCAAGACAGGAGGGGCCCACAGTGGGGCTGCGGGGTGCAGCGGGAGAGGGTCCCACAGTGGGGCTGTGAGCAGCACCAGAGAGCGAGGACGCCAGGGGGTGCATGGGGCTGGCATTGGGAGAGCCCCCCATGGCGAACTGCAGCACGTGGAATGAGCGCGGGGAGGGCGGCGGGGAGAGAGACGCGGCAGCACCACCCACAGCTGAGACACGGGGAGACGTGGGGTTGGACCTGAGAGGAGGGAGAGCATGGTTGGCAGAGGTGCCTGGAGGTGCGCGTGGGGAGAGAGGCGGGGTGGAGGTGCTGGTGGCAGCGCTACTGGGGGCGAGTGAGTGGAGGAAGGGGTTGGAGGGGGGCGGATGGCGGGGTGATGCGTCAGCAGACCCAGAGGAGTATCTGGAGGCAGTAGCAGCAAGAGGAGGAGCAGCAGCAGCAGGAGAAGGTGCAGGGAAGCCATTGGGGTTTGTCTGATGAAACAAATTTCTCTCAAATTTCCCTGCAGAACCCACCCCATGCTGCTGCTGCTGCTGTGGTTGTGTCCTGGCATCACCTTGAGCCACCGGTGCTGCCATTCTCAGCGGGCTCACGTTCCTCTCGCCAAACAACGGCCGGCTGAACGGCTGATGCACGTTACTGCCACCACCCCCTGCCACCTGCCCTTTGCTCTCCGCTGCGAGCTTCTGCTGCTGCATCTGCTCTTCCTTCTCCCGCCTCCTTGCTACCCACTCTGGCCCGAACGCCAGTGTCTGCAGAAACTGCTGCTGCTGCACCATTGCAGAGTTCTGTGATTGATGCAAGGCAGACACTGAACCCTGCTGTTGCTGCTGTTTCTCTGGAGCCGTCTGCCTGCTCCCTGCTGCACCTACTCCTCTTCCTCCCGCTCCGCCCGCCCCTCCCTTCCCGAAGCTGCTACCGGAGCTGCTCCATTCCTCGCCAGTCTCTGACCCACCCACAGCCGATTCCGCTCCATTAGACCCCCCCGCCACTGCTGCCCCCGCTGCTGCTGCCCCTCCAGCCCCCTTCACTCCAACAGTTGACACTCGCTTCACACCTCCAGCACCGGCAGCAGCTGCTGCTACTGCAGAGGCCGAAGCAGAGGCGGCAGCAGAGGCAGACGCAGAAGCTGAAGCAGAACCACCACGCTTTGCAGCGGATGCAGCTACAGACCTTCCCACTGCCGTGGCCTTACCTTCTTGCCTCTTCCACCCCATTCTCTGCCCTGCTGCTGGGCTCTTCTGTGCCACACTGTCAGGCTTCCTCGCACTGGGGTGGGGCCTCGCCCCCGGGCTGTGCCTCACACTGTTGCTCACCGCCATGCTGCACGAGCCACAGCTCTCCTCCACCTCCCCCGCTGCCCCCCCCTGCACGCCCCCTCCTCCTGCTCCCACGCCATCTCCCATCTCTACCATACCTCCCGTTCCTACCCCACCCTTTGTCCCGCTCACACTTCTCCTCGTTGCTGCTCCTGTCACTGCACATGTCCTTCCCCCTGCCCTTGCGGTACCACCCATGCCTGTGGTGCCGCGCTGTGCCTTCTGCTGTGCCACCGGAACAGCAGCAGGAGCACGAGGGGTAGCAGCAGCAGCAGCAGCAGGGGCAGCAGGAGGAGCAGCAGAGGCAGCAGGAGGAGCAGAGGCAGCAGCAGCAACAGCAGGAGGTGTGGCATTCTGAGCAGCAGAGCCCAATCCCTTTCTCGTGGAGAGCTTGAATGGCAGACGAGGCATGGCAGGAACTGGCGCAGCAAGTGGGCTCTGCCTCTCCCTCACACCTGGGTGCGCCTGTGCAGCGTGCACATTGGCTATGCCTGTGGGGCTACCTGATGGGCCCCCTGCGGGAGCACCTGGGGGGGCACCTGCAGGGGCACCTGGGGGAGTGGGAGGGGTGCGCTGAGGGTGAGACTGAGCACCCACGTGGGCGGGTTTGTTCTCCACGTGGTTGGCCCTGCTGTTGACACGGCTGTCCCTGCCCTCCACACGCGCTCCTCTACTCCCCATCGCGGTCCCGACCACACTGCTCACATGCCAGTGCTGCCCTGCCACGCTGCCACCTGCTGCCACGCCAGTGGTACCCATCGCGTTTCCCTTAATGGGATGAGCCATGGGGTTGTTGGCAACGATAGGATTAGCAGCAGCAGCAGCTGTGCTTTCAGCAGCCTCTACAGCTGCAGATTCTTCCACAGGGACCAGATAAGCAACAGGGGTGCCAGATACAACACCAGTAGCAGCGATGGCAGCACCAGCACCAGCGCTGGCACTGGCAGTAGCAGCACCGGTGCTCTGGCTGGCTTTTTGCGTGGAGTGGAACATGTCGGTAGAGGCAGACGTGCCACCGCACTCCTCTTGTACTGAAGGGTCTGAGCGTGTGTCAGCATCAAGGTTGCACTCACTCACCACATCGTTTCTTCCCTCTCCCCCCTGCTTATCATTCTCCTGCTTATCATTCTCCTGCTTATCATTCTCCTGCTTCTCCTCCTGCTTCTCCTCCTCTTGATTCTCCTCCCCCTGCTTCTCCTGCTTCTCCTCCTGCTTTTCCTCCTCTTGATTCTCCTCCCCCTGCTTCTCCTGCTTCTCCTCCTGCTCTCGCCTCTCCACATCCACTCCTCCTTCCCCACGACTTCTAATACCCATGCCATCCGCGCTCCCCATTCCATCTCCATCCACCCCCTCCCCCACAGCCACACCCTCCGCCCCTTCCCCCGCCGCACCAGCATCCGCCCTCTCAACGGCTGCCAGGGCGGCGGCTGCAAGCTGGGCGGCTTGGGCGCGCTCTAGGCTGCGGCGGAGAGAGCTTTTCAGCCATGGGCGGTCGGGCAGGGGAATGGTGGGGGACGACGGGCGGCTGGCATGCGCGGAGGTGGGGGAAGACGGGCGGCTGTGATGGGCGGAGCTGGGGGAAGATGGGCGGCTATGATGGGCGGAGAAAGCAGTGGGGGAGGAGGGGTGGGAGGAGTAGGGGCCAGGAGCGGCCGGGCGAGTGGGGTCGTTGGGGGAAGGAGGACGGATGGGGAAGGAGGAGGGGGAGGCTGGGCGGTTGATTAGAAGGGAGGTTAGTAGGAGGGCAGGGGAGGAGGCAGAGGGAACCAGGCGGCGCACAGGGGGGCGGAAGGGGTTGATTTCACCTGCTGCGGCTGTAGTAGCAGTGGCAGTGACAGGGCCAGGGGCAGTGGCAGCATTGGCGTTTTCAGCAGCGTCAACAGCAGCAGCAGCAGCGACCGCGGCAGCAGCTGTGGAGGAGGTGGGGACGGCGGGAGCAGTGAGGAGGGGGTTATCCAGCAGGCTGAGCGACGGACTGGCAGTGAATGGCCGGATCACATGCCTCCGTGACACAGCAGGCGTCAACCTGCTGATGCTATTGCCTGGCTGGCTGCTACCTGGCTGGTTGCTACCAAAGCCCACAACCCCAGAGGCAGTACCCCAGGCGCTAATCTCCTCAAACACGTCCTCTCCCTGCCTCCTCCCCTTCCATTCCTCGTGCTCCTGACTAGCGAGGTCAACCCCAAAGGCGGCTCCCCATGCGCGCGCTGCTGCTGCTGCTGCCTCCGCAGATGCTTCTTCGACTCCCTCACTCGACTCCTGTGAACCCTGCAGTGCAACCTCACGCGCTGCCTCTGCGTCGCTGGAGCACTCCTCCTGCGCGCCCTCGCACTCCTCTGTCACCTCGTCCGAACTCGCTGGCTCGTCCCCGCTTGCACCTCCGCTTCTCACTTCCTCCTCCTCATCCTCCACCCCCTCAACATCCTCCTCGTCTTTTGCCTCTTCTTCCTCGAATGCAGTCACTCCCTTCTCATCTGCGCTTCCATCCATGCCTAGTGCATCGTCTTCACATTCTGATGCTTTACCCTCCCCTTCCCCAATTTGTCTCTCCTCACTCTTAGAACTTCCACTCTCCTCCCTCTCGCGTCTCTCCCCCTTCTCATCCCCGCCTGCTTCCAACTTCCACCCCTCTGCACCGCTGCTCACCTCGCTCCCCTCTGCACCCTCATCTTCAACGCCCTCTCTACCACCATCCTCGCCTCCGCTACTCGCACAGCTCGCTGTCAACCTTTCCCCAGAGCACCCGCCCTGGCCACCAGGAGCAAAGGCAACGCCTTCCTGCGGCCAGGTCTCGCAGTCTCTCCCACCAGCCGCCTGCTCAACCTCCTCCTGCCTCTCCTCAACCTCCGCCTTTCTGCTCTTGCCAGCTGCAGCTCCAGCAGACGTAGCCTCATCTGCTGCTCCAGCTGCTGTTGGTTTCCCTCCCCCGCCACGGCTAGGGACGGCGGAGGGGAGAGGGCGCGGAGGGGAGAGGAGGGACGTGCAGAAGGAGGAAATGGCAGCTGGCGTTGAGTGGAGCGCGTGGGGGGGAATTGCGAGTGGCTGAGAAGAGAACGCAGTGCCACGCGCACCAGCGCTAACATCATCGCTTCCACTCTCCTCCTCCCTCTCCCCCGCTCCCTTCGCCCTGTCCCATTCTCGTCCAGCCGCCACTCCCTCCCCTCCCACCATCTCGATAAACACACGCTCCGCCTCATCCTTACTCTCATCCTCGTTCTCTTCCTCGTTCTCATCCTCGTTCTCTTCCTCGTTCTCATCCTCGTTCTCTTCCTCGTTCTCATCCTCATGCCCATCCTCGCTTCTGTCCCCATCCCCATCCCCATTCCCATCCCCATTCCCATCCTCATTCCCATCCTCATTCCCATTCCTATCCTCCTCATTGGAGGGGTGCTGCCTCGTACCACTGCCATATACAGAGAAAAGCTCCCCTTCCTCTTCTTCTACCTCCATCCATTCCTCCTTTTCCCTCTCCTCCCCTCCCTCCTCTTCTACCTCCATCCATTCCTCCTTTTCCCTCTCCTCCCCTCCCTCCTGCCTTCCCTCTTCCCACTCTCCAGCCCTCCCTCCACCTGTCTCGCTAAACCCCAATGCGTCGAGCCATGCACGGTCAAACTTTCCCTCTTCCCTCTCCTTACCTGCCATCTCATACCCCTTGCTCATCTCCCCTTCACTGCTCCCACCCGTCTCTCTAACGCCCACTGCGTCGAGCCACTCCCGGTCGAGCGTTCCTTCCTCCGCATCCACACCCTCAATCCCAAACCCCTTGCTCAGCTCTCGTTTTTTGCTCTCAACATCACTCCTGCTCTCTGCACCGGCCACCGTAGCACTGTACCGCTCGTTATAGTCACGTTTGTGTGCAGCCACACCAGCAGCACCCGAGAGACTGCTATCTCCTCCGTCCATCACATTCCTCTCGGTCGCTGGTACCTCCTCTGACGGCCCAGATTTCACTGCCGGTCCAGATTCGGCTGACGGGCGAGATTCAGCTGACGCCGTAGTTTTGATTGAAGGATCAGTTTTAACGAAAGTTTCATCTTCAGCTGACGGCCTAGATTCAGCTGACAATTCAGATCCAGCTGACGCTCTGGATTCAGCTGACCACATCGAGTCAGTCGACGGCCCGGATTCATCCGACGGCCGTGATTCACCTGACTGGCAGCACTCCTCGAGATCGATCACATGGGTGGCGCTGGCAGGCGCCGTCTCTTGGCTGGAGCACACGGGTGAGCGAGTGATGGAGTTTGAGAGAGCTGTGGTGGCGGCTTGTGGGGCAGACGGCGATGATGACCCCATGAGCTGCGCTGTTGGTGGTGCCAGTGACATAGTGTGTTGGATTTTATCCTCAACAGCCCTGTTGCAGTCTGACATGACTCCCCCACCACCACCACCACCACCTACATTGGCAGCAGCAGCAGCAGAAAAAGGAGGGTAGCCAAGAGCAGCACCGGCAGAAGAAGCACCTGCAGCAACAACAGCAAATGGAGCACCAGCAGCGATGCACAAACCAGCGCCAGCTCCAGCAACTGGAGCAGCAGGAGCAGCAGCAGCAGCAGCGGCACCACTGTTAGAAGGCGGAGGAGTGAGGGGGCGGGAGGCGGTGAGGAAACGCGTGGGCTTGCGAATGCGCGGGGAGAGGCGGCGCTTGATGGAGGAGAGGTTACTGTGCAGGGAGGGCACGGCGGGCAGCTGCATGGGCGGCTGCAGGTGGTGGTACTCGTGCTGCTGCGCCCACTCCGCCATCACCATGCCGCCCTGCTGCTGCTGCTGCTGCCCGCCCGTCTGCCTGAATGAGGCGGCATCGTTTGGCTGTTGCATGACAAACTGGGGAGATTCCGGTAGTGCGTGGTGCTGCGGAGTGGGTTGGGGCGTTTCTTGCAGGGTTTCGTGTGAGAGGGCCGGTGAGGGCGAGGGGACGGAGGGCGAGAGAACGGAGGGCGGAGGTGTGGAGGGGACAGGCAAGGCGGTGGGACCATGGAGCAGGGATGCATGCGGTTGAAACTCCCCTTCCAACTCCCTTTCCTCCTCACTCCCATCCGCCTTCCCGCCGCACATCTCTTCCGAATCACGCCCCTCATCCCCCTCGCCTCCCCATTCCTCCTCTCGCTTCTCCTCCTCTTCCTCCTCGTCCTCCTCTGCCCCCTCCTCTCCCTCTTCCTCCTCCAGTACCAGCCATCTCAAGCGCAAGCTTCCCCCGCCCGCACTCCCCTCCATCTCCGTTCCTTCCGCCGCGCCACCCCCGCCCCACAGCGTGCGCCCCCCTCCCTCATTCCCCACGGGGACGTAATCGCCCCACCGCTTCCTGCTCCTTCTCCCGCTGCCACCCTCGTCATGACTTTCCGCAATCTCCGCAGGATCCGCCACGTCAGCACCGCTCACATCAACATCCAGCTTCCCAGAATCCAGCTCATCTCCTCCCAAGCCCCTCTCCGCGCCGTCCGCTTCCCCTACTTCCCCTGCGCCCCCCGAATACATTCCCCCGCCCATCGCCCCACCGTCCGCAGCGGCAGAATCGCTTTCCGCCAGCTCAGCGGGATTCAGGCGGCGGGTGCTGCCTACGGCGGGAATGACGCTGGAACGGGAATCGCTCGTGCGAGTGTCGCTGGTGGGGGAGTCGCCGGAATCGTCGCCGGACGAGCTCGAGGCGATCATGGCGATGGAATCGGCGGCCGTGGAGTGCGCGAGCGAGTCGCTCGAGGAACCAGACGGGGACGACGAGGCGGCGGGGGGGACGCCAGACGGCGGAGTGGACAAGGGAGCGCCGCCCTGCGCGTTCGCGTCCGCACGCCCTTCCGCCTTGGCGCTGTGCGCCTTCGCGGCGAGCGACTCGGTTCGAATGGCAGCAGAGGTAGCTTCTGCGAGAGAATCAGCGGCAACAGCATCTCCGGTAGCGTCGGCTTGAAGCGCAGCCTCGTCCTGTTCGTACTCCCGGTTCGTCTTCCCAGCTCGCGCGCCCTCCATGCCCGTGAGGTGCGAGCGCCCGCTCATGGCCACGAGCGACTCGAGGTCCACGGGCGCGTCGCTCTTATCCGCCGCCTCGTCCCCATCACTGTGCAACTCATCCTCGCTATTATACTCCTCGCTGTCATCCAAGTGCTCCTCGCCGCCGGCGAGCTCGCCGTCCTCGTCCCCGTTACAGTGCTCATCGACACTGTCACAAGGGTCACAGTCAACTACACCCCTCGCCGCTCTCCCGCCCTGCATCATCTCATCACCGCCCACAGCCTCCCCACTCTCCTTGCCTTCATCATCAACATCACCACTCTGCATCTCCCCCGACGGCCTCTCTTCTTCCGGCCGATTAACCTGCACGGGGCTCGCCGCGTGGCCGGCAGGCTTGTCGGCGCCGTCCATGTCTCTCAGGAACGCCGCGAGAATTCGCCGCTTCGACTCCTCCACTTCCGGCCCCACCCGCTCCTTTGGTTTCCTCACCGCCTTGCTCCTCCCACTCACGCCCAGCGCACCCTTGTCACTCGTGATCAAGTCAGCTGCTGCTACGTGTCCTTTCCCACCCCCAGCCACGTGTCCTTCGCCTTCTTTAGACACGTGTCTTTTGCGTTGCTCTACCTCGTGTTCGTCGCAATCCGCCGCCACGTGTCCCCTCACCTCCTGAGCCACCTCATCTTCTGATCCCTCGCTCGCTGCACTTCCGCCGAAATGCAGCGAGCTGGCGTACGTACCAGCAACCTCGCTATAAGCACGCGCCACCGCCTCTCTAACAGACGGATCCGTCGTGCGAGCATACGGTACGGACGGCTGTGCGCCGTGGGTGCTCACGTTCCTCCCGCTGACGAGCACGGGCGGTCCTGCTGCTGCTGCTGCTGCTGCTCCACTTCCCTCCTTCCTGCGTTGATTATGCAACACCTGATGCCCCTGATGCTGATATTGATGCTGTTGTTGCAGCAGTCGCTGCTCCTGCTGCTGCGGCTGCTTCTGTGGCGTCTGCGCATTCTCGTGTCGTCGCGCAGGGCTGCAGCGCCGAATCAGCCCTCCGAACAGCCGAGAAGTGCGCGTTTTCTCCTGCGGCTGGCTCGAACTCTTGCTCTGGTTACATGTCTCGTTCCGAGGCTCGGCGTGAGGCTCGTTGTGGAAGGATACGTCATTGTCGCACAGAGAAGGTTTGCTGCTGAACAGGGAGAAATACCGAGACACGAGATAGAGGAACTGGATGGTGAGGGGAAGAGGGGAAGGCGAACCGAACGCTGGACAGACGAAGAAGGAACGGCGAAGGGGGAAGGAGGAAGTGAAATGCATGGACCGGTGGAGTTAGTAGCTGCTGCGGACGCGAGAAAAGAGTGAGAAACGGAACGGGTGGGATACTGAAGGGAATGGGAAAGGCCGACCTTGGTGCGGGGTTGCAAGCAACTGAGGCGTGGAGGCGAGCCCTGATTCTCCCGACCAGCATCGACGTCTGTTCATTGCCGTGGAGAACAGAAAAGCGGCGGGGTTTAGACGAAGAGACGAGGGGTGGGGGGTGCGTGACAAGGTTAATAAGGGTGGAGTTATATGGTGACAACGGGAGGATGCGAAAGATAACAGGTTGAGGGTGTGTTGTTTCAAAAGCAAATCCTCGTTGCTAATGAAGTGAACTGATCTGTGACAACGGAAACGAGCACTACGTGGAAAGCACGGCGGAAAACAGAACACGCAGCAGCAGCCGTGTGTTAGGCAACAGATGGACCACCCACCGTCGCTGCTCGGCTGCTGACGCCGAGTTGGCGACACAGCCGCTTGATCTCCTCTCGGGATTTGTCCTCTAAATTATCCTGAAAGGCTGCCGTCGATGCCGCGTCCATGGCCGCGTATATTAGCTCTAAGCTGGTCACGCTCACTGATCACGCTCTTAATCACGGTCCTAATGCATAATTTAACTGGTCGGCGAAATAATCAACGTTGCGTTGATTGGGTGGAGTCTAATGCTGGCGTGAGTTCAGAATGGCCGACACCTGTCACAGCAGTGTCGTTCTGAGGTACGCGCCTCGGTCCAATAGGATCAACCAGTAACTAAGACCGAGCAACAACTCACTACATAGTAGGCATGCGAACAACTTAAAAGTACAATGTGGGGATCAGTGTCTTGAAACGGTGACAACTGCTCCACAACATCTGCAGTGCTGGGGTGCCATGAGAGAGACACCAGTCTGAAAGAAGAATGGAGAGCACACGCATGCACTGCTCATGGGGTTATGCTAGTGGCAGAAGCTGCTACCAAGACAACAGAAAAAACAGCTGTGATGGTGGTGTTCCATCCATAGCATTCGCTTCCTGCTCTCTCCCGTCCCGTTTCCTACAGATGATGTTTGTGCCTGCTGCTGCCGATGTTCCCAAGGAGCCTCGGATGCGAAGCAGGCGCCATTCCGCGACAGGCGCGCAAAGCGCCTGAGGGATGCAGTGTCCCCTTCTCGCCCCGCCTCACATAACTGGTCAAAATCGACAATCTTGGTAACATCGTGACCGTAGATTGAGGCTTGGAGCCTCTACATCTTGTGGTAGAATTTGCGGGAAACTCCCATGGTCGAGTCGTCAGAGGGCCTCGCTTCGGTCGCAAATCGTCAGAGCTCCGTTGGCGAACCGCGCGTTCTGGTGTCCCGCCAATGGCATTCAAGGAACACCTCCCTTTGAAAAGTACTCATTATCTCACTTGCACAGCTCAACTTTTCGTAGGGCACGCATGAATCGATATGCTGAAGGTGTGAATAAAGTGTCAGCGCTTCCTTAGCATTTGTCGGCATACCCAGCCATAATCGCAGGCGCCAAACTTTTCTGTGTGCACGAACCTAGTGAAAGTGCTGTGGTAGGTGTATTTGAGCATGGGCCACTCGAATATGCAACAACGTTCAGGTCGTTCAATGCTTTTCCCTACGCCTATAGGGATGCATGCGCTTCCTTGGCATTTGTCGGCAGAGACTGCCGTCATCTCAGACGCCGAACTTGTCTTTGTGCGCGAACAAAGCTAAAAGTGCTTTGGTATGTGTATTTTGTTGGGAATAATAAGTCTTAAAGCGCCTTTGTCGTGTCGAAACTCAGGACACTAGCGAGGCAGTCCGAATCGAAGCATCGCGAGTCAACCCTCGGAGGTTGAAGTAACCGCCTGGAGGTTACACGAAGGTCAAAGGTCAGCGACCTTTGACATGACAAATACAGCGCGACAGCAAGGACACACAACTGACTCGACATTGAGCAATTGCCCGAGTCGCACTGTATCGAATCGCAACAGTAAAACGGTTTAAACTTATCTATTCGTATTCCTTGTACTCTTATATAAACCTTTGTATTTGCTTGTTTAATCAACTTACTTTGCCCTCACATACCAGCGCAAGGTGGTTCAAGCACCCTTTATTCAAACGCTTCCGCTATTACAATTCTATTCAGACTTAAACTCTACAAAGATCCTAGGGCATTTCAGCCCAACATGGTATGAGAGCAGTTAGAGTTTAAAAGTTTCAACACTCAATACAAAGAAAGAAGACATGTCTACTAGGAAGGAGAGGAGCTCCTCCAACGGCTCTCCAGGCACTACTCCTACTCCACCTCCTGTCTCCGGTCTACAGACAGAGGAAGGAACTACCACGAGACCAACGGCTGGGTCTACGGAAACGCCCGCAGGCTTCGATCCAAGCATGATGGAGAAGTTCTTCTCCTTCATGTCCTTCTACGAGCAGCACCAGCAAGGAGTACCTGCGCAGTCAAACAACAGCAACAACAACAACGTGACTCCTATGAGCCTCGATGGCTCATCCTACGCACGCGGGATTCAACAACAACAACAGCAGCCTACCTTTGCGCCGTACGAGCCCCAACGTGGCTCCGTCAGCTTCGTGCCGCAACCGCAACCTGCACCGGGACAAGAAAGGGCATTGGATGCGTTACAAGTTCAATCGCAATTCGCGCATGTCCTAAAACTGCAAACGACAAAGCCTTTCGACGGCAAAGACTTCTTCACCTGGTCGTTCGAGTTCGAACTGATGATGAAGGAGCACAGATTCTCGGCTCCTTCGACGGGTCCTTGCCATATCTAACAAACGGGACGCAATATGAGAAGCAGCAGTACACCTATCAATCAATGATGGCGTACACGATACTGCTAAGAAACATCACCCCAACCCAGCAGCAGAACATCAGGACTTACCGAGGCTACGGCAACTCCGCAGAGCTCGCGTACAACCACCTGAAGAACCTGTATCAAGCAGCGGACAGTGTGAATCAAAGCAGGTTAATGGCGCAACTGACAACGATTGAAATGAAACCATGCGAGAAAGGCATGGCTTATATCAGCCGCTGCCGCGAACTGCGCGACAAGCTCCTTCGATGCGGAGGGTCGATCTCAGAAGACGCCTTTGTCACGGTGGTCATCGGCGGTCTCGGCCCCCACTGGCGCTCCACTCGCGCAATATTACGAGCACACGGGAGGATCTCCGAAGCAGCACTCTGGGCCGAAATCCACGCCGAGCAGCAGGACATGGACCTGCAAGAAGAAAGACACAAGAAGAAAGCATTAGCACCGGAGTTTGCGTTTCACACTCAACGACGATACAACAACAACAACAATCGACAACATCAACAAGTGAAGACGGTACCTCCGTTCTGCCACATCTGCAAGACTTCGGGACATCCTCGCACGCACTGCCCGTCTCGCCAGACAACACCACAGCGTCAACTCCGGCCCTCAAGCTCCCAAGTTGCTTCAACGCAAGCAAATCCGACGACCACAACCCAAGCCTCAACAACTTTAACTGCACAACCTGCACAAGGAACAAGAAGCATTGTCAATTGGATGGTGAAGATAACTGATTCGTGCACAACCGAGTCACCACCCCACTACTCACCGGAAGAAGAGCTCGATAACAGGACGCCTCGCCGCGAAACACTCCAGCCGAATCCGACGTGCGCTCCTCCGGGCGCTTCGTTCAACGCGAACATCGACTCCAGCGAGAAGTAGTCATTACGGTCGCCAACAATCAGAACCTACGCACACGACGACAAGGAGTGGTACAGCTTCAGTCACGAGAGACAAACGTCATACTGCACATGTCAAAGGTACTCATCGAAGAAGGACTCGGTTACAAACTACTGAGTGTTAGCCAGCTGATGGCGAAAGGGTTTCACTTGGAAGCCGACAGCACCACCCAGGAGTTTAAGTTATACCACGGGAAGGGCGGCCTCTACATCGGAAGAGCAGTGTTGAAGAACAACATCTTCGTTCTTGATTTCGTCCCCGATCCGGGCACTGCAGACAGCGACGCCATTGTCAACTTCACCGATTGGACTCATCCCCCGGATCTCGATCCCGACTTCAGCCCGAGAGGCTTCTGGTACTCGCACACCATCCCTGAGGCAGAACGGACACGAGCATTAGCAACAATTCAACAAACAACAGCAGCAGAGACAACAACGAGAGCAACAGCAGCAGAGACAACATCGGCAGCAGCAGAGACAACAACGGCAGCAGCAGAAACATCATCGGCAGCAGCAGGACCAACGACATCAGTCATCGTCGACGAAGCACCACCAACACCCGCGTAGCAGCTGAACCTGACTCAACGAGAAGTCCACAGAAGCGCCAATTTCGTCGCCAGCTTCTGCTCCAACTCCGACGCGTATCAACGTTCACTAGGACACCGCACTCCTGAAGACATCTGGCACGCACGCACAGGACATCCGAGCAACACAGTGTTAAATAACACAATACGAGCAGGAGTCCTAGACAAAGACTCGCTACTACTACTCGACGGCAGAGAACTTCAACGGGCACGAGGGACTTGCCACATCTGCCCCGAAGCCGACTTACCACATCGACCGTTTTCTTCTCACCACAACCCGAGCGCACCTGCATACGCACCACTCGAGAAAGTATACAGCGACATCCTCTTCAACCGAGAACCAGGACAAGTCACCTACAATTACACGATAACCTTCATCGACGCCGCCACTCGATACGTCTGGCATCGAAACCTACCCAGCCGCGACATGGCTCTCGCAGCGTTCGCCGCTTGGCTACCGGTAGCAGAGAGGGAATCAGGAACACAACTGAAAAGCTTCCAGTCAGACGGAGGAGGAGAATACACCTCCCAGCGCTTCAAGCAGTACCTGGCGGAAAGGAGAATCAAGCAACTCCTCTCCCTTCCCTACGCCCATCAGCAGCAAGGTGTAGCAGAAAGAATGAACAGGACTCTGCAGAACAGCATGCGCAAACTGCTACGTGGCATGCGGCTACCCAACCACCAGTGGCCTGCAGCAATGGACCATGCTGTCATGCTGCACAACTTGTTGTCGTCGTCGTCACTCCCAAACAACGCATCACCGCATCTGCTGTGGACAGGGAAGCTGGGCAGCACAAGAATGTTACGAGTTTTCGGATGCATGGTACAGTACCGACCCCCAGAAGCACGAGCGGGAAGATTTTCA